AAAACAACAGGTGAACCCTGTCCAGCTGAGAAGTGAACCCTGTACAGCTGAGACGCGTAGACAGACGTGCGTAGGAGCATTCTAACTGGCTGCCAGTTCGTGCAATTCGCGTTTCGAATCAGGTCGCTAATGGATTCCAGGTACTGGTAAAGGCCACACCGTGAGAGAGGTCCTACGCAGCATCGAAGCAACCTCAGGTCGCCGAATCTCCACGAAAGAGGTTGGCAGGCGTTCTGGAGACGTGGGGTCTTGCGTTGCAGGGGTTCGAAGGGCTGAACGGGAGCTCCGTTGGAAGGCTGAGCGTACTCTCACCGAATGTTCGACAGACGTATGGAATTTTACTCGTAGTCGTTGCGAGGCGTGATTGAGAACGGAAATTTCACATGGAGGATAGATATCTTGATTCGATTGGGACTTGAAGGGTGATTTTCTTTTGTATCGATGTCTTGAGGTCGGGTTTTGGGCAGCTGGAAAAAGGGGCGTATAACAGCCCTAAAGTCGGTCCGACTGTGCATAGTCACTAGACCACGAAGAGCACATTCTATCGCGGATGCAATCTTGATGAAAGATGATGAAAACGAACGTGCCCAAAAGCTAAAGGCCTGTGAGAGCTAGAAAAGGTTTTAGAGCCTCAGTTGCAAGGCACTGCGTTACACTTGTACATGGGGGCTTTGATTATCTAATTCCATACAAGGGTCACAGGGCTGATTTCTCCACTCATACTAAGGATCACGACAACCTGGGGTCCATCTATCCGACACCGCTTTGTCGATCGCATTCATCCTTAAACCACCCTCTACATTTAGGCCTGAAGAGTACTCTGGATTCCGCGTAAATTCAACACCCGCGCAAGAGAATATGGAGCCTCACATGCCTACATCTTCTCGGCTCTCCATATCTGCCGCTGGAGATTCTTCGTGGTGGTCTATTGACCCTTCAACTGCCCCGAAATCCTCGCCAGACGCTCCTTTGGCTCAACCGAGCCGCGTACCGGAATCTACTGAGGCACAACCAGCTCGCAACGCTCCAAATGTGTCCGCAAATAGAACGTCGGTTCCTGTCGCCTGCGTGGCCTGTCGAAGCCGCCATCTCAAATGCGACGGTGGTGTTCGCTGTACAAGATGTAGGGCTGATGGCGTTGAGTGCTCCTATGTAAAGTCTCGCCGCGGCTGGAAAGGGAAGAGGAAGCTCAAAGCCGGCGAATCGTCATCTAGTAAGAACGCCTCCAATCAGTTGATAGTCACGTGGTCGCATTCTCTGACAACTGAGCAGATCAAGAGAATGGTTTGCCTGTGCAGACTCCCCTGGGAAGCGTCTTGGGGACCAACTCTTCTCTCGCGTCAACTCCGGCATTTGACTTCAATTCTGAAATAGTGCCTATCAGTCAAATCGGGACTCCACAGCATGGAACTTTTGGCGCCCTCATTAACACCAACCCATTCGCTTCGCCTCCAATTTCCAACCAATCGGCGTTGCATTCAAACTTGAATCCAAACTCTTCTGTGAACTCTGGCGTCGCGAGTACAACTAGCGCATTCTATTTCTACTTTTACAGTTCACATCCGTTCCTATTGCCTCACCATCGCCAAGTGGAGCTGCTGAAACAAAGACGCATTCCACACTTGGAACTCGCTATTCAGTACATCGGGTCGTGTTTCCTCCCAGCAGCCCCCACCGAAATGTACAAAGATGCTCTAAAGCGAATGCTATCTCAGCATAATCTCCCCAAGGACGCTTTCTCGGTCCAAACTCTGCTGCTATTCGCCATTGGTCTGCACGCCAACAACGACCCGGAGAAAGCTGCGCAAATGCTCGATGTGGCCATCAATATAGCCCTCGAGATTGGGTTGAACCAAGGAGACTTTGCTTTGATGCACGGCGCAAACGACCGGATATTGGAAGAGTGTCTCAGACGCACCTGGTGGTCGTTATACGTGATCAATGGTCTTTTTGCAGGAGTGAATCCTCGCATTCCATTCCGGCTTCGAGACGTTGTAACTGACGTACCTTTGCCTTGTGAGGAAGTGGAATACTACTCTGGGGTGAGCTCATCCCCTGTCCCTTGATATCCCAAAAGCCTTGACTCAAGATCGCTATTCCTGGCTTTTCTTCTCACTCCAAGACTCGAAACTGATTTCGGGGGATAGCATATACCGTTCACTCGTTCGCTTCAAGACTATGATGACTCAGCTTTTGCTATCGAAGAGTCTGAATTCTCGTCCTTTACGTACCTCGTCGACGCCGTCCGCATCATGGGTAAAGTGCTTGAAGTCAGCAGAGCCGACAACATGGAATATCACATGGTTGATATCACAGACGCTGACTTGGTTAATTGGTCGCTCCACCTACCAAAAACCAAGCGAGACATGCTCCACAATGATAGGGAGGTTGACGAGATACTCTTCCAGGCTCAAATGATCATCTGCGCGTAAGCATCTCACACACCAAGTACTCAGACCTCAGCTCATCCCTTGTCACAGCGCTACCATCCAGCTCCACCGCCCTCGCTCCAACCTCGGATTCGGCGACGTCGAAGAAGTCACTGTCTGCGTCGAGCCAGGCCAGATCCTGCTCCCAACCCAAGCGCGCGAAATCCACACCGCCAAGTGCCTGCAAGCCGCCGAAGACATCTCCAAGCTAATCACCCTGCCCACCCCACTCCAACGGCACTCGCCCTTCTTCACCTGCGTCGTCGTCGTCGCTTCAGTCGTCCACCTCTCCTACTGGTCCTTCCTCGTCCCCGACGGCCAGGACGACAAGATCAAAGGCCTCATCCGCCTCGACACCGGCTCCCTCCAGAGCCTCTCCGCCTGGTGGCCCGTCGCCAACACGGTCCTGAAGCAAGTGCGCGGCGTCGCGAGCGTCATGTTCAACTCGAAGAAGTCGATGAGCATCCACATGTGGAGCTCGATTGCGAGCGACGATATGATCCGCATCATGATCGAAGAGGGCGCGTCCGAGGATCCCGAGACGTTCGCGCCGCTGCTGGGGCAATAATATGGAGAACGCTATGGCCTTTTTGGCATGGGGGGCGAAATACGGAAAAAGGGCATGTCTCACAGGGACATTGGGAGGCGGGCGTGGAACGCGCGCTACGAAGATATGATACCATGTTCGGCGTTTTTCGGTTGGGCAGAACAGAATTTAGGCGTATTGTGCACTCATCTCGAGCTTTTATGTGTTTGATACTTGATATGATGTGGCCTGTTAGTGAATCTAAGACGAGTCACCTACACCCCGGATTGATATGTCATGGCAGAAGGCACCGAGGAAATCCAGTAACAGCGTGAATAAGTGTCTATATTGAAGCCCACACTCCGGGTATAAAGAGATTACACACCAGATTTCGTCTCTCAAAACAACCCAACAAATCACCCAATTCCCGAACGCCAGTCCAAAAAACCTATGAATGACAAGCAAACTCCAACCCCTCACACCTCCTCCTTCACTGCCGTCGCACTGCTAACCGTCTCGCTCGCAGCCGCCGAGGCCGCCGCAACAACAGAACTAGCATCCTCTTCCACCACCGCGGGTTTGCGCCCCCAGAAAGCATCGGTCGCTTCCGGCCCCAGCAGCCGCTCGTCCTCATCCTCGAAATCGTCCTCGTCCTCATCCCCGAAGCAGAACAGATCCCTCGCACTTCCCGGAAGGACCTTTCGACGCCGTCCCTTGGGGACCGGCGCGCAGCCGCCGACCTCCTCGCGAAACTTGGCGGCGAAAGCGTCCGCCTCGCGCGTTACGTTTGCTGGCTCGATGAGCTTGCCGGAGTAGAGCAGGTGGGGCATGTGGGGGATCTCGGGGAGATCGCCGTCGAATGGTAGGGCGGCGTGGAGGGGTCTCGAGAACGGCACGAGGGGCGTTTCTGCGTTTACCGGCGGCGGAGGTGGGGATTCATCTGTCAGAAAGGGTTGCGCTGGTTTCTTCGGCGGCGGGGCATCGCCGGCTTTCTGTTTGGGTTCCGAGAGAGGCACTTGGAACTCTTCGGGCAACTGGTACAATTCGTTGTGGACTTTGGCGAGGCTTTCTGAAGACAGAGTGCCTGGGTAGATGAGGCCGTAGCCGCGTGTTCGCATGAACTCGAGCATGTATTCGGCCCACGCTGGGAAGGTTTCGGAGATGAGTTTGGTGCGAGGTGATTTCTTTGGTGTCTTGTGTTCTGCGGAGATGCGGTTACTGAGGAAAGAGTGGAGTTCAACCCATCTGTCTCCAAAGTACAGAGCGGCGTTGCTGTTTGGTGCTTGCCATACAAAAGGGACACTAGGGACTCCGGTCATAGCCTTGTATTTGGAGTCGTTCATGTCCGCTAAGGTAGGCGCTTTCAGTGTTGAAGTCCCATCCAAGAGATAGCTTGGAAGTTCTAGGGCCAGACCCATGACATTTAAAGCATCCTCTGCGCCATACACAGAGTACTTGTACTCAAGCAGGTTGTACTTGAGGTAATGATAATATAGCGGAGACAGTTCAGCTTGAGAAGAAAGCAAGAGAACATGAGAATCTGCGGGACTTGTGGGAAAGAAGCTTTCTAGGAATCGAATAGAAGACTCTTCTTGAGATGATTGTTCGTTAGGTATGCGATGTCGTAAAATGATCTCGCTTGAAGCAAGAGGGCTGTCTTTCGCCGCAGGGGGCCAGATGAGGTTCTCTAAGTAATATTGAGTTGGGGGATCCAATCTCGATGGCAGCTCAACAATCAGTCGAGGAGGTTTCAACCCTCTGTAATCGGCAGTTTGGATTGATCGAAGCAGGCGAATGAGCGACCCAGATGATTGGGACGGAGCCTGTATAAGAATGTCGATCGTGGAGCGGTGCCACGACCTTAAAGATCCAGAGTCTAGTCTACACAACCACACAAAATTATCGGATCCGTCCTTGGGTACTTCGATAATAGGCACGTCTTGGACTTTTGCTTTCGCTCTTATGCTTCTTACAAAGAAGGCATCCTCTGAAGCGGAATCATCAATGATAGCCACCTGCGGGTGGATGTAACTGTGTATGTGGTTCATTGCTGCAGCAACACTTGCTTCCGCGCGGAAATCGGTGCTGTATTCGGAGTAATCCGGGCGAGCGTCATGCCAGTACACCTTGCACTTCTTCTCGTCCACTCCGTTAATCTCGAGTATGTCTTCCAGAGGGAGGTCGTCACGTCCCATGAAAGCCAGATGAACATTGTTTCTATTCCATTTGGCCATTTCGCATGCCATTGGTAGCATGACTGAGGCGCTCTTCAGGCTGGACACTGCGAACAGGACGTTCCTGTTGGTATATCGGTATCCCAAAGTGCTCGCAGCTCCTTGTAGCGTGGCCCCCAACTTGTAGAAGCGGATTTTTCCACTGTATGTATGCGAGGTTTCATCATCTTTCGGCGGCTTTGTACCCGGTGGTGGTCCAGTGGGGGCATCTAGGTCAGAAGAGGAGCTCCTCCCGCTCTTCGTGACTGGTATCTTCGGCGGTCTCCTCCCATTTTCCACGCCCAGATCTGGAATGTTGTGTATGAAGACATATAGCAGATAGAAGCCGACTAATGCTAGAAGTATGCGCCTTCTACGCCATCGTAATGGATTCCGCAACGCGCTCCACGTAGGTGACCTGGCCGGTTTGTGGTCGTCGTCCTTCTTCCCAAGCTCCTCATCCGTAGGGAATATTGTGCGTGTCACCATGTTGGACTCAGGAGCGACTCCTAGTCCCCCTCGAGTCCGGTGGCGTCCTCCGTCGAACATGCGTGTCACCGTCTCATCGCGATCGGGGGGCTATGGTAGCTTCGGCGCACGAGGCAGTGGTAAGGTCGGTTCGTGGAGCTCGGAGGCGAGTCGAAGACGGGAGGGAACTATATGGCACGTTCAAGGCCAACAAGGAACGCGCAAACGCGTGGCTAGTAAATTACAGTATCAATGTTGGGCGTGGGATGAGCTTCCAAGATTCCTTCCCAAGCTCTGCGCTGAAGATCGATAGGTGGCAGCTCCGTTTCAGCCGTAATCAGCGAGTACTTGGCACTGTTGCAAGACCACCTCAAGTTTGCTCTGAATTTTTGAAAACGTAAAACGCCAATCGTCATATAGGTCCAGCTAGCATTTCAATACGACACTCTAGGGCGTCAATTCACTGCATGGCTCCTTGCATGGCCAGAAATATGCACTTTATGCAGGCCCGCTCGTTCCGGTCTAGCGCCGATCTCGCTTCTCAAAACCCCCAAAGATTTTTCGGCCTCTTCTTTCCTTCAACAATGTCTTTAGGCAGTCATTAGAGTCTCGGTTCAAACCATAATCCATGTTTGAGCAGGTCCTTGCGGCCTCTTTGCGCGCTCACGACCGTCTTATACCAACATATCTGCTTTCCTCGCTCAATTTTCCCAGTGACTATTGGGGTTGGATCCGGATATTACATCTTAGAATCTATGCCACGGCCCTGCCTGCCATCTGCCGTCTGCCGTCTACAAGCCTTGAGCCCTCTGCTTCATCTTGAGGCTGCCGTATAGTCAGCATGTGTGCGTGGAGGGCGACGAAGCTGCACTGTGAGTTCTCACCGTAGCAGAGATACTTTGGGGCAGCTGACCGTGCTTGCGCTGTCTCCATTCTGCTTGTAGAACTCGTTGCAGCACTCATAGAGAGCATCGACCTTGTCTGTTCGTCAGATTGCATGGGGGCGAATAGCATAGAGACCGACCTGGCTTCGACACTTGTCTTCGCTGTAGTTTGATTTTTGCAGGCAATCTACACTGTGATCAGGATTGGTGCGGTGCGAAGGCCGAATGACCCACCTTGTATGGCGCAAGCCCTGGAATGGCAGGGCGGATCAGTCTTGAGGTCGTCCTTGACTCCCTGGGGCGAATCAGCGGCGTTCCATGCAGAGGTGTTTGCTCTAGATACCATAACTATCTAGAGTCACAAGGACAGTGCGTCACGTGGACACCCGACAGAGAGCGCGGCGACGAGTATAAAGGGCGTGGAAGTGTCTCGAACACCTCTTCTTCTTTGATCAGCACAGTGAGGTCTCGCAGAGCAGTGAAGCACTCAATTGCCACCCTCAAGACAGTTTTCACGGCTCGCTTCCGCATTGGCCTTTCTTTCAGGACCCCACCAGAGTCCTCCACCTCACTACTCTTGACGCATCCACGGCGAACCCTCTCGACACTTCCCTCACGCCTGCCAGTTGCCACGCCCTTCTCGGCGCCTCCAGCTCCTCCACAGCTTCTTCACCGGCCCTCCAGAACGTGAAACTCGCGCGGCCCTGCACGGCAATAGCACAAACTCCGCTGCCATATCACCTCGCGCGTCCACCGCTCACAGGTTGGTCACGCCAGCCTGCTCTTCCAATACTCCATCGGCTAACAGGCTGCAGCAGCTTTATCGCCTCCACCACCTCTGCCATCAACTGCATCTACCAGACAACCACAATCAAGCCAACATACAACTCAACATGTCGGATTCGGGTTCCCCCAACATGCAGCAAAAGCCGGAGGGGGCTGAACAATCGGAGCATCTCAACATCAAGGTCACCGACAACAACAACGAGGTCTTCTTCAAGATCAAGCGTACCACTCAGCTGAAGAAGTTAATGGATGCCTTTTGTGATAGGCAGGGCAAGAGCTTCGCGAGCGTGCGATTCCTCTTCGAGGGCGTTCGCGTCCAGCCGACAGACAATCCCGAAAGCGTGAGTCAGCCCTTCTTCCCTGTTGCTGCGAAATCCCTTCCCCAATGATGCACCAGACCTTGATGGTGTCTGTTATGGAGTATCAGTATAGGACTCGGAAGCACGTCTGAGGCGGCTCTGCTTTCTCGCCAATCAATCGTAGGCTTGCTTCTCTGACAGTACTGACAATGTGTGATAGCTCGAAATGCAAGACGGCGACACGCTCGAGGTCCACCAAGAGCAGATTGGCGGCTGTTGATCATATCCCTTCCGGCCATTGCAACTTGCAAAAAACGACGACACCGCATAGGTTTTCTGAGCGGGCGACAAAACGGCAGAGGAGATCAATGATCTATGGATAACGGGAGAGGGGGATGCTCCAGTGAAACGAATGTTATACCGGTGGTTTTCTCTATTTCTGAGTGTTCCGGGGGAACTGCTCGAAGATGGCGCATTTGGCGTCTCAACAGTGTTGGCATTGAAGGCTTCCTCAATATCCCTTTCTATTCCATGGCACCACTATGAAGTTCAAGACGGGTCTCTGCATGTTTTCGGGCTTCTGAGACATGAATATAAAACTCTTTCGGTTCTATCCAGCGTCTTGATAATACAATGTGCAACTGAAGAGTGATGTATAAGATGCGGGACAATGTCCCGAACTGTGATGGATTCCATAAGACACAATCTTTCACCCTCGTTCACTCACACTTTTCCACAGTATCTACGCATACAAAGCAGTAAGTAAACCGACATCAATCTTCCGCGCCTGATTGTTGGGCCCAAGCAACACCCTATCTCATACACTTCAAAAACGTAACACCCAACTCAACTCACAAAATGAGCTGCTTCAATAAGCCGATCAGTCAAGCCACCTCGCTCTCCTCTCAATCATCCCACGCAGCCTTCACCCTCTTCTCCCGCTCCGCCTCCTCCCGCCTCTTCCTCTCCCGCTCCTCATCTCGCCTCTTCCTCTCCTTCTCCCGCATCACCCGATCATACTCGCGCTCCTCCTCCGTCCGCCGCGGCGCCCGCACCCCCAGCCCCGCCGCAATCAACCGCCCCGCCACCGCTGTCGTCTTCTCCGGCCTGCGCGCCGGACTCGCCGTCCCGCTCCCGCTCCCGCTCCGCTCTCTCGCCTCACCCCCCTCATACGCATACGAGTAGGGCGTCGCATCCGGTAGCCCGAACGGCGCAGCGGCGGGCGAGGCGGGGGTCGGCGGGGGCGGGCGAGGCGGGGTGATGGAGGCCATATTCATGAGGGAAGCGGATGTGGACGACGCGTTGGAAAGGGAGGGGGAGAACGCGGTCTCGGTCTCGGTCTCGGTGTCGCTGCCGTCGGAGACGTCGTCGTCCCAGGAGTCGGCGACCTTTTTGTTCTTGGGCGGGATGGCGGACTTTGTGGAGAGGGAGGCCGGGGCGGTGTTGATTTTGAGGCTGCTGATGGCGCTGGTGACTTCTGGGGCGGGGAGTTAGTGAGGTTGAAGAGGGGGAGGCTGGGGACGGGAGGGTACCCGATTCGGAGGGGGTGGTGTGAGACATTGTGGTGGTGGTTTTGTGGGTGGTTTGAGCGAGAGTGCTAGTCTATCATGTGTGTTATGTAGACAATTAGAGGCAGGGTTGGAAGTGTAGCAGAAGTTCGAGCTATAAGTGCAAGCGGCTTCGTTGAGGTGGGGTGTTGGGAGGCGACAAGGACAAAGTGCCGATCCATCAGGAACAAGATCGGACCAAAAGTGTGGGGATACGATAAATGGAGGGGAAAGTCCAAGCTCCAATGGGCAAGCTCCAACGTCAACTCGTCGTTCCGCTCTCGACCATTTTACATCATCTCCCCTTTTTCCCCTTGAAGTTCAAAGATTTTGTAGATTGACAGTCGATAGAAGGACTACGCTATATATTGTAGGTTTTACCCCGGGTTTCTGTTGCGTTTGGACCCAATTAGGACATCCCGAGGTCGCCCGCCGAGTCCTGCTGTCACGAGTCGTTATTTCCTCGGTATTCCCGCGTCTCAAAGCCAATCTTACTCCTCTCAAAGTCACAGAAAGATCCCAATTGCTTTAGCCCTAGTTATACGGGCACACGGTCCTTCTTATAGAAATTCCACGAGAGTCAAGGGTGCTGATCCTTTACTTGAGAATACGAGTGCTCATCTAGCGAGCACGTACCAGTCATGTTTCCTCTCCGTACTTCGACTAGGAATTTCTCACATCCTGCAAAGCGTGTTTGTGTTGGCAGATACAGTCCTCGTCTATTCTCAACTTCTACCTCTCGCAATGGATACGCCGACACTATCCCGAACCTCAAGATTGGGAAACATACCCGGGTAATGTATCAAGGCTTCACGGGAAAGCAAGCAACAGCAAATGCCCAGCAGTCAATTGAATGGGGTACTCAGATTGTTGGAGGGGTGAAACCCGGCACTACATCAGAGCATCTTGGTCTTCCGGTTCTACCCAGCGTGAGAGCGGCCAAGGAGAAGCTTAATCCAGATGCAACTGCCATCTTCGTTGCTGCTCAGCATGCCGCGTCAGCTATCGAGGAGGCAATTGAGGCGGAGATCCCTTTGATAGTAGCCGTTGCGGAGCATGTTCCTCTGCATGATGTGATGCGGGTATGATACTACCCATTTTCACCGTCAACGCTTTGCTAAAAGACTTCAGATACATTCTATTCTCAGCACCCAGTCAAGGTCACGACTAGTAGGCGCCAATGCCCCTGGAATCATCTCAGCTATTGGTAAATGCAGAATTGGATTCCAACCCCTGTCAACCTTCTCTCCTGGTCATATAGGCATTGTAGCCAAATCTGGAACTCTGAGCTACGAAACTGTTGGATCGTTGACAAGAGCTGGGCTAGGTCAAAGTTTGTGCATTGGGATGGGCGGTGATGTAATAGCTGGCACTGACTTCGTTGATGGCCTCACTGTCTTTGAGACAGATGAGGATACCGAGGCCATTATCTTAGTGGGCGAGTTGGGTGGGACTGCGGAAGAGGAGGCCGCTGAGTGGATCAGGGACTACAAGAAGCGGACCAAGAACCCTAAGTAGGTATCTCCCTACGATGAATCCTATCTTACTCGCTAACCGGTTGTATCAGGCCGATCGCCGCCGTGATCGGTGGCTTCCAGGCTGTCTCTGGCCAAGTTATGGGACATGCAGGAGCCTGGACTGGGATAGGGGAGGGTAATGCGGAGAGCAAGTATAAAGCTTTGGAAAGGGCTGGAGTTACGATGGTAGATCATCCAGCTAAGTTCGGGAATGTAATGAAAGGCCTCCTCTCAAGCAGTGGAAGGAATGTTCAAGACATTGTAAGCTTCAGTCCTGCCCTACTCAGTATGCGTCTGACGTGTCGTTAGCAAAAATCTGCTGCAAACCAGCGAAGGTCATATCACACCTCCCGAATACCGCTTCGTTCGCAGCCATCATTCTCTTACTCAAAGTTTTTGCCTCAATCTCGTGGCCTCCACATCACCACAGATCAAGCCGTCGACCTCCTCGCTCCTTACAACATCTCCGTCTCTCCAAGCCTGCCTTCGCCGTCAGACTCCACCCACTTTGTCGGCATCACCGTCGACCGCTCCGCCCGCAGCCCCTGCATCATCACCTCCCCAACCACCAACCCAGAACACCTATCCAAACGCTCCCGCCGCTTCCCCTTCGACTACCGCACCGGCCCGACCCAATCCACCATCCTCGCCGCCCTCTCGCACCTCCAACTCTCCGCCGCGCCACCCACCGCCAAAGCCGCCTCCTCCTCTCTCATTTCAAACCTCTGGGCCCTCTACAAAGCCAAAGAAGCCCTAACACTCACCGTCCACCTCTCCCTCGCCCCCTCCTCCGCCACCCTCGCCATCTCCAGCCCCTCCTTCACCTTCGACGACGCCGCCTTCGCATCCGCCCACCGCCACGCCGCCCTCCACGCCCTCCGCGCGCCCCTCTCGCCCACCGCCGCCGCCGCCGAGACCTCCGGCATCGTCTATATCCCCCTCCCCTCCCCTCCTCACACTTCCCCGACAAACCTCATCGGCACCCTCGTCAACGGCGCCGGCCTGGCCATGAACACGCTCGACGTCCTGCGCACCCGCCTCCCGCACACCGCCCCCGCGAATTTCCTCGACACGGGCGGCAAGGCGACCGCCGCGACCATCGCGACCAGCTTCCGGCTGATCCTTGCGGACCCGCGCGTCGCGGTCGTGTTTGTGAATATCTTTGGCGGGCTGACGCTGTGCGATATGATTGCGGCGGGCGTGGTGCTGGCGTACAAGGAGGTGGGGGTGGACAAGCCGGTGGTGGTGAGGCTCAGGGGGACGAATGAGGAACAGGGGCGGCGGGTGTTGGCGGAGAGTGGGTTGCCGATTGGGGCGTTTGATGGGTTTGAGGAGGCGGTTGCGGAGGTGGGGAGGGTGGCCGGGATTGTGAGCTCGTAGAGTTACCTTGTGTGTATTGTGGATGATCTCATGAAGCTACGCGCAGCCTCGTTTCGCTCAATTGACATGATTCCTGCTTGATCAAGCGGACGCGACTGGGTCAGTATAGAAACACAGAAAATATAGTTTGAGGAGCATGTTTTCATTAATGGTCTGCTAGGATACTCGGACGGATTAAGTAGAGTGAAGGCATACAAGCGCCAGGCCCGAATGACTTCAGGGGATCAGTCAGAGTGAAGGGTTTTCGTTTCGCTCGTTTAGGGGAATCATGAAATGAAAGTCGCTTCCGTGTAGCAGGCCCCCTTCTCGTGGATGACCTCGTCGCCAACCTTGAGCGTCAGCTCCAACTTGGGGGCATATTGGTAGATGTAGGGCCTCGTGCCGGCCGCAGCCGCCACAATGTTCTTGACGAAGCCAGGGACCTCGGCCATGACGTCCACGCGATCCAGTCGCTTGCCTAGGGCTCCTTCGATGTCTGCCACGACGGCTTGGCCCTCGGGCGTCTTTCCCTCCCAGTGGTATTTTGCAGAGGTTGGCTCCGGCCAGTCGTTCTCCGAGTCCTGGGCGACTGCGGTATGTGTGCAGATGCCCATGTTGCCAGCTGTGATTATTTTGCCATCCTTGACTATTCCTCCTACTCGCACGATTGTCTCGCCGTATGAAGGCGGCGTGATGAACTCCATCATGACGGCCGAGTACGTCGGTCCTTGGAAGTTGGCGAAATTCCAGCGGGCAGCTGTATTTAGATTAGCAGGTGTTTTTAGAGCAGCTACTTCTAGACGTGCCTGCGTGATGTGGCTTCATTCCCTGCAGAGCGAAAGAGTAGAAACCTTTGCCCGTGAAATCGACCTCGCCCGCCTTTGTGATGATGCTGCCCTCCACATGGCACCTAGGCCAGAAGGCGTGGCGCATCGAGCCCCACGGTTCCTTGGGGTCGGTTCCGTAGGTTGTGGTGCCATTCTTCCCCGCAACGAAGCCAGGGGCTGTTCGAATGACCTTTAGGTTCACCAAGCTGGCCTCGTTGGTGGCAGACTTGATGGTGTAGAACGACCCGTCCTCGGACAGCTCCATGGAGCAGCCATCGGCAAAGAAGCTGAACTTGTCGTCGTCGAAGTCGATGTTCGACAGGGGGTCCGAGGACCAGAGATTCGGGGTGGTGCCATCAGGGTAGTATATCTTGGTGTTGAACTGGCAGGTGGTGCGGAGACCGCTGCGGGCAGTAAGCACTTAGCACAGGCGCTGCTGCAGGACGCTGGCCTTCCTCTTACGCAATGTTGTTGTAGATGATCTGGACCCAGCCCACGTAGCCATTGTCGGCGGTGAGGTAGAAGGTCTGCGTCTCGACGCAGGTCGACTCCATGGCGGCCCATCGCAGGTCGTTCTTGGTCAGCTCGGTGAAGCCATGCTCGGTCTGCTGCTCATTGACGGACTGGACGGCGGCGGGCCCGTAGATGGGCTCCTGGGTGCCGGCGACGTTGGCCAGCCTGAGGGGTGAGTGAGGGGACTGCGAGGAGCGGGGGCCACTGACTGCTGCTTGGCCCAGTTGAACATCTTCCGGGAAAGTTTAGGCACTATTAAATCCAAAGGGTGAGCGTGTGTATGCAACAGCAGAAGGATCCCAAAGTGGTAAGGGTAAAGATATGGGAGGAGTGGCTGCAGTGGCGGGTGACTCCGGGGCGGGAGGATAGGTACTGTTGAGTGTGGCGGGATCGGTGGAGCGCTGCGAGGACAAGCAGCGTGGGAGCGTGGGAGCGGCTAGGATGGTCGCAGAGCGCGTCCCGAGGTCGTGTCGTCAGGGAGACTGGGCGGCCGCAACACTGGGCGGCAGAGTTTGCTGGCGCGATCTCGGCGACGAGGGGATCGCGCGCCGTGTTTGGCTGGCGTCGCCTTCTCCCAGGCCTCACGCACACCCAGCTGGGCACAGGGTCCCGGCCACCGACGCCATCCTTGCCGAGATCGCGGCCGACACACTGACACAACAGGCAAACCGAAGCCCCAAAGGACGTGCCTGTCACCCCTCCACGCGAGCGCCGACTGCGCTCGTTCTGCACTCGACCGCCCTGTGTCCCCTCACGCCGCCGACGAGCCTGTTCGGATTCCCGTCTCTGCCTGCGCTGCTGCAGCGACGTTCGCCCGCTCCTCCGCCGCCTCTCCGCGCAGAAGGCGTCATCACATTGTCCGCATCTGAGAGATATCTTGGCTGCCGGGCTATCCGCAATTGCACGCCGACCATTCTCCATTCGCTCGTCCCCACCAGCCCAGCACTCCCCGCGACAGACGTACACCTCTTCCCTTCACTTACAGCTCCATCTCTGGCACACGGAGAGGCTGCGACTCCGACCTGCGCTGCACTGGAAAGCATTGCCTTCGCCCGCATCGACATATCACTCGCGCATGCCCAAGTCCCGAGCAGCACTACCATTGAGGCTTCACAGCCTCTGCACCGAGGTCTACCCACCACCGCGTGCACAATCCCATCTCCACGTCACAGGTAAGCTCCCGCGTGCCGGTTTGCTCTGTGCAACGCCGTGGCCCTTCGTTCCACCTCCCCACCATCCTGTCACCACCCGCGTGCTTACGCTGACCAAATGCCCAAATAGCACTGCCCAAACTTACCCAATATGCCATCCACCGAACACGCTCCGCCGCAGCAGGCGGTGCGCTTCAGCTCTGTCAACCAGGAAATCGATCCCGTTGCCTCGTCCCATGACCCGTCCCTCGCATCCACGGACGAGTCGAAAGAGAACCTCTCCCTAGAAGACCAGGAGGCCATCCGCAGTCTGCCAGTGTCTCTGCAGCAGTCAAGATGTCAAGCCAAGCGCATGGAAAACTTCTCCTTTGAGCCAGTATCATTGCCTTCGTCGAGAGTGAGTAATCCCTTCGTCACGTATAGACTCTGGACCCTTGCTGACTGTGTCGAAGGCACCATCCCCAGCGTCCGCACACAGAATACCCTCTACACAGTCTAGCTACCGCTCAGGAACAACCCCAAGGCCTTCTCCCCCCGCTTCCGCCATGCATTCTCCTCCATTGACCCCCGCCGCAACCCTATCGCAAGACGGGAAGCCCTCTCCCGCCGCAGACCAGAGGAAAGCGCATCACGATCCCGCTATGATGACTCCTCAGGTCTCCCCACCCCACGAGCCTCCTCCTACATCTGTGCTTACAGTAAATAAGGAAAAGGAAAATAAAGACGTTGCGCCGGCCGCATCGCCCAGGCAGTCTCCACAGCCCTCGCCCCGTCCCCAGTCAATATCGGATATAAGCGGAATCGTCTCAACGCACCCCAGACATGCTCCCACCTTTACCGTTGGACCCGCTGGTGACTCTCTACCCCCATCTCGAGAGATAAGTCCTTCCGGTTCTCCCTCTTCCACTCCTGGTCACCATACCCCGGGCACATCGACTCCAGCGTATAGTAGGCCGTTTACTCCATCCGGAGAGAAGGACGATCCCTATGCCCGAAGCAAACGCCCGCCTCAGCCGAGGAACCTGGAAGCCTTAGATGCTAGATTCATCTTTGGAGGACGAGACTCGAGGAAAAGAGACAGCCAGAATTACTCAACATCGTCATCGGCAGCGCCGGGGCTACCTCGCTCGCGTGGTAGCGCGACCGACATAGCAGCGAAGGAGGAGAAACGCCAAAGCTTCTTTAATGGCAATAAAAGTGACGGCGATGCCAAATCGAGTCAAGGAGGTATAAGTAAGCAGCACGATTCGATGTCAAATTTGAAACGCTTTTTCAAGCTTGGAAGTCATAAACATTCCAAGGACAAAGATAGCAAGTCGAGTAAAGACAAGCGATCATCGCCTGCCCCGTCTATCAAGTCAAGTAAGCCGGCGAAGTCTGGCAGATCTGGTACTGCTACTCCTCCCTCTGGCTCTGTCAGCGTTCCTTTCGCCGATGATCATGGATTGGAAAGCAAATATGGGAAGTTCGGGAAAGTTCTGGGTTCTGGCGCAGGAGGCTCCGTACGACTGATGAAGAGGAGTAGCGATGGAGTTACGTTTGCAGTGAAGCAATTCCGAGCTCGACATTCGTACGAGACGGAACGAGAATACAACAAGAAAGTCACGGCTGAGTTCTGCATCGGTTCTACGCTTCACCACGGGAATATCATCGAAACCATGGATCTTGTTCACGAGAAAGGCAACTGGTATGTTGTCATGGAGTTCGCGCCGTTTGATCTATTCGCGATCGTCATGACTGGGAAAATGAGTCGCGATGAGATTACCTGCGCTACGTTGCAAATTCTCAATGGAGTCACTTATTTGCACAGCATGGGACTCGCACATCGGGATCTTAAGTTGGACAATGTTGTTGTCAATGAGCATGGTATCATGAAGATCATCGACTTTGGCAGTGCCGCAGTTTTCAAGTACCCCTTTGAAAATGAAATTGTTCTGGCTAGTGGTAAGTTCAGTCCGCATTCCGCCATCCGCCTATCTCTTCACGTCGACTAATAGACCCAGGCATTGTTGGATCAGATCCGTACCTCGCACCTGAAGTTTACGATCTGTCGAAGTACGACCCGCAGCCTACGGATATCTGGTCACTCGCAATTATCTTCTGCTGCATGACATTGCGACGTTTCCCATGGAAGGCACCTCGCCTCTCGGATAACTCATACAAACTGTTCGTCTCTCCGGCCAATGATGGCCCTCGAAGCATTCAATCGAAATCGACGTCAGACCTCAATCCGAATTCCGGCGACACCCGGCGACAGGCGGGATCATACTCCGAACCCGCTTCCCGACAAGCGTCAGACACCTCGACCGCACCCCATCACCACCATCATCACCATCACTCGAGTGGAGATAAGGACGCTGCGCGCTCAGACCCCGTGATCAGCGAAAACCGGCTTTCTACTGCATCAGCATCCGCGGTGTCTGCCAAAGAGCAGCAACCGGCGGTGATCAAAGGGCCATGGAGGTTGCTCCGACTACTACCTCGCGAAAGCCGGCTTATAATTGGTCGCATGCTCGAGGTGGATCCTAAGAAGCGAGCAACGATGGAAGAGATCCTCGAGGACAAATGGGTCTCAGAGAGTGCAGTCTGTCGGCAAGAGGAGGGCGGCATGATTGTAAGAGCAGAAGGACACGAACACGCGCTGGAGCCTGGCACCGGTGTAGGTGCCACTTCTGCAACGCAGCAAGCTAAGAGGTAAATAGGTCAGCGCGTGTCGTGTACCAAAGATGATGAAGTCCGAAATCGCTCATTTGCATCTGTCCCGTTTCCTTGGTAGATAATCAAAGATCGGAAAGGCCATGGTAGGGAGGTATCGTTATGCCGTTGCATAGGCGTTCTTTCTGGATTGAGCGGAGGCTTTTTGTTGAGCTGGGTAAGATAAGCCGAAAGGCTGCTGCTATTTCTTCTCCCAACGTCTGGGGTTGAGTGTACATATTGTTACCATTCTTCTGCTTCGGTATTGCTCCACATAGGGGACTCTTCTCTTCTCTTCGATGTATCTGGCGGCTTGGGTGAGCGTAGTCTGAGCGAGGATAAGGCGTGCAAGGGTTCGGCGAGATTTCTAGAGTTTGTTGATTGACGGGCTGCGACAATGCCGCCATGTGACGCTCGGGATGATCTTAGACAACATATATAGCGACAGAAATTATAGGCACAAACGAAAACCGAATCGAGATGGGCACATGCCCAGCACGTCGTGAGCAGACAGAGGTCCTCTTGGCCTGCAAGCCACCCGCCTGGCCGTCGTTCCTACGATACGATATGCAGCTTTGCCTGGGTTCAAGATAGCCACCCCTAGCTATCTCTCTCTAACGAGCTCTGATCTGGGAAGGTTGGCCAGCCCGCACGTCACATGCCTTCTCCTGCAGCACTAACCCCCCGATCGACGACCCGCCTGCGCCGCGGTGAGTCGATGGCGCAAATGCACCCAGACGCTCGCGTTTCGGCGCTGTTTCAAACTCTGGGGAGCCCTTGCGACTCGCTGACGAGGCGCACGACGACACACACGCCGACACACACGCCCTCTTCCCCCAGACGCGACGCGCGGATGACGCAAAAGCGCCCCACGAGAACGAATGCTTCGACCTGCTGTCAGCCGGTCGCCAGCAGAGCCCTGGGATGCTTGCACCAACACCGATAGATAGCAGTCTGCTCGGTAGATTGTGCAGTCGACCCGGGCAGCCGGTGGTGCAGGAGGAGAAGCGGTGGTTGATAGAGAACTGCTTATCTCTTGGCCCGAGACTCGCAGCTCTCCCACAGGTTCGCCATATCAAACCAGGGTCGATAGCTGGCCTGAGCGGCGCAGACGCAGACTGCAGAGAAAGCTAGCGCCTACGCCGCCGCTATTTGTTGGAGGGGCAGCAGGCAAGAAAGAAGCTCGAGCTTTTTGGCGGGCTGGCGGGCGAATATCATATGAGAGCCAATACGTGCAGCACGTTTTTTCCTCCCACCAGCTTCCCTTTCTCTCTTTTGCCTTCTCCCGCGCCCGCTTTTGCCAGGCGCCCGTTCTTTTACCTAATATCCTTCCCTATTGACTAGAGTTCCCCCTTTTTGCGAGCGTTTAGACTCGATTGGCGCTGGCGCAATTAGAGACTTTTTGGTAGAAAGATGCGGACCATGGTCCGCCAGCTTCCTCCTCCGCACCTCAAACTGCCCCATCCGTCTGCGAGCACTCCGAGTTATCGCTTCGTCGACGTGGTCAGTCAGGGGAATCAGTACGCCGGCGCGGTTGGTGATAGGCTTATTCCTGCGATTCCGGGGTTTCGAACCAGCGCTGGTGAGTGTTGGTGTTGTTCATTTTGTTTCGGGTGAATGGTGATACAGCTCTGAACGTCGAGAGCGCAGCTGGTGCGAGGCTATAACTAGAGGAAGCACGCGACTTGCTCCATCACTCTTCTTCTTCTCAATTTCCTCTCATTATCGGTTTCAAGCTTCAAACACGCACAAAAAAAAACTAACACCCAGTCCCCTAGCCTTCCTCACCTCCCTCAGCGCCAACCTCCGCCTCACCGACGACGACCTCGTCCCGTCCCCCATGTCCACCCCACCCAGCATGCGCAGCAGCACCGCGCACCACCTCCCGCCGCCCTCGCCGCTCTCCGTGCCACCCTCGACCGCTCTCGCCTCCTCCGCCGAGCTTCCCAAATCCACCACCACCACCTCCACCAACGAGCCCCCGTCCAACAACCCCGAACTCGCCGCCCTCCCCGAGCTCCGCACCTACGCCGCCACCACGCCCGCCGACCGCATCGCGGGCCTCAAGCTCGTCGCCGACAGCGTCGCGCAGCAGCGCCAGCTCACCTCGCGCGAGCTAATCTTCCACCCGCTACACCTGGCCGCGCTGACGCTGGTCCTCGCGCTCGTGGCGCAGTACCTGTACGCCAGCGCCGCCGACCTGGTCCTCGTCGGCACGACGTGCGGCGGCGTCGTCATGGCGTGCCTGGCGGCGGTGCGCTGGGTCTGCGGGGGTTACATCTTCCACGCCGAGACGATTAACTGGGAGTGGCTAGGGGACGATGAGGTGGTGGTGGTAAGGTGGGGGGAGGAGGTGATTGGGGCGCTGGTGCTCGGGTGGAGCGAGGAGGGGGGAGGGGCGAAGCGGGCGAGGGGCAAGGGGGCGCGGAGGGGGCTGGGGCTTGTGCGGGGGTGGACGGTGCAGCAGAAGTATCGCGGGAAGGGGGTTGGGGAGAGCTTGCTCGAGGAGGCAGTGAGGGTGGCCGGGGAGAGGGGGGTTAAGGGGGTTGAGTTTGCGGAGGAGCATGCTAGTGAGTATTGAATGCATTGTAAGGTTTTGGGAGTTGGTTGCTAATGGGTGTGTTTAGATTCGTTGAGGATTCTGCCGGCTTTTTATAATGGGTTTTTGGATCGGAGGGATGCGAGGGCGGCGAGGGCGTTGGAGAAGGTCGCGAGTGCGAAGGGGAGCTTTGGGAAGAGGAGATGAAGAGTGTTAGATGGATAATAGAGGGTCTGGGAGATGTAGAGCGGAGCTTCAATAGAGAGTTGCTTGGGCCGCATCTCTATGCCGTCGTGAATCTATCCTCTTCGAGAAACTTGGTCCAGCTCGGACAGTACTACGATTGAACGAATATGAAATAGTGCACCCAGCATTGCCACATCAAGTGACTCCGCACTAACCGTCACAACCACGGGAAGCCGGACGAAGGATTCAGCCTTGAGAAGTACGACATCTCCTTGCCGAGCCCTTCCAGCACACAACGTCCGTAAAGCCACCGGACCCCACTACAGTGCAGGGGCCTGAGAAAGACCTTATTCGTAGGTTTCACGTATCTACGCGTCAAAAAGGAAGGGCACGAGACGTTTGAATGAGCCCCTGCGTACAAGTTACATGATAAGACTTGCCTCAACCCCACCAAACAACCAGCCGAAACACCCAGCCAACTGGGCAACGACATATCTTGCATTCCCAATACTTGAAGAAGCATGTTTGTAAGGCATTGGAACATCTCCGCATTAAGGATACCGCTAACAGACTGCTCTTTTCAGGTGTGGCAGTAAACACAAGCGCTCCTAGGCACAACATCTTTCACCGCCTTCGAACACCTTCTTTTCCCACAATGCCGGACAATCTGGAGAAGTTGGTGCCTAGCAAAGAGGCACGGGAGATGATAGCAAACGCGGGTGTGTGGCTTGCGAAAAACGGACACTTCAAGCCAGACGGGCACACTACTTTGACGAGTGCGATAGTCCTGGGCTGGGAAATCTTAGTAATCCCTCTGTGCGACGAACTAGGGAAGGGAATCACAATCGTGAGCACTATTACCGAGCAACTATCTATCTAGTGCTTATAATAGAGCAGGGAGAAAAGCTCTACGGCGTAGCAAGGCCCGAGGGATTCTCTTCCAGGAGGATGGTTGGGTGGCAAGCATGCGCAGTTACGTGTTAGTGTTAGGGCTCCGGAGGATTCTGCACCATACGTTAGCGATGGGAAGAAGTCTGTATCTTTTTCCTAAAGGGACGGTACTCTACCGTGCGCCCAAACATTCTGTATTCATCAGCGGCGCTGAGTTTGCATACACACACTAGGAGGCCGCGTAAATCTAAGCCATCCGCTGGTAGGAAAATGTACGGAGCACAGTTGCTACCCTTGTTGGAGAGTGGATGAATCAAAGTTGTCCATTAGGAAACCGAGTATATGAGAGTTATCCAGTAGTAGGTACTCTGGGCGATGGAGACCGCGTGAATCAAAGTTGTCATCTGATAGGAAACCGCGGATATCAAAGTCGTCCGGTGAGAAATCGCGCGAATCCACTGGTGCAACAGTGTGTATGCTCAACTCGCCCTGTGAAGTAACTGGGTTTTCTTAGCTAGCAGGTAAAATTTATTGCGCTGGATTGAGATCCTCTGGATATATAAACTGTCTTATACTAATGTTTAACAATCGTTCAATTAAACAGATAAGAAGATTCATCTTGTTAACATGCGCGCATTTCAGGTAAAGCTCAATTCTGCTGAAATGCATCTTCCTCCGCGTTAGCACCGCTTTTAACAGCGCTTTCATCAACAGCACTTACAAGGTAGCGCGCCTCCTACTGCCTGACTTAATAGATTCAGTTGAGCACCAAGATGTGCTTGGGCGTACTGCCGCATGCCATCCACTCTATGTGCTGAGCTTGATTGAGAGCCAGGGACATCCGTGTTCAGCCCATCTTGTCTTGTGACCGCACTTCCCTGGCTGTTTCGTGGAATCAGGACTCGCCAGTTGTTGGACTTGCGCGAGAAAGTTTGTTTCAGGTAGTGCCTGCTCCGCCGGAACGCTCGGCGCACTAGACGAGCTCTTGTCCCCTACTAGCACTCAGCGGTCGTTCATTTCAACAGATGAAGAGTCTACCTTGGATCAGATGATGTCTGGAGCGCTTCTTTGGCCTCTCGGCTTCTTCTATCCCACTTTTTGGAGTCTCAAGATCCCACACGATCGCTTTCTGCTCACTACTAGCGGAAAGACCTGATAAAATTAGCGTCTACGCTGAATCCTAGGGTATTTTCAATCATACCAGTACATATATTGATAAGCCTCTCGGCGAGTGCATGATAAGGCGTCGACGCCTCTGGGATACCGTTGCGTTGAAGGTTTTAAATTGCTGTGTTATAGTCCGGACCACTCTTGGGTAGATTGACTTCCCATCTGTGAACATTATTAGCATATGCTGCCGATTGGGTCTTTGTGAATCTTACGCCCTAACCCCTATATTGTGAGGAAGAAAGAATACGGCACCAAGCCCGCCAAGGTCCTTCGCGATGCTCCGGTACCTGCTTCCAGCAGAAATAAAACCGCCGATTTCTTTAGCCAATCCACTAAGGTCGGTGTCAGTGCGTAAGTCGATTCTATGGAAGTCTTCAGCTATTGATTGTGCCGTGCGGCGTCCGTTTGTAAGAGTGCATAGAACTATGCAACTAAACCTGTGAATAATTAGACAGTGGCCCGCAAGAGCCGCACAAACTTTTCGCATCGATGTTGCGCCGTGATGCAATCAATTCGTATTATTATGACAACCGGTCCCAAAACGCCGTTATTCGGGTATCATTTCTCATATCCACTCCCCACCACTCGCAAACCCATTATACATGCGCCGTAGACCCCCCAGTCGCCTCACTCCCGAAACCTTCTGCCAAGGTTCCACCCTACCCCTCCTCCTCCTCATCCTCCTCCTCCTCCGGCTCCGGGTATTGGATCCTCAGTTCTTTGATCACTTTCTGCATCCACACATCAGCTTTGGTTGTCCTCGGAAACCCGTAAACACGCTCGCCGATGGCTAATGTCCAGGGAAGGGGGCACACGTACGGCCAGCGCTTCCGGGTTGACGCCGTTTTCGATCAGCGAGACGCAGTAGGAGAGTTGTTGGCGGTTGAGGTGTGTGTTCTGGTTGCCCGCGCGTGGGTGTTAGTTGGCGGGCGACGTAGAGAGAGTGCGGGGAAGGAGAGCGTACAAGGAGAGTTGCGATTTCGTGGAGGATGTCGATGACTTCGCGCGCGGCTTGGCGCTTGTCGACTTCGGGCATTGTGGGAGGGTGTAGTTGGGAGCGCGGGTTGTGGTGTTTTGGTGGTTGGAGATTTGTAGAGGGGAGCGTGGGAGGCGCGTGGAAGGTGGAGCCGAGACTGGAGCTAAAACGGGAACGAGTGCTAGTTCTTTGGCCCGTGGATCATCGAGACGCAGATGACTACGATTAGAGGCACTATTATCATGGGAACGCCGCATACACAGTACGCGTAGAAGCCGCAGCTTTCGCTGAACCAGCGTCGTAAATGAATGCGGCTGTGTTCGTTTGACACCGGGTCAGATGGAGGTGGATAGTAGAGTGGTAGAGAGTCGTTGGATTTGTACGCTGGAGGCGCTTCAGGATCCATGTTGTGGCTTCGTGTGTGTTCTTGCTGAAGTGGCTTGGAGATGCAGTGTGTGCTCGAAGGTTTTTTGTGCGCGCGGGAAGAGACTGCGAGGTTTGTATGTACCAAGGTTCATTTGTAGAGCGGTCCATGGTTGGAACTCATGGCGACTGCAGCACATGTTTGATGTCTGCCCTCACATCTGTCTCTTGTCAAGACTGTACACAATCCCGCATTCACCGCCAATATCACTGGGGACAAAGATATCGCGCTATCATGTGCTTTCGTGCTTTCGCGATGCCTTGGCGTTCTCGGAAGTCCAAGCTCACCTTCGCCTCAGGCTCCCGCGTGTCCCCGCCGACAACACACCCTCGCTTTCGACCAACCTCATGGTCGGATAGCCTTTACACTTCCTTTGAAGCCGTGCGGGCAAACCACTGCCATTGGCGAGCTCGACTTCCATGGCTAAACTATCCACAGCCCCCAGACCGGAGGGCGCGACGTTCGGAAGGTGGACGACCTGGAGCAATCCGGTTTCGAGATTCATGAATGGCTCAGGCTCAGGCTCACAATCGACACCGACGCCCACGCCGACAGCTGGTAATGCTACTGGCAGAGGAGGACTGGGACTGGGTCTTGGTAAAGGGAAGGCCGTGAAGCGACACCGGTGAGTAAACAAATATCCAACAACCGCCGTCATGTCCTAGCCACATCATGGAACATTTGCTAATGATGCACCAGGCGCGTACTGAAGGACAGCCTCTATGGGGTCACCAAAGGCGACATTCGGTGAGTTCACATCTTCGTTTGCCGCATTGAGTCACCATTTTGTTGGACTCCACGGATGTTGCGCATTTTCGACCCATCTTGGTTTCGAAGGCGTTACTTTTACGCTCCTTCATACTGACTCGGTCATATTATAGACGTCTCGCACGTCGCGGCGGCGTCAAGCGGATCTCCGCTAATATCTATGACGAGACACGCGCGGCTCTCCGTGCTCGCCTTGAAAAGGTAAGCACAGCCTCCTAACTCGCTAAGATTGCAATTCTAATGCCTATCTCTCCAGCTTCTCAAAGAAATCACAGCCGTGACAGAAGTATGCGGAAGAAAGACAGTCTGCGTGACTGATGTGATCTTCGTGCTGAACCGACTCGGCTCGCCGATCTACGGCTTCGGTGAAGCGAAGAGATGAAGACCGCTCTGTTGTCCCATCATTTCCGGAGTTCTGGATTTTTGATACCTGCAGGATGGTTCTGTCCTTGGAGTTGTGGTCTCTTGAATGTGCTCTTTGTACATGGTCGATTGCCAGCGGCTGGTATGTGGTGGAAATGCTTTGTGGGACTTGTTGCCTATCAGCATGTTTTGCCTGCAAGAATAATGACTAGTGGAATGCTAGAATGAAGAAATGACTTTCCATGATGCATATTTGGCCTGGTCAGGCTCCGTTGAACGTAAAGTGGCAGTCCACCACCGTTTGAGGTGGCCCGGCGCCAAGCTATCACGCTTGTCAAGACTGTCAGTTTACAGTTATTCATGATGTACCAGATGACTTCAAGCGGTGTCAAACTGGTGTACAGAGATTGGCCTAGAAATATATTACAGATTCGTGGACTGCCACTTCAGGACTAGCTTAGTGTTCACTAAGACAGCCCTGCAGCTGCCCAGTCTTCAACCTCCTCAGCCTCCTTCACTACGCTCCCGTCCGAATGACTTGGCTATCTAGATTAACACGACCCGCAAGAGTCTGACACGAGCAGCCATCAGTAGTCTCCAGAATTAGCAAGCCTTGGGCTTCCAGGTATGCCAGTGTTCGTCGTCTCGAATGTCATCATGGCTCGCTTTGACCATTCTGTTATTCCATCGTAGCTTTCAAGCGCCCTCGTTCCAGTCATTCATCATTAACGCGCAGCCCCAATCGTCTGTCTTCACAATCTTTACACACTCATGCCACTCAGACTCTCACAATGTCATCGCAGGCTTCTAAATTCATCTAGAGCATCAAACGCAAGTTGTTTCATCATCCAAACGGCGCGATGGATACGACTCCATGCACACCGAGAAGGCGAATATCGCCTCCTTCCTATGCTCGTCCTACAGTTGCATCTGCTTCGAAAAGCTCACGCAAGAGTCCAGTAGCATCTACAGCTACAGCCAACTCAACTCTCAAGGACCCGAGCACGCCAAGTCGTTCTTCAAATCCTCACCGCATCCCTATGCACTTCCGGACACCACCCAGCGACGCTCCCATCAAAAGCGCACCTGGTCAAGTGTGCCATCTCGCTCGCCTACCCGCCGAACTCCGCACCATGGTCTACGACTTCGTCATCGAGCCTGAGCTCGATCACTACATCGACCGCCACTATCGCAGCCGCCAATGGCGCCCCGGCCGCACTCTCACCGTGTTATCGCTTGCCCACGTCTGCCGCCGCATCCGCTACGAAGTCTCATATGAGTTCTACCGCCGAGCCCACATCAGCACCTACGCCGCCCACAACGACTACTTCCACGTCATGGCCTGGTTCCGCCACCTGACGCCGCTTCAACGCGCTGCAGTATCGCGGAATCCAAACTTTACCGTGGGGGTACATCCGAGCGCGTACTCGCCCGTCGTGACTAATGAAAAGTACGCTTGGGCTGTGACCCGGAATATTGGGAACATCTACGAGGTCTCGCCGCCCAATCGAGGCAGGTTTCTTAGACTTGGGTCCTTGGTCACTTGGTTTAGGTTCATTTCGCAGCCACCGCTCAGGGACATGGAATTCAAGTATTACATTGCGATGGAGAAGTTTCATTACTGGGGCCCGCTCGCGGTAAACCGTTTTGGGGCAGATGATGTGGATGAGGTTCTGCGACAGACGCTTGGGCCGCTTTGGGGGGAGTCGGGACGGCGGGCGCAGCTTAATGGGGAGCAGAAGGAGGCGGTGGTCCGGGGAGTCGAGAGGATGGTCAAGAGTTTGGAGGAGATACATGCTGCTCTGGGGATGGATTTCGGGAAATGGCATCGTCAGGTGAAGCATCTGCGCAGGTCATTGCTTGGCGATAGTGTTGAGGCGTCTAGGTAGTGGAAGCTAGTAGGTCTTCTGTGTCCCGTATGACTACGGAATGTGCCTTTCCAGAAGACTATTTTCGATATCTTCAATTCACAATGGCAATGCTTGGAGAGCACAAGTTCGGGCGAAAGCATGCAACAGAGAGCGTCGACATCTACAGTATCAAGACATAAGTTTAGGCGGGTCCTTGCAATTTCATGGGGTACCTCAATCATCACACTATGCCAAGATCAGGTTCTTAGCTAGAGCATAAGAAAAGCTGAAAGTGAGTCTACCTCTTCGCAAAGTGTTTCTTGCTTTGCATAAATTATTAGCTACAGCGCGCACCACGAACATTTCTGTAAACCAGTAACTTTTCTCTCTTCGAAACTAGTCATCATCTCTCATTCTCCCTCGTTATTTCTGTAACCATAAGCACAACGCGCCCGTCCCACCTGCTGCCGCTCCCGCGGCCACGAGAGTAGCGCTACCAGAGAAGCGCAACGCTCGACAGACCGCAGCCGTACTGACGGCGGCCGACCCCATCGCGACCATGTTCTCTCTCCTACCCAGCTTATACATCTCCAGTCTCCTCATCGTACCGGTCTCGATGCTAGATAAGCGGGACTGCACCATCTGACTCCACGCACGCGGAGCCGCTTCAGCCTTGCCAAGATAAGCCGGATAATCAAACTTAGTCGCCGGCGAAATCGTCATCTGCGTCGTGCTCTTCGAATGCCACTGCTTGAACTGGAACGTCGTGCCATCCTGGCGGGCGCGGGATTGCATGTACGCGTTCGTAGCGTGGCATATGTAATCCGAGTCTGTGGCCGGAACACAGTACCCTATTGTCCCGTTTCCATACACGAGGAAGAAATGCTCTGCGTCGTGCGCGCTCAGGGCCGCGAAGACAACCGGGCCCATGGTCGTGTCGCGGAGGTTCTCTTCTAGGCGAGCATAGGTGCCGACGTTGTACGTGCAGCTGGTGTCGGACCACAGCGCGATCCAGGTGCCGGCGATGCCGAGAGCGACTTGCGTAGGCTCGATGGGTGGGTTGGCGGTCTTTTTGGTTTGGATCTCGGACGCGAGGTCAGCTGGGAGGTTGTGTTGCAGCGTGCCAGATGATGATTTTGCAAAGTAACTGCCCTTGGGACCAATGGTTACGGATATGTTGCGGAGTGTTTCTAGGGAGCCAGCGTCGGATGATGCGATTTTATCGAATAGCTGTTTGTATACAGTCCTGTGCTTCATCCCTAACTCAAATTAGAACTGCCCAAGGCGGGAAGGGAATGCTACTGACATTGCTCTGCTGCGCTAGTCGCGATTACTAGCTGCCAATCAATTATCTGGGATATGCTAAAGCTAGGGCCGAGAATAAGAGAGCCTTACCTTGCTCTGGAGCGTTGATCCACGTCCAAGCTGGCGAAAGGTGCTCGTCTTGGCAGGCTATGAGCAAGTCGCCTTCGGGGGCTATCGAGGCAGCGTAGAGCGAATGCCATGTGTCTGGTATAGCCTTGACCACAGCCGTATTTCCCCAGCTGCATTGGTGACAGAATAAGATGAAGGCCACCCATGGCAGTCTGAAAGCAGGAAAACATACTATTGCGACCTTGGGTTTGTGTATATAAAATACGACCGGTTTGGCCCAAAGGAGAAAAACACGTCTGGACGTGTGGAGCGGCGTGCTATGTCTTCTTTGCCCTTCTCCTCATCGTCACTCTGATCGATGGGCTTCTCTGCATCATGTTGCTCGGTGCTTGACTCGTCAGAGTTTCCGAGAGTGGTGTTCTCATGGTCGCGTTCAGGGTTGTCGGTGTTGTCCACTTTTTCTTTCATTGAAATCGCATAGGGAAAGACTTGGAGCAGAATCAAATGTGGGATGACTAGAAAAGATTAATTCTCTAGAAAGAGAAAAACGTGAATGCATCAAGGAAATTGAATCAAGAAATTTAGAGGTTGCCTGAATTCGGCCCCCAATCAATGTCAACAATACGTCATCGTTGCTGCTAACCCTACTTTGTGGTTGTGTACGGACAGACGACTTGTGTTTTATTTTCCTTGCTCGCCTAGGGATAACTCGCTGGAGCTTCTGGGAGGCAGGCCCATAAAACACACACAGAGCCAGGTCTTTAAAATGGAGCTGTGTCACGGGCAAGCACGTGATGTACGAATTAATATGGATATGTAGGTGTTGGCACGGAGCTGCTTTGATCGAATAGGAGGTAGTAAGTTGAAGAGAAAAGTGAGGCTGCCCCGCGCATCGTAGTGCAAGGTACCAGCTATTTCAACCACACCTTTTACTTCTACACTCCGCCTCTGCTTGGCCCTGTGTTTTTTCTCTCTCAGCCGAATCACAGAGGTTATCACAGCCCCAAGCTTTACACGCCCGCTTTATACGTGTCGCAGGTGACACTAGCCAGGTGATGTCCTAGTGTTCCGACTAAATTATCGGCATGCCACCTCAAGTGCTAGGTACATGGAAGACAGGATCTGCTCGTATTTCCGTCCACTCACCGCCCATGGCGGGGCTTTTTCCCACCATCATCTCCTACCTCCTGCCTCCTGCATGAAACCTTCACAATAGACTTACAAATTCACAGTAAAAAGAAATGGCCTCTGCTTCTTCGCAACCTCCGAAATACGTAAAAGTCACTGTTTACATAACACGCTCACCTGACTGCACCCACGAGGAGTTCCATCGGTGGTGGACCGAGAAGAATGCTCAGGTCTTAATGCAAAACGAGGTTTTCAGAGAAAATATCCGCAGATACAACCAAGTATGCAATCAACCCAGCCTCTCTGGCCCTATTTAACCGCCTAGATGAGGATGGAGTTAATCGTGACAACAGTATCATATCACGCCAGAGTTGAGAGAGGCAGTGGAAGACGCGGGTTTACCAACGCTTGACTATGATGGCGTGCAAGAGTTGTGGTTTGATAGCGTGGATGACTGGAAGGATGTGATGAGCAATCTTGACTTTGTGATGGCGATTGATGGTGAGTCCTGCTATGAGATTCAAATTTTTTAGGGAGATGCTGAACGATTTCTCCAGAGGATGAATCGCGTTTCGTAATACAAAATCAAAGAGTGATGATTGGGTATGATAACCTGGTTTTTGGAAAGGAGGTTCTACCATAGTTGGTATGATAGAAGAGATTTGGGATAATTAGGCAGGCCTAAGAAGAATACCAAAGGTAGGTGACGCTGAGTCGGGCCGCATTCTGTAGTACACTAACCTGTGGTCTAGATGGACTGGCTCCCGTTTATGCACCTCAGCGCTATGCACGGTGCTTCGTCATAAGAATCCGTACAATATCTTGCCACTTCATATGGTGCCTTATACCATTTTGGGATTCTAGAATGGACGTAGTTCAGCGTCTTGGGCAACTGGAAATATCGCGGGGCCACCCTAGACAGTGGTAGAGGGGTGCACACTGACAGGAGGAGTTAGTCATCGCCACGTTGAGGTTGGGCATTTTGGCGGAAGTTCTAGGACAATCACGGCTATGTCAGGGTCGGTCTCACAAGGTAGGGTGGGGATGCGCTACAACGCAGTTAGTAGGTAGCACTTAGTAGCACTTACAGAGTACATCAGCGAGACGAAGTTCTTGAATGGGAATCCACATTAGCATATTGATCGTAGTCATATTCTGAGATAAAGTGAGACAAACCAAAACGCCTTGTCCTCTGTGAAGTCTGACATCATCTTGAAATCGACCCTCAATCTATTCTCTAATGGCCTCTCCCTCGTTCCCGAGCTAGCTCTGCTTTTTTAGATGTTCCATATCACCGTAATAATAATGCTGTGTTGACCGCGAGGGAAGACGCACGAAGGTCTAGTACCGGTAGCGGGTAGAGTAGTCCTTCGGCGACACAACCAGACCACGACCCTTCTTCGCGCCGCGGTAGATGGTCTCGATGATGTCGATTAGTTCCTGCTTGTCTTCGAGAACCCAGTTGAGCTTATTGTTGTTGCCGGTGCCGAAATCGCACATCATGTGCTTGTTGCGGAAGAAGAACATGATGGTCATGGGGTCGTATAGTTCGTACCTATTCAAAGAGCATCGCAGTTAGCTTCGCTTCCTTCTGCGGTAGAGGCGCAAGGCCGGGGAGGATACGTACATTTGCTTGAAGTCAGGGACCTGGTCCAGATCGCAGAGGTAGATGACGGCGAAGTTCTTGACGCGGTCGGCAATCCGGAACAGAATCTCGTCTTGTGCCATGCAATCTTTGTCCCAGTCGCGGCCAAAGCGAATGATGACCAGGCGCTCTTCTTCAGACATGATGGCTTGGTCGACGTGCCAGCCAGTGGGCAGATGGGGGAGGACGACGGAGCCCATGGTATCGGTAGTGGTGAGGTAGAACTGGAGCGGTAGCTAGAGAAGTGGCAAGAGCAGAGTCGGAGGAGAGCTGGGTTCGTGGTGGATGGCGGTGGCTGAGGCCGTGGGGTTTCTCCGGGCAGTTCCAAGGTTTGGGATGTTGAGTACGAGGGGAGTGGGCGGTTTAGTGAGACCGGTGAAATGCTGCGCACGTTGACTACGATCTACTCGCTCCACTAAATGAGAGCAGCCTAATTTACCTCAGGCACGCGGGCAGCCTTCTGCACTGCCTGACCTCTCAATCAGCTGCCAACTAACGGCGCGTAGGTCATAGATCAAGGCATACAACATACAACATAAAAGGATGTAAAACCCTCAAGCACCTCCAGCCTTTTCACTAATCTTCCAGCCAACCGTGCCATCTTAACCCAAAAGAAAGCAACCGAGTAACCTGTTGGCGCTTTGTCACAGGCCTCACTGCTAAAGTCTGACATCACTATGGTTCTAGTCAATAAATCTCTCGATACCAACTTTCGTCGCATCTCACAACTGTTCTCTCAGAAGGGCCCTCGATCACTACGAGAGAAGCATACTCAAGAACCTGCCGAAACCCCGGGGCAAACAACTCTAGAAGGGCCGGAAAAGCAGAGCGTGAAACACGTAAAACATGACTCCGCTGTATACATGGACGATCCCGCACCGATTCCCCTCCAGGAACCAGCCCTCCACAAACTACCCGTAGAGATCATCCAAGAGATCGCGTCCTACCTAAGCAAACTCGAAAAAGCCTCCTTCTGCCTAAGCTCTCGCTTCACGTGCTACGCCGTCGGTACCCAGGAGCTCCACACCCTCCTCAGGCATGCGTACGGCACCAAGTTCGACCGCCGGGCGAACAACAGAATCCTCGAAAGAGCCTTCCCAAGCCACTGGTTCTGCGCCTGGTGCGACAAATTCCACCGCCACGATCGAGCCGGCGGGCCCCTAGACTTCGATCGCGAGACGCCGCGGGAGTGCGCCCAGTTCAACAGCTTCCTGCGCTGTGGACCCGGCTTCACGCTCGCCTACCATCATGTGCGGCTGGCTATGAACCGGCACTTCTGCGGGCCGGAATACGGGATTCCCCTTGACGACTTCACGTACTCATCAAAGCAAATGGTGAAGATACTACGAGCCAACTGCCAGATGGAGACCATCACTAAGGCTCGGATTGTAGCCAACCAGTTCTTACTCCACGCCGCATGCACTGTTACGATACCCCTCAGGCTGCGGCCTCAACGGGACATAGCGAGCGAGATCACGAAAGCAATGCCGCAGGTTGTCGTGGGCCACCGAAGTAAAGAGCACGGGCATAAAGACTTAGTCGGGGTCATCCAACGCTTTCTCTCAATGATGCCGCCGCAAGATTTCTTCCAGTCCGAAGTCAACTACTGCGGGCAGTGCTCGACGGACTACCAGGTCACGTGTCGCTACTTGGGCCCTCTGTACTCAGACCTGCGGACGATTGAGATCATGGTCGAGGTGTGGCGGAACTTGGGCGTGGGCAAAAGCCCTTTCGACGCGCTATGGCGAGCTCATGGGGAGACACAGGGCCAGAAGGTGGTCGGGAAGGCAAAGACGTGGAGTCCCATGGATAAAAGTGAGGCTGGAGTGATCAAGGAAGCTTTCCAGAAAGAGGGCGAGCTGGAGCGGTTGGGACAGTTTGGGACGCTCCAAGGTAATGCGTTGGTGCTGAAGAGTTGGGGATGATATAAGGATGCTGGGTCCCTATGGGCGGAAGTGATTCGATCTAATGGCGTACTCATTTCTCTGGGATATCGTTGGCCTTGATCTACTAGATTGAAGATTTAGTTGGAACTGATTTACATTTCAGCATAGAAGAGCTAGAGTACTAGGTCATCTCGGGCTCACGGATATATCACTGCTCCGACTCCACTCTTGCTCGATCAACACTCCTGTGAGGAGTGTTTCAGCTATCAGGTATTAGCTTCGTCGAAAGGCAGTCTGGTCTCCACTACGTTAGTCTTTACATCGTATTCGGAGTTTTAAAGGCCTATCGGGGGTTACCTAGCAGATCGCTTCTCTGTGAACAACAAGCGAAAATGAAATGAATAGGTACCATGAGCATGGAAATTCATTAAGTGTACATACATCTACGTGACTGGTATGATTGAGTGTAGAAACGAGTCCCTCCTCTCACTACCCCACGAAGCCCGTCCTCCGTCTAGAGAACAAGAAAAACCAAAAAACCAAAGCACACTCACAAAAGCCCCCCCATGCCCAAGGCAACCATAGCAGCTTCACCACTCCGCAAGCCCAGATACACGAGCCCCAACGCCCCGGCCATGCACCCGGTAAACACTACCCCCTTCCGCGCCCACTTCCACACCCACGGCTTTCCCTCGTGGAAAGCAGCAACCCTCTCAACTATGACGCTAGCCACACTCGGCGGTGTGTGCGCCTTCACGAGACAACGTAACTGGAGCCGGTCGACCTGCTTCTGCATCTCTGTGTTTCTCTGGCGGAGAGACAGGTTTTCTTGCGGAGGTCCTTATTGAGCCAAAGGAGGGTGTTATTGCGAGAGAGGAGGCACTTAGCATCTTTGAGCTGAGCGTTGTCGGTTTCCAGCCGCTTGTCATCTTCCTGCAAGTGTTTGATGTCTTGTGCGACGTCTGTTTGATTGTTAGATTTGTGCGTGCTAAGTTGGGGTTGAGGGAATGGGGAAAGGGGAGGGATGGGACGCACTGTGGCGGATGGCGTGGCGGACGGATTGCTCTTGGGGTTGGGCGGCGGTGGTGGTGCCCCAGAGATATCCGACGATGTCTAGCAAGTCAGCAATGAGAAGGAGAGAGGAGGGCATGCTTTAATATCTCTATGCCACTTTGAGGTCGAACAACGAGCTATTTGGAGGATCTGGGAGCTGCCCCAGGCGGTAGCTGGAGCTCTGAGTCTAGGGACCGATGGGCGAGATGTCCAGGCTGCGCTAGCTGTGCCTGCTGCAACTTAGCAAGTAGCTCTTGGTGAAAAGGAGATCATTGAACAGTGCTAGGATGTTGGTCTGTGGAGACTTGGGTTGCTACCAGGTGTGGTGCTTCGATACTTCTTCAACTTTTGTACAAGACGACTACAATGACCACAGGCGTGGCTCAGCTGGGTGTTCGTTCAATCAAGAACATCGAAAAGCTAGGCTAGAGGTTGCCTTGAAGAGCTCACCGTTCTCGCGGGATGTTGTAAATGTGTTGAAGCAGCCCGTATGGCGGCAACGACGTGTCCATAGAGCTGTGTCCTATTACTTTATCAGAGTCTCAAGAGGCGACCATACCTCTAGCAGCATTGAAATGATGGTGATTCATTAGAGGGCGCCTGACAGGCGCTCGAGCCTGACTGGAGAGACCGAGTACATGGCGAGAGGCGGCTATGACGGCCATCTTGAGGAGGCTTGGTGATAAGGTCGCTCCAGCATGACACGCGGAAGCTAGCATACTGGAGGAAGTAGTCGTTAACGACATTTTGATAATGTTTGATATAGTCGAGACCGTTGAAATTGTGAGAACGATGATTTGAGGACGTCGAGTTTTGATGGTGCGTCCTTCAAGGCAGGTGACGAAGTACGTGCCGGTTCCAAGGCCGATTCTGCTTCATCCACGGTACACTGCTAAAAGCTTATCAATATTCGTACAATCACTCACCACTCTCTGACTTTCTTCAGTATGATTTCAGCAGGTTTAACGCAATGTGATTATATGATCATGACCGTGGGCGGTCCTGAATATGAGACGTTTATACCAAAAATCCAACTAGTGTCTCTAGCATCTCCCGTAGGTTTGCCTGCTCCGACCCATCCCCAGTAACGGCGTCAATTTCAGTCAGCTGCTCTTGCAGAATCTTCCTTATGTCGCCCAGACTCTCATCTCGTTCAGCTAGCGCCTTGACGATCGCTGCTTTCGCGCCATCATCTTCCGCAATCAACCATGCGAGGATCACATCTACCATTTGTAGACTGAACAAACCTCCGTCCAGACGTTGAGAGAACCAATTATCCGCCATAGAGTCAACTTCATCTTTGCTCAGATTGCTCTTTTCCTCCTTGATCCGTGCATCCACTGTAGCGACACGTGCAGCAAAATCCCTTCTCAAAGTGACTAATTTTATGATCTTCTCATAGTCTTTCTCCATGAACTTGGCAAGTGTACGTATCCGGGCTGCTGATGCTGCGGATAATGATCGAAGCATAGCGGCGAATATACCTAAGAGATGCTCCGTAGTCGATGCGTCTTGCTTCTTCATGAACATGCGGAAAAGTGTCTTCAGGCCAGCAGCTTCAACCACTTTCTCGCAGACCAAAGCACCACGGTTCGGGTTCACAGTCTCTTCTTCTTTTTTGGATTTGCCCTTCTTGTAACTAGGATCAGACTCCTTAGCCTCAGCGTAGCCTACCGCATGGTCTAGCACCCGCAACGCTCGCGGCTTGCTCATCTTTCCCTCTCGTAGCATTATTAGGCACAGCTCTACACCTTCGGCTTCCACAAACTTCGTCTTTCCTTCGGGCTCATCCACTATGCAAGTCAGGCAATCGAAGAGGTTCTCGACGTATTCTTCTTCCTCCCCGTCTTTATGTGGGTCGCGCTTTCGGTATGCGGCGAGGAGTTGAAGGAATATATCGACGGCGTCGAGGCTGCTCAAACGTTTACGGTTGAGTGAGGAGGACTGGGAAAGGATGGCGAGTATTTCTGCCGCGTATTGCTTATTCTGGGATACGGGTGACTCTCTCTTCTGTATGCGGTCGAGCAGCCATTTGGAAAGTGCAGTGTCGCTGCCTATGCGGTCCGAGTTGGCGGGTTGGGAAGCAAGATTCTCTATGACACTGAGAGAGTGGTACACGCCGCTGCGGTCAGCCTCATTATCCTCGTAGAAGCGTGAGAAGTTCGAGACAAGTAGTCCAAGGAGATCAGCATCAAACATCGCCGCGAAAAGCGCATCCCATTGCTCTGGCGTGGCCTCTACGTCGTCGTCTGTGAGCTCGGAAATGATCTCGATTGCATCAATCGCAATGTCTGTATTTTCGTGGGCCAGCAACGACACTAGCGAGTTGACACAGCCCAGTTTTGCAAACTCTTCGTATAGCTCTGGATGTTCGGAAAGAATGGATAGGGTTTTGATGTCCGTATCTAAGTCGGCTTCAGAGTTTATGAACTTCTGAGGCTCGTCTTCAAACTTCGCGCGAAGCTCGGCATTCTTAGATATCCGCTTTTCGAAGTTCAAGGCTAGCTTGCGGAGCCAGGAGCTGTCTATCTTTTCATCCACGAATCGGTCCTCAGTCTCTCGTGTGTCTAGGTAGTCGAGGGCCTGTTTGGCGTTGTCGTCTATGCCGGTGCCAAAGAATCGACCTTCGTCATCCTCATCAGGCCCATCCTCTGGCTGGATATCGGAAGGCAGTTGCGGCCCCGCCTCCTCCTCCTCATCTATCTCATCCTCTGCGAAGGGTGTCGCGTACTGCTTTACGTGGCCATTGGTGGACAGTTTGGCGGACTTGTAGGATTTCGAGGGATCTGGGAGCTCTTCGAGCTTGCGCTTGGAGGGTAGGTTTGGTTTCTTGAAGAGATCGTCAATGGAGGTCATGTTGTGATGTCGTGTTTGGCTGGACGAAGCTCTGCGCCTGACCTCGGGATATACTGCCGGGCGGTGGACGAGTGAAATATTAGCGGCTGGGCGGCGTGACTTTTCCCACGTGCGCCCCTCGCTTAAGGTGGTTAGCGTGATGTACCTTTGTATGGAGAAAAGAAAAACAGACCTGCTATACTCCGTCTTCTTCTCACTACCTCACCACTGCCGTCTGCCACCTACAGAGGTACCTTGGATTGCCCAAATATGGGGCTGAGCCTCGTGGTTCAGTTACCCGATTGACATACACTGGCCGCGTTGCCCGTGTTCGATATAGTAGCCCTGTTCCACAACGTCCCAGCCCGTTTCTTCTTTTCACCTCATATGCGCCGGTAACATATACCTCGTGTTCCTGTCACTGCTACTTGCATTTGTAGTCACCTGTCGGGCTTCAGGGGCCGTCGCGGCGTTCACTGTCTCAAATGGAATCGAAGCATCTGCGCAACAGTCACTTTATGATTGCAGCACGAAAGCCGTATACTATGTCACTACAAATCTCAATAAAGCTCTATACACGTTTTGTCTCAGGCAGGTAATGCTCTATTTTCAGAATTTGGCCGGCCAACCTTCGTGCAGGAGAGTCTTCTTGGCTAGCCAAATTCAGCCTCACGGGAAGAGATAGCCTCGCTCTTCTCTATCCACGTTTCAGCCCTGTCCTGTGGTGGCATTGTTAAAGCCGCTCTGATGCCAAGGTGATTAGTACGAGGCAAGACTCCTGTATTATCCACCCTTCTATGAATATCAGACTGTAATCCCCGTCTTGGACGAAAGGATGACAGGTACAATCGTCCTCTTCAGTAGTGACCAGTCTGTCAGAACCTCGGTGACGACAAGCACATTTTGCACATCCAATGCATCCTTTCCATCCAGCGCGGATTCATCATAGATGGCGTTGGCTTTGCAGCACCGATCTTTTCAAAGGCGTTTCGTCAGTAAGGGTAGGAGGTAACACAACCGCAACGAAGAGCATCAAAAGGCGGGCTTCGCAGGCTTCGGTGCAGTTGGCTCCAGCGACGACAGGAGGAGTGACTCTTACGCCGGATCCTGAGGTATAGGCAACGCTCACGGCTTTGCAAAGTATCATGAGCAACCCACCGGAAGTGTTAAGCCTTGTTCTTCATGTCGCGTCAATTCTTGAATTCCTTTGGATGGGCGGTTATGGAACACGGGATTGTTTTATGGAGGAACGGATTTCCACGACAACATGAGTATTCTATTCAAGTACTACCATGTGCCCATGTAATGAATTTCGACAAACGGCCTGTTCTTGATGATGAGTGAAGGTCTCACAGGAAGCTTTCCGCAGGAACTCGAAATCCCAAAGACGCGCACGGCCCCAGGTACGACCTGTTGGCGGAGGGGTGGAGCCGTCTGATCGCCCCCGAATCATGGACCCTAGCCAATCAGCAGCAGATGGGGAGCCGACGGGATCGGACGCGATACGGGGTGAAAGGCCGCCCCCTGCGCCTCACCAAGCGCGACCACTCATACTTGACGTAGGTGTCGTTTTGACAGGGCAGATCCAGCCGCTTCCGTCCTTCGCGTGAAAGGCGGTGCACCGCTGTCATCTTTATTCGGAATAAAGGAGGTGATCTTACGATATCGGGCATCGGGCGCCGGGTGCTAGGAATAGAGCCATGAATTGGTCTCACGGTCTTGCAAGGGCACCGTGCGAGCTTTAGTGAAGAAGTCGATCCTGGAGGATAAATATCCGTCGTCATCTTCAGTTTTCTGGCCATCATCGAACTTGCCTCACTCCGAAATATTTTCCATATCTGTTTTTGTGAAGACACAGCCGTTCTAGTCTTTACCCAACTCTCGCTCAAGCTTCAGTAGATCTTAATCAGTAATATGGCTACCACGAGCGTCTCTACTCCTATCCCGGCGGGAGTGTCTGTTCAGCACACTCTTCAGGCTCTACACAACCATGAGCTCATGAGTATGTCCTCCTTTCTCAGAAACCTTATTGCTGGATTCTAATCACGCTCGTAGTTAGGACCCTGTGTCCATCATTGATCACCTACAGCCTGGAATCAGGCGACCCAGCGAGTACAGCAACATACTCCGTTACCGATAAGAAGCCAATTGGACAGGTAAGGAACACCTCCAGCATTACCATACGATATCTAACATGCTCACAGACCACCTACAAACTCACCCTCACCAACACCCCTTACGGCATTAAGAGTCTCGTTCAAGCCAAGCCTCCTACCGGCATCCTCACCATTGCTGGCAACTGGTGTATTTCGAATGGTAGTCTGCGCGAAGACGTGGAAATCGAGGGCAATTTCATGATGAAGAAGATGGCGAAGGGGAACGTGGAGAGGACGCACCCGCAGCAACACAGCTTACTCCTTCAGCAGGCGACTGCCTGAAAGCTTGGTTCTCGATATACCTAGGTATCTAGGACCTTGCGGCTTTTGATGAATGATGACATAATTGGGCGTTTTGGGTTCACGAACTGGGCATTGGGGAGCGAGCGATCGGCAACGCATATATCAAGGCGTTGGGACGTTGATAATCTTTAGAAAAGGGGGCGACAGACTCTTCGGTCTGCACATACTTGCTTGGATAGGAGGAATCTAATAATACTCCAATACCTTGAATCCGATTGAAGTGCTTCGTAAGTGTAGCAATCGGGTGCGTTCATTAGCCTTCCTTAGGTGATTGATAACAAAGCTTAATAAGCATACTTAGAAGTTCTTCTCTCAAACTGCACAGCATTGGATATTGCTATTCCGCCCTACCTCGAAATGCCCGGATCGTCGGCCTGTGCGGCTTTATTCATTCTGCCGGTCCCTGTGCGTCCCTGGCGTCCAGGATCCGCGTCGCCCATCCCAGATCTCTCCCAAACCCTCCAAAGTAATGGAAACATGACAGTCCTTTCGAGACTCATCCTCAAACTCTCAGTCTGTCAAGATGCTCGAGCAATCTCACGCAATCAGCGCCAAGGAGCAACCTTGCATTGCCAAGTTATTCCGCCCCGCGCCTGTCGTCACCGGACATGAATCCGTCAATCTCATGAGTTCTCAGCTCTACCACGACGTTCATACCTATGAAGTAGCCTGCCCAGCACGACTACTTCGCCTACGCACACCAAGCTTTCCTTAAGCAAGGCTTGACATCGTCCGCCGCTCTTGTCTTCTCTCCATCCATGCTCCTGCCGACACCATGGCCGAAGAAATAGTCGTACGTTCCTTCCATACACACCACACCTCACCTCACCTCACCTCACCCGTCTTCCCTTAAATTCCAATCAACTTCCACATCTCTCGCTTCGTCAACCTAACACACTCTCCAGGAACTCGGGTTCGAAGGCATCAACAAATTCGCCGAAAAATACCACGACCCGCTGCACGACAAGGCCTGGGCCGCGTACCAGCGCCGCAAATCTAAGTCCAAAAAGACAGGCGTGGATCCAGGTCCACCACCGCCTGGACCTGACCCCTCGAATTCTGGACTACAAGATCAGGACCAGAGAGACGATATGGAACCCGAGTACGACGTTGGCCCGCGGCGACGAGGCGGAGGCGGAGGCGGAGGACGTCAAGAAAGAGAGAGGGACTCTAGAGACGAGGAGTACGAGCGCCGCGACCGCGAATACCACCACAATCGGTCCCGCGATCGCGGAGGCGGAGGAGGCTATGGCGCCGCCGCTGGAGCTGGAGCTGCAGCGGGGGCTGCAGCCGCATATCCAGACGACGACTCTTACAACACGCCGCGAAGCGCATACGCACCCGCGCCATACGGATACGCAGCAGCACCTGTACGTTTACCACCCCCCAAAATATGTTTGTAGTTGCAGAGATGCTGACGGAGCTACAAAGCCCCCCGCACCCCCATACAACCCAAACGCCATGGCCATGACCACCCGCGGCCAGTCTTCCCCCCCCTCCCAGCGTCCCCGCCAAACCCGCCGGCGATCATCCTCTCAGACTTATCCCTATCCCCCTCCTAATCAGAACTCCAACCCCACATCGCCTCGCTCCCGCCGCCGCCCCCACCGTTCGCGGTCGCGGTCTCGATCGGAGTCTCCGAATGCACGTGGTCTCGCAAGTTCGGTCGTTGGCGCTCTAGCGGGTGGTTTGGTGGGCAACGAGGCGAGTAAGGGGGATACGTTTACGACGCTGGCGGCGGCGGTGATTGGGGCTGTGGGGGCGCACAAGGCGGAGAAGAAGTGGGAGAAGCGGAGGGAGAATAAAGACGAGAGGAGAGGTGACGATAGCGGCGGGGGCAGGAGGAGGGGTGGCGGGGAGAGGGGCGGGGGCCGAGATGAGAGGGATGAGAGAAGGCGGAGTGGAGGTGGTGGTGGTGGCGGAGGAGGGTATAGATGAGGTGTTGAGGGAGGGAAGATGGGAGGCCATGGGGTTGGTCCTGACAACGATTGAGGCGTAGGAAGACTTTCTACGGACGGCTTTTGAAATTGAACTGGAGTAGGGGTATCGGTGTTCACATCTTAAGGATATGGTCGATACCCAACACAGAAATTCCTACAATACCACAATACTGTATGAGGACCAGAATCGGGTTAGAAACTTGATATTAGCCAACATAGCTACAACCTCAATCTTTGTTGAGAGCACTTCTGTTGATTCCTGAAGCCTCGTAGCGCAGCTTCTGTAGCCTCCAGGCAGTATACTATCGGCGTACACTTTCAAGTAAGCGAAAATTTCATCATCGCGGCGTATTTCTCGTCACGAATTCAAAAACTCAATACCATTCACGATCCCGTTTCTCAGCATAACGCACGCCCGTTTATCTGCTCCGCGTCTGGGGCATTATCAACACAGAGAAGACCGTATCGACCATAATTCGCGGCCTCGCTTTAGGAAGTGTCACTCAGTCCGACTGGTATCGAACGTAGGGTTGTTAATAAAGGAGCTTATACCTTGGATCCTCAAGGTCACACCATGCTTATAATATCGCCTTGTACTCTAGATTGGGAGAGCCCAGTGGGTAACAATAGAAGATCCAGGAAACAGACCTATCTATAGAGTGGAGAGGCCTACGTACGACGCTACGAGCGACCAAGACCGACGCGAATACCGCCTCCAGATCGAGAGAGCTCCCAGTGTTACTATACACTGTGTACGAAACTGCACTCAGGAGATCGAATTGAGAAGAAACGTACGATACAAGGTGCCGTTCACAATGTCACAAGGCAATGCAGGAATCGTGAAGAAGACCTCTCACTACAGTATATTGTGTATACAGACGGAGTAACTAGAAGGGTGAAGAAGAGGCGCGGAGGGCCGACCGAGAGGTAGACAAGGGCCGGCCGAAGCGAGGTCATATAGAATTATCTAGCTGTAAATCTGACCTTCATATAATGTGTTATATTGAGGCAAGGCCCAAAAGACTTGGCTAGATTTAGAGCCCCCCGGACTCTATCGGCGAACACTGAAGAGACGGAGACAAGGGCCCTAGGTTGGCTGGGGACAAATCTTCTTGGTCTGGAGTAGAAGCATCATTTACTTTGGACACCATTTGAACAGATCAGGCTGTTCTCCTTCTGTTCAAATGGTGATACGTCTTGCTTTTGTGTCGACAGTGAGGCCTCCGAGGGTTGATGTTCGAGACCCGACGGTGACGTCGTTGTATCCAGAGTGTGGGTGATCGTGGCCCATATCGAAGCATCTTGGATATTTCGAAGTAGTTGAGAGTCCCATACGACATGGATGTCGGCGTCCAATACGTAACCGAACGAGCATAGTGATGACAGAGCCCAGGTGAGCTTGATGCGCGTGAGGAGCTTCGAGCTCTTCGCGTATTGCGCCGTTGGGAAACCATTCTCGATGGTTTCTTTATGCTGGTATCCGCTATTCGAAGCTGCTGTGATACAGTACGATAATCTTGGACGATCACGCAAATCAAAGGTGTTATGAACAAGATGTTGATTCGCGGGATGCCAGACGCGACAGTCCATCTCCGCAATTCCCGGCCTTGGCATTGAAGCGAGCTAGTAACAAAATTTCGTCGCAGCTCCCGCAGGTTGACCCCTCCGACAATACACCCAAACACCGCCCACGATGCCGATCAAGAAGTCGACCAAGAAGTTCGAGAAGAACCACCTGAAGGATGCCCTCAGCCGGAGAAAAGATTTTGCAAAAACCAAGCAGAAGCAGCAGATAAAGGCCAAGCGACAGGAACGAAATGCGAAAGACAACGCACGCGCCGCCGACGTCGAGGAAGAGGAAGCTGTCAAGAAGGCCAAAAAGAATAAGGATGGAAGCAAGTTTGCGGATATGAGCGTGGACGACTTCTTCCAGGGCGGGTTTGAGGTCCCCGAAATGCCCAAGAAGAAGGGCAAGAAGTCGGCAGCGAAGGCTAATGGAGTTGCGCCAACGACCGGAAAGCGGAAGCGAACCGCTCCAGCAGAGGATGCAGAAGTATCAGATGCGCAAGCAGGAGACTCTGGGTCTGAATTGGGGTCGGAAGACGGCATTGGAGCCCACAAGGACGATCTGGAAGCTCTCAAGAGCAAGGATCCCGAGTTCTACAAATACCTCCAGGAGAACGACGCCGAGCTACTGGACTTCGATGAGGATGCAGACCTCGCCGAGATCGACGCTTTGAGCGAGGATGAGGACGAAACAACGCCCAGGAAAAAACAGAAGAAGGATGCTGAGGGCAGCGACGAGGTTACAAAGGCTATGGTGAAAAAATGGGGGACTGCAATGACGGAAAAGCACTCTCTGCGGGCGACCAAGGAAGTGGTATTGGCTTTCCGAGCGGCATCACATTTGAACGAGGAAGACGGGAAGGAATACAAATACTCCATCTCGAATTCAGATGGTAGGTTTAAAGCTTGTATAGTATCTGCGTCTGCTAACTCGAATAGTATACCATGAGCTACTACTTATCGCTCTAAAGCACGTACCAGAGATCATCAAGCATCATCTGCCGACAAAAGAAACAGCGGCTGGCAAAGTGTAAGTGCCACAATGAGAACTCTCGATGCTTGTGACTAATTGGAATGCAGCCGTGTTCCTACAGACTCCAAGAAATACCGGACTCTGGCACCTCTTCTCAAGTCCCATACGACATCTGTCCATCATCTTCTGGAGAACCTTTCCGACACCGCGACTGTACGGTTGACGCTAGATTCATTACTCGAGATATTGCCGTACATTCTATCCTTAAAGAAGCTCATCCGAGACATCATTAAGACAGTGGTGGCAGTTTGGTCAGACACAGGGAGTACCGAGGTCACCAGAGTTGCTGCCTTCTTGATCTTACGGAGAATGGTTGTCATCGGCGACCCGGGAATCAAAGAAGCAGTCCTAAAGACCACATATCAGGGGCTTGTGAAAGGCTCCCGAAACACAACCGTCCACACTATCCAAGGAGTCAACCTGATGAAGAACACTGCCGCCGAGCTTTGGGGACTCGACGCCAACATCGGCTACACCACCGGTTTCAACTTCATCCGCCAACTCGCGATCCACCTGAGATCAAGCATCACCAACAAAGAAAAGGAGTCCTACAAAACAGTCTACAACTGGCAATACGTCCACTCCCTCGACTTCTGGTCCCGCGTCGTCTCCGCCCACTGCGAGACCCTCCGCGAAGCCGAAAGCGGCAAAGAATCGCCCCTCCGCCCCCTCATCTACCCCATCGTCCAAGTCACCACCGGCGCCATGCGCCTCATCCCCACCGCGCAATACTTCCCCCTCCGCTTCCAGCTCATGCGCTCCCTCCTTCGCATCTCCATGGCCACAGCAACCTACATCCCGCTCGCCCCGGCCCTCTTCGAAGTCCTCAACTCCGCCGAGATGAAGAAACCCCCCAAGCCCAGCACGCTCAAGTCGCTAGACTTCTCCACCATCATCCGCGCCCCCAAAGCCTACCTCCGCAGCCGTGCGTACCAAGACGGCGTCGGCGACCAAGTCGCCGAGCTCCTCTCCGAGTTCTTCGTGCTGTGGGCCAAGAGCATCGCGTTCCCCGAGCTCGCGCTGCCCGTCATGGTCGTGCTGAAGCGGTGGGTCAAGGACATGTCGAAGAAGAATCAGGGGAACAAGAACGGCCGCGTGAACGCGGCGATCGGGCTGGTCGTGCAGAAGCTCGACGCGAATTCGAAGTGGGTGGAGGAGCGACGGACGAAGGTAGATTTTGCGCCGAGCAATCGCGCGGGCGTGGAAGGGTTCTTGAAGGAGGTGGGGTGGGAGAAGAGCCCGTTGGGGGCGTTTGTGATTGGGCAGCGGAAGCAGAGGGAGCAGAGGGCGAAGTTGGTGGAGGAGGGGCGGAAGGCGGAGGAGAGGGAGAGGAAGGAGGATCGAGAGGAGATGGAGGTGGATCAGGGTGGCGAGTTTGAGGCATCAGAGGATGAAGAGGAGATTGATGATGATGAAGGATCGGAAATGTCTGAATAGGCGACTGAGGCAGACGTGGCATTGGGTCTCTTATAGAGACGTGACGCAGCACTCATGAATGGCAAGACCTTGATCTTAAAAATATGTGTGGGTATCAGCGCACGTAACCTTACAGTCTATGTACCAAGCCGTGCGACCGTTGCAAATATCACGACCGCCGGTCCAAATCTCAAAGCTCCAAGACTCAAGCACCGCTAGCTCCAGCCCCCGATCCCAAGCTCTCCCCCTTAATCTCATCCCCATCCTTCCGCCCTAGCATCTTCAGCCTATGCTCCTCCTCCGCCAAACTCTGCTTCTTGACATACTCCAGCACAATCTCCTCCTCCGTCCTCTGCTTCTCCAGCGTACTCTTCTGCCTCTCGTCCTCTAGCCTGCTAGCCTCCAATGCCTTCCTGAGTGATTCATCGTCATCCGGATAGCCCTCCTCTTTCCCCTCCGCCCCCGCAACCGCATCCGCCGCCGCCTTGGACTGGTCAACCGCTCTCCTCACGTCCTCCTCGTCTTCGCTTAGGACCTCAGAATCCCACTCGCTGTCCGAGCCCGGCAGTCTGCGCGTCTCAGACAAGCTCTTCCGCAGCACTTCCGCTAGCACGCGCTGCTCCTCCTCAGTCGCGCCGCTGGCAGAAGCTTCATTTATGGAGGCGGTCATGGCGCGTTGCAGGGTGGCTTCTTCGTCTTCGCCGTCGATTGGGGGCCGTTGGAGCTCCGCGGCCGAGGCGCGGATGGCGCGCTCGAGGAGGGCGTCCTCTTCAGGGTTGCCTTGCGAGGTTTCCGCGACGGAGAGACGGATGGCCTCTTCGAGGTCGGCAGCATCTGCAGCGTCTTGGGGGTCGTGAAGGGTGTGGGGTTGCGGGAAGGTGCTTGTGTAGGTGAGTGGCTGAGAGGAGCCTAAGCCACCGCGAGCCATCTCGGTGGACGCGCGAGAGACGCCCGGAATGCTCTCGTGCGATGTAACCAAAGAGAGATCAGATATCGAACTAGCGTCGCTACTAGTGGCTAGGTATGGATTCCCGTGCTTCTTCCTATTGAGATGAACGTTGCGTGCGTGCTCCCACCGCGCGTGTCGCTTCTCTCGTTGTTCCTTGAGCATCGCTTGGAGCGACTCTAGTTGCTCTTCGCCGGGGTTCTTCTTGCGCTTCACGTTGACTTTGATGCACCGCCATCGAGCGAGGATATCCGCGCGCTCTTTGGCACTGATCAAGGCCGCTTCGTCGTATCCTTGAGCCATTCGCGCGGCGATGATGTAGTTCTGCACCGTGGCACCCTTCTCCTTCTGCAGTTCTTGATAGATGCCTTTAAAGGTGTACCCGGGTACTGCCCAGACACCTGCCATGACCTTGAGAGGAACTCCTGCTATGCCTCTGCCGACACCTTTGATAAAACCAGCTCCACCCTCCTTCTTCGCCCCTTGGTAAGGATCTTTAACGAGGCCGGCCATGCCCTCGTAGAATCCAATGCCGAATTCCTGTTCAAGTCAGTGAAGTGTGCTGCGAACGAATGATATCCCAAATACCTTTGCAGCAGTCCTTAGACCACTTTGGAGATCTGTAACTTTGTCGACCTTTCGCACTTCCTGGCCGTACAGTCTAGGCGCATTGTGGAAGCCTTTGGCTACATTCATGGAGAAATCCATAGGCGATTTGAAACCTGCGCCAAGTATGCGAGTGATTCCCTTCCCCGTATTTATAGCACTCTCTGGAGTTATAAATTTGGAGCTATTCTGGTCCCACAGGCTTCCTGGCTTGGATGTGTCGGACTCCGGCTCCGACTGAGACGTTGAACGTTGATGACGGGTGTGGTTGCAAGATCCTTTCCGGCAGATGGGACACCAAGATCGAATAGGGGAACTTGGTCGCGATACCTGAGTCTGGGTCCGCATGGCCTCCTTCATAAATCGATTGCGAGAAACGGGACTCATAGCACCAGACCTGTTGGGAGATGTTGGTGTTGGGAGATCTTGTGCGCTAGCTTCAGCGAGAGGAGTGTCTGATCCTGGAAGTGCTGTTGTACTGCTCGACTCGGACCTAATGGAGTCCGTTCGAGAGGTAGTCGATCGACCCGAACGAATGGTGCTGGCGCCATTAATGGAAGCTCCGTTGCTAGATGTGCCTTCTGATTCAGTATTCTTAGTCTTCTTCCTGGCATCAGGATAGATGTTGAGTAGCTTAAGAGTTTCGGTAGGGAAATCTGCGACTCCCATCATCATTGTCGATGCAGTTCCGATGATTGCCGTAGCTCCCCCAGTAATGGGGTCCCAAGGGCCGTCATCAGTCTCGTACTCACGAGGTCGATACCTAGATCCATTAGAGGCGGTTTTCGAGATATGATAAGATGGCTCACAGTTTCAATTCCCCAAAATTCAACTCTCCTTCTTGGGCTAAGACAGTCGCAGTCATTGCACTCAGGCGAACTGAAGTCCGTTTGACCCTCCAGACAGCTGCTTTTTGGGGCCACACGGCACATCGTAACTCGTCGACCTTCAGCATTTGATGGAAAGACTGAGCTCCCGTGTCGCTTCCCTTCTCTTTACTGATTTTTTGCGAGAGTTCCTTGGCCCTCTCAAGAGACGTTGGCTTCAAAGCTTCCTTGATATTCTCGGCGAGTTTGTCCGCAGTCAGTTCCTTGTAAGGCGTTGGAATAGGCCCGGCACCTGCTTTCGCGACCATGGCACCCCAGAACGGTTGATCGCCAAAGAAAGGGACCACCACAGTAGGTTTCCCACAGGCTATTCCGGCAGCTGTAGTACCAGCTCCACCATGATGGACAACGCACGATACATGCTGAAAGAGCCAGTCGTGGGGAACATTTCCAAGCATGAAAACGCCTTCTGGGATCCCAAGTTCATCGGCTCCCAGGCCGCCCCATCCTTTGGAGACTAGAGCCCGCTGCCCCGTCTTCTTGACAGCGTCAAAGATAAGCTTGGTCATTGCATTTGGATCGTCGACTACAATAGAGCCGAAACCAATGTATACGGGCGCTGGTCCAGCTGCAAGGAAGGCAGCTAAATCCGGCTCTGGGTGGTAGTTTGATGCCAAGGAAAGGAAGAAGAAACCAGATATTGAAATGTGGTTTCCCCAGTCCCTTGGTTTCGGGATCAGTGCTGGTGACCTGGCCAATATGTTACTATTGAATCACAAGCCTCTGGTGTGACTGCAGAATGAATGATGCAAATTAACTCACCAGCAATATGTGTATGGGATTTTGAGACGTGCCAGCATGCCAGGTGCCCACATGAGACTAACGGGCTCAAGGCCCAGACTTTCCTTTCTAAATCGGTTGATGAGATCTCCAAGGCCTTGCCAAGTCATCATATCAACCAAGGTGTACGACATGAAGTTACTGAGACTAGCATCGGCGTTCGAAGACTGAATATTGGCTAGAGGATGTGGGAAAGCTTGTGTTGGAGACCAGGGCATTCTATAGCAATTAGCTTATTGGATTAAAGGCAGTAATGGAGAGTGAACTATACGTAAACATCATGTGTAGAGGTACACCCAATTTCTCGGCACAATGCACATGGGCAAAGCTGGGAGGATTCGCAATTATTGCATCGGCCACAAAGGGTCGATGTTGGGCTTCTTCCGACTCGTCAACGCCCATCCACTCCTCAACTGTCTGCTTCACCGATTCTACACCAAATCCATCCCCGGTTTCAATGCAAGATCTCCAGCACCCCTTGATGATGTCAGCTATACCCTTTCTCCGCTTTCCGATGTCACCGCTACGAAGCGTGTCGAAGCCTGGCATCAATCCTGGATTCTTGACCATGAAAGCCATGAGTTCTGCTGGATCTCCTCCGATATTGAAGAACTCCAAGCCATTCTCCGTGACAAAGTCTTTGAACGTAGGATGTGTAGCCAGCCTCACTCGGTGGTTATAGGTTTCCTTGAGGACTTTTCCCAACGCAACAAATGGCTGCACATCTCCACGAGATCCAACGACATGTATGACGACATTCAGCGGCGGAGGTGGTTCTTGACCAGGCGCTCCACCGAGCGATTCGGGAATGTAGGGAGGAGGTAGCAGAGGTCCTGCATCGGCCTGGGCGAGGCTATGAAGGGTCGGGACCAGGAGCTGGGAGAGTCTTCGAGACTTCTGATTGATGCGGATGTTGACTCGACCATCAGCTGCAAAAGTCAGTCATTGTCCACCTTCATTCGCAAAGCCTCACCCGTAGGTAGTGTCTAGTCGGTTGCCACTGTTTGAATATCTCCAAACAGTGACATGCAAACATACACAGACCTATGATGAGGTAGTGGATTCGAGGAACATACCAGCTACCGTCGCATTCGTGCCAATTTCATTATTATCGTCCACTATATGTCCGTAGGTCTCGCTGTACGCAGGTGGAGGCACGTCGTCGGGGTTGTGTGTCTCGCCATTGGGAACAGCATTTGGCCTATGGGTAATGCAATTAGCACTGGCACAGCAGTGGTTAGGTGGATGTCCGTACACGGCGATGTTGACGCCTGCTAGGCCTTCTGCTCCTGGACGGTATGAGCCCGCGTAGGTCGAACCTTCAGGCTTTGGCTGATCTAAAGCCTCACTCTGGCGTTGATTTGTTTCGCGATTCGCTTGGTCTGCATTTGCTGTGTCCATGGCGAGAGCGGCCTGTTCTACCAGGCCTGGAGGCAGGCCGTTACTCGGAGGCGCATCTTGATATGCTGGGGGACCGTTGGAGGATGACATCTTCTGCAGATGCTACGATGCGATGCCAAACATGAACGGCAAGACAGAGCAGCTTGTTCCAGCGTAATGAGTGCGGATTTGCGGTGTGGGTATGGAAGGGATATTGCGGGCGAAAGTTTGAAGGAAGCCAGCTGCGCTACCCCTCCATCTGGACATTTGACATTCATGACGAGCGGCTTGCAACTGGGAGTTGGACCATGCGTGCGCCAATTGCTGGCGGCGTCCGGAGAAGCAGCCGCTGACAACGAGCGCGATGGCTGACCAACGGCCCTTGCAAGCCCTAGCGACCCCACGCCATAGACAAGCACCACCAGATTCCTCCCATGACACGAGCATCAAGATACAGGGAAACACTAGCACAAGATACATTCTGACCGCACCGGTGTCACTCCACTCCGTCTCCGTAATCAAATTCCTCCAAAGGTTGTCTTACAGCTTGTCTTGTAGCTAGCTTGCTGTTTGGGGTCTTGAATTCCAACAAGAACTGGCGACTGAAGTGGAATAATCACGTGCAAATCACGTGACAATCACGTGCCATCTAGCTGACTCCTGCTCCCCTGAACTATATAAACCCCGCCTGCCTCCGTTCTCCTGGATCCTTCAAGGAAGATTCAACGAGGAGATGAGCTGGGGGATCAAAAACAGAACTGACACCGCTGCATAGAGTGGATGCCGTTTCTGTGGCTGGGTCAACTACATGTTCAAAATTTCTGAAGCAACGTTGGCCAGGGTCGGAAAGATGGGTTGGGATGTGAATGGCCAGGGTATTCGAATAGCCGTGGTATGTGGATAGCCGTGGTAGGTGATTTGACGTACATATGGAGCGAAGAAGGGACATAGGGGCCGAATTGTAGCTCTATAATCTGAGCTCATGAGACCTTTAAGCATCGTGATCGGAACCAATGATACGTTGTGCTAACACCCGCAGCTTCGTCCAGATATGGCCAGCTTCGGTACGATTTCCTTGTTATGCATAGGTGAGAGATGCGACTCATATGCATCCTAAACTCTTCGCCCATATCTTCCATGTAGAGGTTCTAGTTCTCAATTATGTCAGCAAGTTATGGGAAACCTACTTCTACCATCCAACCAAGAACACCTAGCATCAATCTTTCTCCGCACTAACTCTCCCAACCCCCGTCGTCGACAACCTCCTCTCCTCTTCAAAAAGCGCCTTCGGTCCCACATAACCCCTCTTACTCTTCCATATCCACCACAGTCCCACAAAAATCGTCACTCCACCAGTTATAACACAGGAATAATTCATGCTAACCGCACTGACCGGCAGCGAATACGGGAAGCAAAAGATAACCACAAAGACGACGATATACGCGCTGGATACCCCCAGAACCACGTACGCCACCGAATCAGGCATCCAAAAGGGCCCCGGCACAACGTATGCGCGGCGAGTCAGCGCGTGGGGAAGGATGGCGGCGAGGTACGAGAGCGTGGATAGGACGACGAAAGACCCAACGAAGGCGTTGAAAGCTGTAGAGTTGCCGACGTAGATACAGCCCAGCACCGTGCAGATGCAACCGCACACTACGGTTGCATTGAAGGGGTTCTTGTGGGTCGGGGAAATGCGACCTACGAACTTGCTGAATGGCGTTGCGTCGTCTCGCGCGAGTGTCCATAGCATCCGGCCTGCAGTGATGTACGTGCCTATGCAGGTGCAAATTGTGGGACAAAGGATGACGATGAGTAAGCCCAGAGAACCGCCGCGGGTTGTGGTGGCCTGGCGGTAGACTTCGGCGAGGGGGAATGTGTAGGGGGCGTCGAGAACAGAGTCGAGGTCGCCAATGGCGTAAAAGATGGCGATCATGTAGAGAAAAGCTGTGATTAGGCCTGTAAACATCTGGGCGGCGATGGCTTTTGGAATGTTGACTCGTGGATGTGGCAGCTCTTCAGCGAGATGGGTGACGCAGTCTGGTGTCCCGACGGCGTAAGCACCGTTTAGCATTCCCGCTAGAAAGACAAAACCGTCGCTGGTGTAGCCGGTTTGGTTGGACCAATCGCGCCAGACGAAGGCAGACGAGGCGTGGCCTGTTCCTTTGGTAGTTGGCATGATAGCGCAAACGAGTATGGTGATAATGACACCAGCAATGATGAAGAAGAGGCCCACATTCGAAATCCAGGGAAGAGTGCGGTTGGCGAAGAGGACCGTTGCGCAACATAGCCAAGTCACAATAAGGTATGTGACGAAGACGTTCCAACGCTCGGGAACATATTCATGATGGAATAGGCCCCACATACTAGTGAGCTGATTTGAAATGATGAGGGACATGGAAGCGCTTCCAAATATCCAGGCACAAACATTCCACCTATGAAAATTAGTCGATTATTATAAGAGCTTGAATGATAACAGTAGTTATCAGAATAAGCAGAGGGTTTACTATCGACTTGAATGAAACCTGATAAGTTGATGTTTTGACACAGAAGAGTTCGAGAGTATGTCGGGAGACTTCGAAATGTAGACTTCTAGGAAAAAAGGTTATGATCTCTGCATTGATGAAAGAAGAGTCTCAATTTCTCACTTACCATCCAGCAAACCAGCTAGCCGCTCGTCCATACTTCGGACCCGCAGTAATTGAAGCAAAATGGTATACACCACCAGAAGACGGAATCGCAGACGACAACTCAGCAATGCACGCAGCGATAAGCCAGTAAAATAAAGATACCGCGAGGCTGTAAACCCCTTATCAGCGCGAGTATAGTATCAACTTTTTGAAGCTACTCACAATTCGTAGATCACGCCTGGTGGACCACCGTTGTATATAGCTACAACCTGTCTGTACATTAGTATTGTATAATTTGACGCTTTTACATCAATGACTGGGCATTGGAACTTACGATACTCCCACCAAGAGCCGCCCACGTATTACCAGTGCAGATACCCACGGCACAGATACTCAGCAAGCTGAAATTCCGATCCAGCTCCTGCTTGTGCCCAGAGGCATTGACGACTTCGCCGACGCCCACAACCCCGGCTTCTTCGGCAACATACTCAGGCGTCGTGTCAGCTTCCTTGCCCTTCTCCATCTCGTTGTGGGAACCCGATTGTGATAGGATGACTGCTTAGATGACTGGTTCTTCAATGTTCAAACCCACACAAGACACCTCGTGGCCTCGTGCTGTTTAGAATGGCTTTGATATGGCAAGGCCTGGTAGCAAGAGATATAATTTCTGGCGCCCACGTGCTTGCACTGGTACTGGGAGGTGCGAACGGAGGTGCGAACTGAGATGCACAGCGCAGCATGGCCTACATATACTCAACCCCGTGTCACATAGTACCTACCGCCGGGATCTGGACGCGGGGGTGGCATCATCACAGTCGTCTGGCGCATCGAGCAGGAAGTTCCGAGACGGCAAACGGGCGCGGAGACAGGCGTTCAAAGCTGATAAGAGAGGCGCTGTAATACCGAGTAGGATCTCAGATGCTCTGACGGCAATCTATTGACAATGGACGGGGCGTTGCATGGGTGCGGATAGAAGGTAATGGCTGTGCGTAATGGAAGAAGTGCCGAGTTTTGATATGCCGGGTTTGAGATCTGAGGTCCGTGGAACTTGACTGGGAGACTAAGGTTGGCAGTAAGCAGAGTAATGGGCTAAGGTTTGTCAAGTCGCTAATAATGCAGTTTGAGAATTATGATAAGGACAGTAGCTTGATATTTATTACGTATCCGTGCAAGCGCTATCCATATTTAGTCATTTTGATGTCATGAAGTTTTATATAGTATTCAATTATGAAGAAATTTATATTGAGTAGCTTTCATATGCCATACCGCACACCCACCGGCACGCCGACACGCCAAATGTTAATACAATTGAAGCCCGAAGCTGAATTCATGTCCCAGAAACCAAGATAATGCTGTTGTGAGAGCATCTCCATTACCAGCGTCCCCAGTCTCCTTCCCCGTGAGCGGTCCAACCCAGCGTGAGCCAGTATATCTATGCGTCAAATTCACGCCACTCGTTCCGCCGTTCTCAAACCGTCCGCATCTCAGTATCGCCCTCCTCAACCTGGACTTCGCCAATCTTTCGTTTTGCTGGACCCGTTGTCTCGCCGGCCTCATCGTCGGCGTCGTCGCCTTCCGTCCACTCCACAACCTCCCACTCCACCCTCACGCTCCCATCCCTGGACACATGCCCGCCTTTCTGCTTCTTGAACTTCCCCAGCCTCGTGTCCTCCACTAGCTCCTCAAACCAGGGCGTGCCCCTCGCCCGCTCTGCTTGAGCCACCGCCCTCTCGCCCTGCCCCTGTCCACCTCTCACAATGGCCGGCTCCTCGTCACTGCTGTCTCCTGGTAGATATCCCAGCTCACCCAGCAGTTCCTGGTCCTCGTCTAGCAGACTACCCACCGTAAGCAGGATATGCTCAGCGTCCTCACGGGTGCGCTCGTGCCAGCTTGTCAGCTGTGTGCCACAGTAACCGCAGAACTGGCGGCGAGAGTGTGCGCTGGGGAAGGGCGATGTGAAGGTGCGCTGGATGCTAGTGTGAGTCTCGTCGGGGAATTGCGCGTAAGTAGCACTATGAAACCACGCGAGTGGAACTCGGAGCCAGATGGTGAGTGGGCTAGCTTGATGGTAGCCTGACAGTTGTATGTTAACCAATTGGTCCTACAACAAGTCTACAGAGCTGGCAGGAGCACTGAGATATGATACGGGAAGTTGAGTGTGCATGATAATGGGCATGGTCATAGACCGGGAGTTTTTTTGCCGGCAAAGTTGGAACTTACGGGAAGCGCTACTGTTGTCGTATCTCAGCTCCGCAAGCTGGACGGATTGTGCGGGTATCTCGACGACGTATCGCCACCGACCACAGGCGCAAGACCCTCGAAGTGCTCGATCCATGGTTTTGGTCGGGTGGTGTGACTGTCAATGTGAGTGTCGCGGTGGACTGCTAAATGAGGTAGTGGGAGGGGAAGAAGGTGATGTCGTGAGGTCGAGAAGCAAGCACACAGATTTGTGCAAATGATGTAATTGTGAAGGAGGGGCTAGCGCGGAGGGGCGCAATGGGGACGTGAATTGATTCGGAGGTGCTGGAAGCTTCGCGGCTGATGCCGTCGCCGTCTCAAAATAGGTGCAGGGGCCACCGGCTCAGCAGCGACCGTAGTGGAAGTAATTATACTTCGTATGAGCGATCAAACTATGAGCGATCAAACATATCCAGAGGTGAAACAAGAAGTTCATAGTCTTCAAGACCTGAAAAATCATCGTATGATATAGACTCAACAATCAGCTCACGCAGAGGCTACAGTTCAAAGACCGCAAATCTGTGACAGCAACTTATTTATCTACTCCACCGCTCACTAATTTTATGCGTATGGCGCTCTGGTATCTCAAAGAAATCATTCAATGATGACCGCAGTCCAAACCCTGTTCTTCTGGGCTCCCAACGATGTTACATCTCGTCTAAGTTTCTAGTCACATTTACGTCTTGTTCGGAATTTCAAAAGCTTACAGGGGGACTAATAACAGATATACCTAAGATTTCGGTGAGATGCTAGGCTATGGAAATTAGTCTAAGGGTAGTTAGGATATCTCACGAACGTCGTGAGAGTTGGGATCTATATCCAGATTTTGGTTGAACTAGGCATGACAGTCATTAGGAGGGTACGAGGATGGAATCAAATGTTTCTCTGGTACGAAAACATATGTACATCCAGACGAAACTCGTCAGCAGCACTGCTGCGCTCTGAAGCAAACAGCCTAAACAAAAGAAACGCAGTGACAAGCCAATGGGCCTCTAGTCAAAACGCTCAGAAGTTCATCAAATCTTAATGCTCGTTAGCGTCGTGAACACAAGTATCATGAGGACTGGTTTGACACTTACCTCTACCAAAAAGCGCCCGCTTCGTCCAGTCCATTGCCAACAATATCCTCGTCCTGAAACTAACGCTCTGCGCAAAGTACACACTTCGCCATAGGTACACGGCAATAAGCCCACCGCCGAAGTTGAATCCTTTGAAACCGGTATCGAAAACGGCAGCATTTCCAACATATGCCAAGCTACCGAGGTGCTTGTACTCAAAGGCCTTGTAAACTGCATCGTCCAAGTCGCCATAATTCATTTCATTCAGCTTCATGCCTGGCGCAGCTTGCGCTAGTTTGCTAAACTTCTTGCCAAGATACTGACCCTGCTGGTGGGCGCGTTGAGCCGTTGCAGGGAGAGACGTGAGCTTGGAATCAATTTGCATGAGAAGTTCGCGGAGCTCGCCGAAATCAAGCGTACCGCTCTGGTCTTTGTCGTACGATGCGAAGAGTCTGTCGAGACGTCGTAGATGGTCTGCAGCTTGTGGGAATCGTGACTTAACGCGCTTAGCCACACCGCGCCAGTCGTTGTATGTAAGGTGCATGGCTTCGGGATCCTTGCCTTTCTCCCAGGCCAACGTGCGTAGGAACGTCACGATGTGGTCGGAAATATTGTTCTGCACGGTGCTGCAATCACCAATGGCATAGACGTCGCCAAGGGGCGTCCCGGCTAGACGGAGATGGGTATCGGTCTCAAGGGCATGCTTGTTGTTTTGACCTTCCAACTGCGCGGCCAGGCGTTGGCAGAAGTCGGTTTGGGACACTCCAGTTGACCAAAGGCAGAATCCCATCGGTATTTCCTTCGTGACGACCTTGCCTTCCTCGTCCTTTTGCGAGAACAGAATCTTCTTTTCTTGTACCTCTTTGACGCGCGCATTAGTAAGAATATCGACTTCATCGTGAGCGAAATGCTTTTCGGCGTATTCGGATAGAGCTTCATCGTAAGTGTTGAGAATATGGCCTCGGCTTTGGATTACGTGCACTGATATTTCGTTGCGAAGAATCTTGGGGAAGTAACGCGACAAGTCCTCGTTCAGCATGTCAAAGAGTTCCGCGGCGAACTCTACACCCGTCGGCCCTCCACCACATACTACAAATGACAGCAAACGTCGTCGTTCTTCGTCAGAAGTTGTGGGAAGACACGCGCTCTCAAGGTTACGGACTACGGCGTTTCGTATAAGCCGGGCATCGCTGATGTCTTTGAGAAAGTGGCAGTGTTCAAGGCCTTTTACACCGTGCGGGTTGGTAACGGAGCCTGCCACTATCAGTAAAAGAGCTTCCAACGAGTGAAGTCATGCGCTTACCAACTCCAATGATGAGTTTGTCGTAGGGTAGATAGAAATGTTGCTTCGTTCCGTCCGCGGCAATAGCAGAAACTTCAACCAACTTTGCAGAGATGTCCACATCTTCGGCCATTGCTTTCAAGAAGTGGCCGTGGACTTTGCGCACTATCCTCCTGATTGGCTCTACTAGAGACCGAAGTTCTAATGTGCCCACTGTAGCAGATGGCAACATAGGCGTAAAGAGGAAGTGATTTGATGGCGAAACTACAACAACATGGTAGTCGTTGGGGTTCAGCGTCTTTAAAAGCGCCACACTTCCCCAGCCAGTCCCGAGTATAACCAACTTTGGCTTGTGTTTCTGGCCTATCATCTCCGGGCAGTCGTCGTCATCCACGAAATGCTCAGCAATAGGGAGGTTCTTGGGCCCCCCTCTTCTTGGATGGAGGGCATACTCCGAGACGGGAATGTCTTCTGCCCCTGGGTCTTCCTTATATGTGGTGGCGTCGTAGATGAAGAAGGCCACAACCAATCCACCACTGATCGCCACGAAGAATCCGAAAGCTGCGGCAGTCCGGTAGATAAGGCGTAGGAATCGCGATCTGGGCTGTGGTAGAGGTTTTGTGGTCACGGTTCGGGAGAACAATGTGGGCCCTAGCTTCCAGTTCAGGGCGCTGCGAAGCTTGGTTGAGGTTGTGGGGAGAGGGCGCTTCGGAATCTCTTGGGGTCCTCCATTGCTACAGGATAGGCGCACAGACAAGAAAGAGCCTGCACTTCTTATGTTCCTATTGTTCCTGAATGCTGATAGTGCTGGAGAGCGAGTGGACACGCGAACTGACTGCCGCAGCAGCATCGCGAGCTGAGGAAGCGCCGACGCGCCCGCTGGTTTACGAGGAGGAGGTTCGTAGCAATTGGAGAGACGCGAGCTCGGGCGGGCGCTGCTATATCATGGGAGGCAGTATAACGATATTTGAGGGAATGCCGGGTGTAGAGTGCGAGGCGCGAAGAACTTGCTGTTGCTACCTATGCCGTGGATCCGCAGGAGAGGAGTGACGTAGCTTAGTCAAACTTCACCACACCACAAACTAGTATCCGGATTATCCGTGAACTACCGCTGTTTCCTCAATATTCTCGCGATTCTTTGACATTTCATGCTCGGCGACAGCCCATCTCACTCCAAAACAAGTCAACTTTGAGACCTTTCAGTCCTTATCGGCACTCCACGATGAGATTTGCTTTTGCTCAGCTGCTGGATGCCATCAACTGACGCTAAGGTGAGCGATAGTCCAGAGCTCGTTAGAGTAAAGCGGGCCCGTTGAAAGCTTCGATAACACCAGATCTTTACCAAGATCCAGGGCTGCTGACTCTGTCTTCTACGAAAGCACGAGAGTGCCAGCGAGACCTGTTCAGCCTCTCATCTGTGATCACCCTAAAGTCCTCCCTGTTTAGAAAACATCTACTATCTCCTGTAACTTGCTTGCTACTGTTCGGAGCGCTTCAGTTCATCGTCAAACATACAGACAAAGTCTAAAATACTCATCACTGTAAATCAGGTGAGCGCATGATTGAATGGTCGATCAAATTCCAGAGTTCTCGTTCGTAGTGAGCCAGTATATACACATTAGAGCGACTGCCTTGTACTATCGCAGCTACCGAGGTTGATGCCATATGCTATGATTATGTGAAGCTACATACATTTACAGATAGTTTTACCTTCATGATGTGAGATATCGGACAGGAATTTCGGGCGAGTGTTCGTGTATAGTCTCCATCTGTCACTAGTGAACTTCCACGAGCAACCGACATATTCCCCCAGAGAACACACCACATTTGTACTGTGTTGGGGGAAAGATTGTGGAGCTTGAGCGGAGCGTTGTAGACGACCGAGATTTGCATGATAAAATCCAAAGAGCCTCGCTAAGAGGACACTCATGTTTCTGCTAGGGATTTTCAAGAATACGTGGAGTGAAAGTGTCAAACGAGTGCTATGAATAGTGCCTACGAACCAACAGGACTCCATAGAGTACATTTGCGCCGCTCCTGCGCAGGGTCTTCCAATTAAGTCATTACCACTTCCATGCAAGTCATCCTCCATGTCCGTAATACTCGATTGAAATGTAGCCTCCAATCTCCTCCAAAACGCTTTCCAACTTTTTCTCGTAGTGGGCTCTCGTTTCCCATCATTTTCTTGTTCAGTTGACCGCGACATGGAGTTTACTACCATGCAGCTATACTACCGCGACTCGGGCAGATCAGCTAGCCTTTGGAGTTCCCTCGGCGCCGCTGGCGGTCCCGTCCCACTTCTCCGCCGCCTCTCCCTTTCCATCACGCCCACAGGCTCTTGAAGGCTCTTCTTGAACTTCCCGCCCAGTCCTCGCATCCACTCCCCATCCTCGTCCGCACCGAGCCAATACCGGGGCGCAAGTCCCAACATCCCTCGGCCGAGCTTACCCTGCCACCCAGAGCCCTCCTCACGTCCTTCTGCAAACGGGTTCTCAGCCATATTATTAGTTGTATTCTCGCCTGAGCTCCAAGCCGCCGAAGATGTAGTCGCAACATGCTGCCTGAGCACTTGTCGGGCAAATGCCAGCATCACGAAGACGAAGTACGTTCGCAACGCCCAGAAGAAGCAGATGAGCGCGATACTCATGATGCTTCCGCTCTGGAACACGGCTTTCCCAAGGCCAGCATTCCCAGCTTTCCCGACGGCGATGGCATCCTGCCCGCTGGCGAGCCCGCCCGCCGGCTCCGCGAGCACCTCCACGGAAGTGACGTTGTACTTCGGGTTGGTAAATCCAGCGGTGGCATTGATGCCGGGAGCGCCGGGTGTCGTGGCTTCCTCGTCCGGGTGCGCGGCGAGGACGTAGAACCAGGCGACGCCAAACGCGGCGGTGTAGAGGGCGTTGATTACGCTGTCGAAGGCGTAGAGGTGTGCGAGAGCGAGACACTGTAGCGGCGAGCCGCGGCGGATGTGCGGGTATAGGTAGGTAGTCGCGATGAGGGCGAGCAGCGAATAGAGATACATCGAGAATTGGAGGGGTGAGAGCGGCGCGCCTGTTAGCAGCGCGAGGATGCCATATAGGCCGCTGACTTTGTTGATGAGCTGGAGGAAGGCGATGATTTCGGCGCCGGTGCGGAGAGACATTGCGCGAAGGAAGGTCTGGAGGTTTGTTAGGTGGTCTGCTTGTAGATGAGAGGACAGGGAGCACTTTGCTTACCCTAGGACAAGGGATGTCGAAGAGGTGGAGAGGCGCCATGGTACAGCTGTGCGGGTGGTGCCCCGCGACGCGCTGGATATGTGTTTGTCGGGGTAGAGGCTGCCTTTCTGCGCTGTCTAGGTGCTGCGTGAAGGGTGTAGCAGAGGTGTGAATGATGAGGGTTGCCGGCGGAAGCGCTCGGGAGATTGGAGATTTCCAAGGTTGAGATTTGGTAGCGTCGATCGAATCGAAAACTGCTCACGTGCTCGGTGTTAGAGGAGACGTCACTCCACTATAACAACTTCTTGCGGGATAATTGAGCCTTATGTTGAAGGAGGTATCAAAGCGGCTTTTGCATGGCCGTATATCTGGCTTAAAAACGCGCCGTTTCAAATGCTGTGCAACCTCAGCCACCGAATTAGGCCACCTTGGAAGCCTTGCTAGTACTGACCCTTCAACCAGAATCAGAGTTCGTCAGACCTTATCCTCTTCAATCTCTTCTTAAAACCCGGGCTAAATGGAAGTTTCACTTGATAACCATCAGATCCCAAGCGTGGTCGAACGATGCCTTCAGGGGCCCAATAGAATACGTGCCTGAGGCTCCACGTCTTCAGGAACAAGACATAACTGGAAAGGCAGCAGTTGTAGCGTAAGACGTTCCACAGCGTCTTTCGGTCATGCTCTCTATCGTCAAGGATACTGTTTGGTGCGCTCTGTTATCCCTTTCAAATCTACATTTTGCATCATTTAAGAACTCTTCCGCTACGCGGTGGTAGAGGGAGCCGGTCGATCGAGAGCTTCTAAAATCTAGGTGGAATCCTAGCATATAAAGTTTTACATCCTATCCAAATCCTTGTAACCTACGGGGGCACCCAAGCAGTGGCAATCAAGTGTAAAGACTTCTGTCGAGGTGTGCACGGGAGAGTTGTTCCTTAGTCTGCCGAATAGCATCCCGGAGTTATTTAATCTCGTTGTTAAATCTCCGGCCAGAAGGAAGTGTTGTTGGTCTTGGACTTGCCAGGGTAAATCTCACGGGATGATGCAGATCTAAGTGCATTATCAAGGTTCTATTTAATTTCCTCTGCTGAAAGTCGAATGTGCTCAACTTTGTGCCAAAGAGAGCTATTGGTGGATTCAGCCTTAAGGAATACAGACTCTAGTAAGGCTTTAAATTCAAGAATGGTTTAGAGTGGTCGCCTCCAGAGCGGCGTACATGGCGAAGCTGTTTCTCAAGTAAGGTGTTACTAGCTCGTGTTCGTCTGCCTTTCTCTTGAGAGCGCGTGCATATTCAATGCCCTCAGATTCGAGAGCCGTCACCTTGTAGTCGAAGAGTTTTTCGCGGTCATTTTCAAGTTCCGTATTGCTGGCTTCTGACTGATGGGGCCTGTTCTCAGTGGAAACCTGAGACTTGAGTATGCTGTAAAGGTGTTTCCTCGTCTCGCTTTCAGAATCCCGTATGGACTGGACTCCACGCTTGGAGGTAGGTGTTCGAGGTTTCGGATTTAAGGAGTCTGGACTCAAGAGATGCTTAGACTTACTTGATGGTGTTCATCGGACTTTCTCTTCAGAGTGCGAGCGTACTCGATGCCTTCAGCCTCGAATCCGGCGGCCTGAGGTCGAAGAATTTGTCATGAGTGTTCTGGGCTTTCTTCATGACCGCGAGAATGACGCCAGGTTTCTTGAGCACTTCAAGCTTGTTGCAGGCCAGGATTCCACCTGAGTGGGAGTTGCCACAGGCCAGACAGGTGGAGCCACCCTGGACATGGCCAACCATCGCGTGCAGACAGTGCGGAGCGTGGTAGATCAGTTTAGGATTGACTTAAGCAAGATTGGAATCTCGGAAAGTGGGCTGTAAGTGAGAAGGTCTAGAGCCATTTCTTTATGTGATTCATGGCGGGCTATCCCAGGCCACGACGTCTGAGGCGGCCCACGTAGTTTACAGGTCCTGCAGAACAGCTAAATTCCACCTCGTTCTTGATCCTTGGAAGCGTGTCGGGGCACCACAGACGTCGGCAAGACAGTGCATAGACATTTAACTAGGTATTGTATTCAAGCGCTAATAATGTTTTGATAAGGCTCATACCTTACTCCCACAACCATGCTCAATGCATGCTAAGAAACTAGGGGACTCCTTTTCCTCCCCGTAGACCCAAATGCACCCCTCAGCGTGACACGCCACCCATGCTTTTCCTTCTTCGCGTCGCTTCCTTTAGCCCCATCGAGGTCTGCTGCTCCCTCGGACCCCGTGCTCGAAGACATGGCCGCGCTCGTCCGATGCAAGCCTCCACTCCAGGTCCTCTTCGAGGCTGATGTGCCTGGGCGGAAGAACGACGCTGCCTCATGGCCACGCGAGGTGTTCGGTCTAGGAGCCACACTCGACCACTGCCCAGTCTCCTTATCGAAAGAGCCAGTCCCAGTAGTAGACCTCGAGGACTTCTTGCTACGAAGCAGGCCTGGATAGCCAGACGATGGTCGACTGCCCATCTTCTCCTTCTTGGCCTTCGCTTTGGCCTTAGTTCTTTCCAGCTGTTCCAACTCGTCCTCGCTCTTCTTGAGAGATTTGCGTAGGTTCGCTTTGAGCTTCTTCATACCCTTAAGCTGGATTGCTGTCTCGTCTCTCAGCATGCGCACGCGCTCCACCTCCTTTGCCCACGCGTCCAGCTCAGCATCGCCCTCCGTGTTCGTGCGCACTGATCCGGCTGTACCGTTCGAACGCTGGCTGGCCGGCCTCTCAGGCTCATATCTCTGGTTCGCGTTTTCTAAGCTACGCTTACTGCGCACGCTGTGGCGATTGCTTGACATCGGCCTCGGTCTCTCCACGTCGGGAGCCTCCTTTCCGTAGTCGACCGGGTTAGGGTCCTGCGCTTGCAATTTCTTCATCCTTGAATCGAGTCCGAATTCGAAGCCAAGTGGACCAAGGGTAAACGCATCGCCTTCCTCATCGCTAGGCACCTCGTGCCATTCATTCAGAACTTCCAGCGTCTTCGTCTTTTGCTGCAGAATGTGGACTAACTTCTCGAACGTTTCTTTACTCTCTTTCAACTCCTGAAGCTCCAACTCTATGGCGTCCATGCTGGCCTTATACTCAGCCTTATTGCGCTCCATGGCCTCGATGGTGCGGTCTTTGTCGGCCAGCTCCTGTCTCATCTTCTCTTCTTTACGCCGAACTTCCTCGATCTCGTTGCTCTTCCGTTCGAGTTGTAAGGAAAGTGTCTCGTTCTCATCTTTCAAGACGTCGAGTTCTTTTCCCTTAGTCGCTAGACGGCGTTTGTACTTTAAGCGCGAGCGTTCTGCTACAGCTAGCTTCATGTTGCCTTCATCTACGAAGTCTTCAAGCTGGTTCTGGCAGTCCACTGTGAATGCCTCAGCTACTTGCATATCATTTTCGGCCTGATCTAGGAACTCTTCAAGCTCTTGATTTGCACGGCGCACAGCAGCGAGCTCGTTCTCGGCCACAGAGAGGCGCGCCGAGAGACGACGCTCCGAAAACTCGAGCGCAGCGTTGGTGGCTCGGAGAGTGTTGAGCTCGAGGTCGGCTAAGCCTATAGAGGTACCCCTCGCAGTGGCAAACGAGTGTGCACTATTCCTGGAGTCTGACTCTTCGGTCTGCGTGGAGGCACCCCTGACAGTGGCAAACGAGTGTGCACTGTTCCCTTTGGAATCTAGTTCTTCGGTCTGCGTGGAGGCACCCCTGACAGTGGCAAACGAGTATGCACTGTTCCTGGAATCTGACTCTTCAGTCTGTGTGGAGGCACCCCTGGCACTGGCAAACGAGTCTACACTGGAGAGTTGTTCTTCAGTCTGCCTTACGGCGGCCTGGAGCCGTTGGATTTCTTGTTGGAGTGAAGTATTGCTAGTCTCAGATTCACGGAGTTTCATCTCAAGAGATGCTTTAGACTCAAGTGCATTATCCAGGTTCCGTTCAATATCCTCTGCTGAACGGCGGATGTGCTCCACTTCCTGCTGAAGAGAGTTGTTGGTGGATTCAGCTTTAAGGAATCTAGACTCCAGGGAGGATTTAGATTTAAGAATGTTTTGGAGTTGTTGCTCGGTTTCCTCTGCAGAGCGGCGAACGTGCTGAAGCTCATTCTCAAGCTCCGTATTGCTAACCTCTGATTGGTGGAGCCTATTCTCAATAGAAACCTGTGACTTGAGTATACTGTAAAGGCGTTCCCTTGTCTCGCTCTCGGATTCGCGTATAGACTGGACTTCACGCTGGAGGGAGGTGTTCGAGGTCTCGGATTCACGGAGTCTAGACTCGAGAAATGCTTTCGATTCGAGGACCTTGCTGAGGAGTTCTTCGGTTTCAGCTTTCGATTGTCGGATATCCTGTACTTCCTGTTGCAGAGAGCTGTTCGTGGAGTGGAGTCAGATTTTTGATAATGCATTGAAGGACCTCAGACAGTGGCTTACATGTGCACACATTCAGACTCGTGGAGTTTTGACTCGAGGGAAGACTTGAGCCTAAGGAGACGTTCCTCAGTGTCGGCTTTCGACTGAGTGATATGTTGGATCTCGTGCTTGAGAGATGAGTTTGCAGTTTCCGAGAGGACTAGCTTAGATTCCAGATCCTCTCGTTTTGTCTCAGATTGCTTGAGCTTGGAAGCGAGATCTGTGTTAGCTGCCTCCATAGTTGCAAGCTTCTCTTTGGTTAACCGAAGATCCTCCTGGAGGTCTAGGGATGTCTTTTGAACAGACTTAAGCCGTTCTTCTACAGAGATCTTAGAGGCCTTCAAAGCTTGAAGCTCCTCAAGGACCTCTGGTCGATCAAGCTCTTCAATACGCGTCCGAGCTTCTCGTAGGTCATCTTCTAAGTTACCCTTCAAATACTGCAAAGAGCGGACTTCGTCGTGTAACTCGGCCCTGGCATCTGCCTCAGCCAGAAGCCTCTCTCGCATGAAATTCAGTTCGCTCTCAAGAGTCGTCTTAGCGTTCCGGGTGCTCTTCAGGTCCGTTCGTAGGCTAGCGTTTGCCTCGTTGATCGACGCGATGCTAGATTCTTGCTCCGTGACGGTCACTCGCATAGCTGCCAGTTCCGACTCTACGCGCCCCTTCAAGCTGTGAGCATTTTTCAGCCCGTCATCCAGCCAGCTGACCGATCCTTCCAGTGACGTGATCCTTTCGTTGTAGTCGCGAACCTGCTCTTCAAAGAAAGCGGCTGCCTTTTCCAACGTCCCTACATTCGCAGTACTCTTGTCAAGCTGTGCTCGGAGCGTGCCCTTTTCACTCTCACTAGCTGCCAGTCTGGACTCCAGCATGGCCTCCCCATGCTCTGCACGAGCCATCCTCCTCTGAAGCTCGGCCACCTCTTCCTCCATCTCAACTCTTGCCCTCTCCAATTGCGCGATTTGTTCCCTACAGCTCTCAACCTCCTCTTCCAATAACCGGTTCGACTCGCTCAATGCCTTTAGGCTTGCCTCGCTCTTGTGGCCCTTCGTTTCCAGCATCTGTATCTCCCGCGTTTTTCCGTCTAATTCGCCTCTAAGCTCTTTTTCTAACCTGGAGGCATCTTCCAACTTCGCCTCGGTCGCTCTCAGTGTCGCCTTGACGGCCGCTTTTGAGCTTTCTAGCGCCGTCACTCGCGCCTTGTAGCCCGCGATCTCATCCTCGAGCTCAACGCGATTCAGCTCTAGCTGCTTTGCAATCTCCTTGCTCCGAAAACAATCAGCCTGGAGTGCTTCTATGCGAGAGCGAGCCACCAATAGCGCGTGGTCGGACTCGCGTTTCGCTTTGATGAGGCGGTCATTAGAAGTACGGATTTCGATGGTGTCTGGTGTGCTATGATAGCGGTGGTGGTGCGCTGCATTTGGGTTAATCGAGTCCGAGGACTTAGAGGCTTTAGGAGAGTGGGTGGGTGTTCTGGGCGGGCTGTCTCCGACGCGATTATATTGTGAAAGAGTGGCAATGCGGGTGGGTGGTGACGAAGGCGGAGATACTGGTCGGCGGCTGGGGTCAGTATATTGCAATGTCAACGCTGACGCTCGCTCCAAACTCTCCAATATCTCCCTATTCCGTGCCCTCTCCTCCCTCCACTCCTGCTCCAGCTCTCCAACCCTCTTTTCCGCGCCTCTCAGTCCTGTGCCTAACACATATTCGGTTTTCCTGCTTGCGGCTAAGCTTCGTGCAGATGTAGCAATTTTATTCTCTTTTACCGAGATGTTGACGGCGAGGCGAAACGCGAGCCGTCTCAAAGCAGCCACGGATGCGCGAGCCTCGGAATGGGCAACCTGGGTTGCTTTGAGCGAGGTGGAAAGGTCCTTGCGTTGTGTCTTGATTAAATTTAGGTGAGCCCAATTCGAAAGGTTTGTCGGCGCAGAAGGTGAGGCGGGGTCATCGTGCTTAGGTGGTAGTATTGTGGAGTTTGACGGGGAGAGAAACTGAGAGGAAGGGAGGCTGAATAGCGAACTTTCCATATCACGGCGCTTGATAAGTGAGGAACCTCCTGGAGAGGGTGGGCGATCTGGAGCCTTGAGAATCTGAGAGTGCTCGACGGTGAAGTTCTCTGTCATGGGAACATCTTGTTTGGGTGGTCTGGGTAAACATCGCTCAAGCTTCGTTATGCTGTCCGGGAGTATGTGCTCCATGTGCTCCATTTTGAGATCAAAATCGGACTTGAAGTGGGGCTAGTGGGTGGGAATGGGTATGGGTTGGATGTTGACACGCGACGATGTTGGGCATCGATCTTCGGGCTTCGAGGCAGTGCTGCGTCTCCAGCTGCAGGTGGGAAAAGGAACGTGGTCGCCGAGAGCATGTCAGAGGAAAAGATCAAAGAGAGGAAAGGTTTGGAGAACAGGAAGACTGGGCCTGGGGAAGGGTTCAGTCGTGAAAAAGTGACGAGAAGAAAGTGCGGGACGGTCACGCAGGACGCAAGCGCCATTTTGTGCGCATATGTAGCTAACAGGCCTCCATGTAATGTTTCGCATCAACACCTGACAACACGGCGCAAAACGGGACTAGGGAGCAGTGGCGCGACGATGGAGTGATAGGTACAGGCCGCATGGCCGGCTCCGAGCCGCGAGTGCAGAGGGACAGGATGTCTGTCTATTGAGGCTGTAGAAGTCGCTGTGTTTCAGGCATATGGCACCCTTGTTTACTGTCTAGAGACTGTGCCTAACTATTGTTTGTAGATATCTGGAGGCCATCAACGGAGTCCCTAGAATACTCAATTTTCAAATTCTTCATGCACGATCGGGTGACAGCACAAGGGTCGGTGCCTCGCCTTGTGGGGCATCCACCTCGTTTCTATCCGATCTCTTCCTCCTGTCCGTTCTTCGCCGCTATCAGGTAAGCCCTACGCGGGGAGTGGACTTTGATTGGTCCACGATTGTGTGCTACGGCGAGAAGAGTGGAAAGAAGGCGCACGGAGTGTGGTGTTGTGTTGGACGAGGCCTGAAAGGCACCCAATAACTATGAACCATGCATTGAAAATTTCCCTGGAAAATAGTGGCTGAGACAGCTCCTCATCCTGCTTTAATGCGATCCAATTTTGATTGAAGTCTCATGTGAACTATCAGCCGATTTAAGTCTAAATACACTTCCATCATAGTGGATATTTTCTTGAAGAACAGCCTCAAGAGTATATCCGCACGCTACATCTGTAATATTGCTATTCCGTCGCCCGGTTAGGCCCTCAATTTTATGTTTTTCTCGGTTGCTTGTGAAATCAAGACACCGTAAAGACGGCACGAATCGCCATCCCGTAATTCCGAGGTAATGAATTACCGCTTTTTGAGGGAGGACAAAAGGCTTCCTAATTTTTCCACATTGTCTAGTACTCTTCCTCTCATACACACTATTTAATTAATGATTGCATTTACGCTCTACCTAACATATCCGCTCTATATCCCGAAATGCCCCACACTACCTCGTATACGTCTTCTGCAGCATCTTCGCAATTGTCGTCAACTGGATGTTACTTGTGCCTTCATAAATGGCCCCGATCTTCGAGTCCCTGAAGTATTTCTCCGCCAATCCCTCCCTGACGAAGCCCATGCCGCCCATCCATTCGACGGCTTGTCCGGACACTTTGCCAGCGACTTGCGACGCGTACAGCTTAGCCATAGCCGCGTCTTGGACAAAGTCTTGTCCGGCTTCTTTCTTCCGAGCCGCGTTGAAGACGAGGGCGCGTGCGGCCTGTATCTCCGTCCACGCTTGCGCTAGTTGATGTTGCATACCCTGAAACTCTCCGATGTATTGACCGAATTGCTTACGGTCATTCCACACATAGCTGGGAGTTGTCAGCAAGGATCCTCCCTTTGTGGTTCAAAAGGAAGCAAGACTTACGTAGCAGCATTCTCGAACGCTCCGAGTGCTAGGCCGGTCATCTGCGCGGCAATGCCGATGCGGCCCTCGTTCAGCAAGCTAATTGCGTACTTGTAGCCCTGGAACTCCTCGCCCAAAAGGTTCTCCTTTGGAATTTCGACATCATCGAAGTTGATGACGCAGGTGCTGCTCGCTTTGATACCGAGCTTCTTCTCCTTCTTGGCAATCGAAAAGCCCGGAGTGCCTTTCTCAACAATAAACGCGGTAATGCCCTTGTACTTCTTGCTTGGGTCTAGATTGGCGAAGACGATGAAAAATCCAGCTTCCATGCTGTTCGTTATCCACATCTTGCCTCCGTTGATCTTATACCCGGTATCCGTCCTCGTAGCCTTGGTAGCCAGTGCAAAGGCATCAGACCCGGAAACTGGCTCCGACAAACAGAAAGATCCTACGTAACGTCAGCAGAGCTTTGGTGTACTCTTGCGGAGAGGTATGCTCACCAACAGTGTCCGTCGCCAAGCGCGGCAGCCACTTCTTCTTCAACGCCTCGCTACCATGCTTCAGAATGGCCGTATTACACAACGTGTTGTGTACGTCCGCCATAACGCTCACACTAGGATCCACCCGCGCCAGCTCCTCAATCGCCACAATCGCGGACGTGAAGTTCATTCCTGCGCCACCGTACTCTTCAGGGATCTCAATCCCCATGAGTCCCTGCTCAAACAGTTGTTCCACGACAGCCGGGTCCATAGTCTCGGCCTCGTCCATCTCCCGCACTTTAGGCAAAATCACTTCATTCGAGAACTTGTTGACCGAGTCGGCCATGAGGGACTCGGTCTCGGAGAGGTGCGTTATGGGTGTGGGTGGGATGTCGGTGATGTCGATTGTTTGCCGTGGTTGCGTCGTGGAGAGGCATCGTATTCTATAGCCATTGAGTGTCAGAGCTGCAGTAATAAATCAATGATTTTCAAAGAGTGTCATACTGCGGGGTGGCCTTAAAAAATGCTGTCCTAGAAGGGCGTGATGAAGAGGCGGCGACGCGTGTCAGTGGCCGGAGAGCCTTTGCAATGGATGCCATGCTGAATTACGTGTCGTGAATATCGAAATCGAAGTCTGCAAAAGTCTGTAAACAGCAGTGGTGGAGTGCAGGGAGGAGAATGGCGATGTCGCTTGGATGCGGGTTACCGCATAGAATACCGAGGTTCGAAGACGCAGCCATCTGCTCAAATGGATAGCCGCTCATTCAGCCTCCGCTTTCCCCGGCCCAGAGGCAAGAAGGGTCAGCTAACCGTCTGGGGTGGAGCGTCACATGCAAGCTGGGGATTTCTTGGTGGCTGAATGCGGACGTCATTATTCGTGCACGTGATCTATGCTCTATTTCCGGGATACAAAGGTATCAATTCAATATGTTGCAGCATTAAGAACAGGCTATTGACAGCATGTTTATTGGGAAAGGTCATCGGCAATCGAGAGTCCTGGGTAAGGTCTCTGAGGATTGCCAAAGTGCCCGCCTGTGCCGTGGTCCGGGGTTTAATCTCGGCCAAATCCTTCTGGCGCGAATCTTGGAGCCCCAACGAGCGGCATGTCTCTATGATCTTCACTTTCTTTACCACTAACGTACCCTGCGGGTGAGCTGCCCATGCGGGCGAGCTGCCCATGCGGGCGAGCTGCCCAGTCCGTGCACCACTAGAAATTCAATAATCTAACCTTAAATAACTCTACAACCACCTAATAAAAAGTTATACAAATTTAATATATTATTCTTATATATATAAATACTTAGTATATAGAATATAGAGTCTATCCTTATAGTAGTTAGCTAGTAATAAAGGGTAAGGTCTAAAATAGGGGTCTAAATTTAATAATTAGTTAACTACTATAAAAATAGACTTTATATTCTATATACTAAGTATTTATATATATAAGAATAATATATTATATTTGTATAACTTTTTATTAGGTAGTTATAGAGTTATTTAAGGTTAGATTATTGAATTTTTAGTGGTGCACGGACTGGGCAGCTCGCCCGCATGGGCAGCTCACCCGCAGGGTACGTTAACTAAAGACTTGCCTTTTAATAAACAACGTCCTACACCCCCATCCGAGATTCACCTGCTAACGAGAATTGGTGAGGGTTTTGCGTGCAGATTTGGTCACGCTTAGAGGAACTGGGGCTAGCGGCTCGCCCCATCAAAATCCTCCACCAATTCTCGTTACCTTTGTAGTGTGTGAATCTCGGATGGAGGTGATGAACGTTATATAGGCGGGTGCTTAAGAGAAAATACTTGTAGAAAAAGCCTTTCCACTGATTACCTAACTAGCGAGTTTTACTTAGTCATGTTCGCTTAGTGGCCAGCGCGTTTCGATTTAGCTTTTCCCGCTTAGCGGTTCTCGCTCGCGTGTCGCTTAGTTCTCCTCGCTAAGCCATTCACGCTTCGGTGTTCCCGCTTAATAACTAGCGTGTTCTTGCCCAATAAGTCTCTCTAAATCACGTGATTTACATCGATCAATTATCCTTCTTAGGTCAGCAACATCTTTTCATGTGGTGAATTGAAGTCCTCTACGATCTATTCAAGTGTAATACTTCAAGCGTATTCTCAAATCCAGAGGAATGTGCTAGGTTGCGTGGGTCATGTGCTCAATTCACTCTTCTGCAGCATAGACACGCACGGAGATACTCAAGCCGGAACTGGATCTCTATACGCCAGGGATGGTGATCTACGGAACATTCAGGTGTAGGGGGAGTTAGTGTTGGCAGACTGCTAAGCATTCCAATTGGGTACTAACCGAGCTTATTCTTTATAAATAGAGAGCGTCTGGCCCAACTTTGCGGACCTAGTTTCGAAGTATAGTCGTCCTTTCTTTGCAATGTCACTCACTTCTTTCATCAAGCCCTCCACAAACATCAACCTGTATCCCATATTCTCCTGGGTATCATCTAAGCTAATACGTCATAGCAAAGCCGCTAACATCAGTCGTCCTCGCCTTGAAAACGAACATGCCAGTATAAGAGAACAGTCGTTCTCTTCGCTAGCGCTCTCTAAGCGCAGACCACAAGGACACAAATAAAGGAAACTCGATCGTCTAGAGTTACGTCTTCGTACGCTCCGGATCCCAGATGGCCTCCATGATGTGCATCCGGCAGCCCTTGGAGGTCCTCGCTCCCGTAAACTTGAAACGAGGGTCTGCCGCCTTAAAAAGCTCCGCGTAATCGTTTTCATCTCGCTCTCTAGCATTCAGCAATTCGAGCATCGTCACATCCATGGTCCTACAAGTGAAGTATTAGCTTGCTGTCAAATCTTTTCGTGCCACTCGTTCATACCGAGTAATCTTTTCGTCCCATGGGTCAGCAGTGTTCGGTTTAGGCAAGCAATTGTCGTTGATGATGATGCGAGCTCCGGGTTTCAGGGCCGGAATCAGTGCCTGGAGAATTTTGACGCCATACTTGTCCGATTGGTTGTGGATGATCCAACGGAAGAAGTAGACGTCGGCATTCTTTACCGGCTGCTCAGTATAGAAGTCATGAGCTTGAAATCGAATCCGCTCCGCAAGTTCGGAGGGAATCTTTGACGGTCCGTCTGCAACCGTCTTGGGCAAGTCCTGTACCACGAACTTCATGTCAGGGAATTTCTGGGCCAGCGCCACGCAAACAAAGCCGTGGGAACCTCCAATCTGTCAAACGGTGAGCATGAGGAATCACAGTGTAGCAGAGATGCTCACATCAACAAAGGTCGACTCCCCGAGTTCGTCCCAAGGGTACCCGTCCACCAGATAGTCGACTTGGTAGCCCTCGCCGCCGGTCAGCGACATCATAGCTCCTCCAAAGCGCTTCGCTCGAGCAGGATCCTTCCCGATCTCAGCAAACATGGGCGTTCCTTCATGCTTCCAGGCTACGGTGAACCCCGACTCTGCAGGCTCTTGCGAACCTGGGTACTTCAGCATTGCGTCGACGGTGTGGGCTGCAGCTGGAAAGAAATCAGCGCTACAGAGGCCAACCCAGTCAATCATCTGCGGATCATCTACGAGTATCCGAGAAGCTGCGGTATGCGCGACGAAACCTTCTCGGGGTTCCTTGAAGATGCGGTTGGTCATTGCATGTCGAATCAGTCGCTTGAGGTTGGTTTCATCGAGCCCAGTTGCTTTCGATAGCTCGGCATAGGAAATCTCGCCGTCGACAGGTACGGCTGATGCTACTCTGAACTGGTAGACGGCAAGTAGGCTAAGGTTGTCGGTGTACTAAGTCGAGTTATGAGTTCTGGTATCCGAGTCCGCTTCATGATACGGGAGGTGTGGTTCCACGGCAGATACCAAGAGGACTTACGCTCCATGACATCCACCGAACACTCTCGCGTGGCCCCACCATCAGATCATGCAGCTCCTGGGTGGCATTGATCACTGTACGACGTGCCTCTTGGATCTCAACATTGCCCGTCGGGACGGGGAAGTCGGCCGGGGCACTGGGGTCGAAGGAGAGCGGCGAAAGACCATTTTGGGTGAAGAAGTCGTCCACTTTCTGGGTCTCGCGGGCAATGATCGCGGTCAGTTCGACAAGTCTGCTCGAGGCCATTCTGCGGGGATGATCAGAGAAGTGGAGATGGTCAAGCGGTTCCTTGGTTGTTTCACAGCTGCCGAAAACGGTGGTTGTTGCAGCAGTGCTGCGTTTGACTGGACCAAGGAGATTGGTGAATGCGAGTGAAGAAAGTCGGAAGCCGGAAAAAGCAACGAAGTGGTTCCAAGGAAAAGCCCCGAGGATGGGTCTACCCGGGTTCGAGGTTTTTGCACTTGGTTATCGGCTCATTACGTGGTTTGTACTGGTAAAAACGTGCTAGCCTAATACGACGTGTCTAAGCTAGATGAAATAGCGACAATGGCCTTCACTCTTCTCCTTGCCCGATTGGCCTACTTTTCTCGATCCATTCCGTTGTCGCAAGGAAAAAAGTATACGGCGAGGATAACAAGCAGCTTAGAGAAATAGAAAGAGAAAAACACAGGCAAGAGAGGGAGAATCGGGGAGGTCATCTGTAAGTAGACCGAGTTAAGGATTTACTTCATGCAGGTGTTTACCAGTTAGGAACCCGGCACCCCTACCAAGTTGCAAGGTTTGATGCTGGGCGGATTGGCACCGGGCGATCACGCGTTGCAATCGATAGCCAGCCTCAGCGCGAGGCATCGCAACAACACCTATACAAGCTCAGATGGTGGACCTCGTTGCACTTTCAAGTCCTAGCAGCTCACGATTCGGCCAGGACGCATTCATAGAGATAGCCACGTACCCGCCGCTTGGCCATCCTCCCCACATCGCGTGTTCCTGTTGCTTGAAGACACCGTTTCGCGCCCTTCTCAAGCCATTGCATGAGACTCTCTACCGCCACACCATCACCTTTTATTCTCCGAGCCGCCCGGAAGCCTTTTTAGGTCCCGCGATCAGCCCTTTTGAATAGACTTCGGCCCTACTGCAACCTACAGCGTCTAGTGGATGTTCGACATGGATGCCGACCCTCAAGATTCCAAGATTGACCTGAGCGAGCTGTCAAAGCATACTCCATGTGATATCAGAGACGCTTCGACACAAACAAGTGAGCCGCTGTGGCAGATGGCCTTAGAAGTAGCTCTCGCATCGTCCGGCCACTCCGCGACGCCGCGAAGAGCTTCTGGAGGCAGCAAGTCGGACAAGAGCGTGTCGCCCGCGCGGCAGCAGCTCGAATATACAGCCCAAGAAACGGCCGATGCCCTCGACCAAGCTGAGCAAGGTATCGATGTGGAGAGCGCAGAGAACTTTAGTGACGATGACGGCTACCAGACGGACAGCAGCGAGTCGGATTCAGTGTCACTCGTGTCCAGCGCGCGTAACTTCATCTACGAAAACGGTCGGCGATATCACGGCTACAAAAGAGGTGAGAATGACTACTCGTTCCCAAACGACGACCGAGAGCAGGATCGGGAGGACCTGAAGCATGCTATGTTCTTGCTGCTTTTTAACAAGACCCTCCACTTTGCGCCACTGGAGAACCAGGCGATGAAAGTGATAGACCTAGGGACGGGTACCGGTATCTGGGCTCTTGATTGTGCGTAAAGCTACTAATTACCCCATTGACACTGTCACCCAAAGGCTCCACAAGCAGCATCAAGCATGTATACTAACTATCACCTACAGTCGCTGACCAGTATCCATTGGCCGACGTCCTCGGCGTGGATTTGAGCCCTATTCAGTCCGAATTCGTGCCACCTAACCTTCGTTACATGGTGGACGACGTTGAGGCCGAATGGCTATACCCCGTAAACCACTTCGACTACATCCATACCCGGCACACCATCCAAGCATTCCGCAACTGGCCCCTGCTATACAGTCGGGCATTGCAGTACGTAACCTCCTCACCACCCTTCCCTCAAAAGCTACCTCGATCTCTACCAGCCTGGCATTACTAACTCCCTCTCAACCGCCAGACACCTCAAACCCGGCGCCTGGATGGAATGCCAGGAGCTGACCCACTACCCCGAGTGCGACGACGGCAGTATGGCCCCCGACAACCCCATCGCACAGTTCTGGGGCTACATCATCGCCGCCCTCTCCAACCTCGGCGTCAACCTCCGCCCGCGCCTCGCGGACCTCATGCGCGACGCCGGTTTCATCAACGTCACCGAGCGCATCTTCTACACCCCGATCGGGCCCTGGCCGAAGAATAGGGCGTTACAAAAGGTCGGGCTCTACTGGCGCGCGGTGCTGGTGGAGGGCCTCGAGGCGATTGCGCTGGGCCCGATGACGAAGGGGCTGGGCTGGCGGAAGGAGGAGGTGGAAGTGTTCTTAGTAGGGGTGAGGAAGGCATATTTGGAGAAAGGGACGCATACGTGGATGCCGTTTCATGTGATTTATGGGCAGAAGCCTGGGTATGCATAAGAGCGAAGTGGTCGGAAGTGGTTGGAGAAGAGAGGGTTCATGCAGAGGACAAACACTGTTTCTTATTGTCGTAATGGGCGGGTTATGATGAAAGAGAAGGGCTTCATGGGATCGGGTTTTTGCGGTAGTTGGTGTTTCGGGGCAAAGAGGTTTCTAGGACACTATGAGCCATACAGGTATCGGCGCTGTCACTTCAAGTTAGATGTGTAGGTATTGTATAATGATTTGGGCAAAGGGTGTGGAGCTAGGCGCGCCGCGCGGGAGAGACTAGTGTTTGATGCTCGAAAAACTGATGCCTCTTGTGGTAAATTCAGCAGAGCTTCAGCATCATGAGACCATCCTGTTGATCTTCACGAAGCTTTCCTACTAATCTCGGGAGAAGGGGGAGGTTAGCGTGATATTGTGGCTAATCAAGCTAGTTATTCAGCGGAAGGTTCATTCTACTTTCTCTTAATGTTATGATATTGAGGATCCTGGCCAAAACGCAAGCATAATGTGCTTAAACTGCAAACAATGGGAGTGCTGCATATGTGACATCTAGGTGTCTTAAAATTAGGGTTTTGATTAAACGTAGTATGGATTTTCTCTGAAAGACGTGTTTTTTTATTGAAGATGAACGGGACTATATTCAATTCAGAAGTCATAAGGGGCTAGGCAAATTGGACATTCCCCAAAGTCTTGGAAGAACTCGTTAATTTGCAGTCTTTAGACTGACTCAAGCCGATGAATTTCCGAATGCGGCACGTCAAGCACAGATAGAGCCAGTAGAGACAAGGCTTCTAATCGAAGCAGCACAAGTCTGAGCGGCTCCAATTCAGTCTTGGCGTAGTCGCTCTACTTCTGGAACAAAGGTTTGGGCTGACATTCTCGCAGAGATGATGAAGTGATTACTGGAATATATATTCCTAGAATACCTCGGAAGTGTATGACGAGGCATTGTATGATGAAAAGCCTTAGCAGTAATACGCTATCGGCTTCACGCAAAAATTTGTTATGCACGATAGTGAAAGAGCGAAATGAAGAGGTCGAAAATATGGCTACCGCATTACTCTATGATTCTCACCGACTGCAACTTCGAAGAAGAATTGCGAGCATTAGTTTCCAGGGGTTTATTAGAAACAGGTAACTGAACGCAATATCAAGTCCGTGGCCGGAACCATCTGCGAAGTCAGAAACAACTAGCTCCAAGCATCTTATCACTACGGTGCAGCGTACCGGTATTCGCTATCACCGGCAGCTCGCCTACTTACGGGGAATACCGCCATCCATATGCACCACCACCAATGCGGAACACACCAGCATGTGCGTGTCGCAGATACTGGAACAACACTACCGTGGGATGTTGATGACATTAATAGGTCAGAGTGCTTCGTCAGATGATGACGAACATGACTCACGAAAGAGTGCAATATGGCTTACGCGTATAGATTCCCGATTCACGAGCGATCTGACTGGAGTCCTGGGAGCCGTTATCCTTGTGATATGTAGCGGAAGTGCGTGGGACCAGATGCGAAGCAGGCACTTAGCACGTCGGTAGATCCGCATATTCGCTTTTGCATGTACACGTACAAGCCAGTGTTGATTACGAGCAAATTTCGGAGTGGTGTAACCTTGAAAAGCTAGTTGAGTTAAGCAGAGGGATCATTACCTCACCAGGAAGGCATTCACGGTATAGGACAGACTTTTATGCGGCAAATTCCGTGGCCGTCCTTCCAATTGAACGGGAATGGTGCTTATAGGTCAGTCTGGTCATGCACCCCAGCATACCTGGGGATTAAACTTCAGTGTGGCTGGCTCGCTGATTGGCTTAGAGCACGCCGTGGATGCGACAATAAAGACCGTTGCTTGCGTGGGTGATGCGGCCACTATCGGAGCCTGAGGCCTTATAACAGGGGCAGGTGCCCGGATTCAGGCTCCCAGTGGTCGCAGGAGCATGATTTCTTTGACAGGGTCATTGAGACGCTGTCGCGGGTATCGCGGGGGATGGAGTGGTCAGATTTTGGCGATTGCTGGATCACTGGGCGAAGAACGAACTTGAAGGAGAGGCTGCGCAAGTGAGTGAAACCAACATGTAGGGGCAAAATTAGTACGTACGTAGCATTCTTAGCTCGAATAAAAGTAGGGTCTTAAGTTTAGCGCCCGTGACGGCTTCGTGGACACTGCGAGCCGGTCCGGGGGAGACGATCTTGAAACGTAGGCCTGGTTTCCGTTTGCCCCGAGAAAGGTATCCTTGACCAGCTGCATTACGGTGCGGAGTAGATATACATGCCGGCTTAAGCCTATTCCATCGATACCACGTAGAAGGTATGCGAGATTAAGATGACAAGAGAAGAGCATACCGAGAAGGAATTAAGTTCTACGATAAACTCAAGCATGGACGCCTTGGGGTCGCGATTCATAGTAGCGCTTCGGCATGTCGAGCTGTTCCCCTTTCTGCAAAGACTAGCAAAGTCAACCCGCGCATTAATTCAACGGCATATAGTGGAAGTTGCCGAAACTCTCTTACCGACACACCGGCTGAGGCAGACTTGTGGGCTGTGAAGCGGGTGCGGAAGCTAGTCTGTAACCGCCGATAGCAAATCCTCTATAATACAGCATCATCACGTCCGGTGACCTAGCGCGCAAACTGAGTCGACCCCGGTAAACTACCTTTTCTGGCTAATATTGAGCTAGTTTGAAGATTGATTGGTTAGGAGGCTGCTATACCCCCTTAAAGGCGTCCGGAAATGCTACCTTATACGGTAATTTTGTGGCTTGGTTTCAGCGCTGGGTCACCGGACGTGAGTATATGCTGTAAGAACGATGATTCGTTGGGATGGATTGGCCGAGGCATTTGTTTTGGCTTTTTGGCGTGTTCTAACGGTTTGGTTAGACTTTCAGCCTTGCCGAGGCCTGAAGCCATGCGGCATACAGGAACTAGCGCGGAAATGAAGCTACAGGCGAAATAGGTGGTATTAGAACGGAGGAAGCCCTTTTCTGGACCAATTCTTACCGAGGCTGAGTTGGATCTGCTGGCGTTAGTTTCTAGATTATCCCCTTTTTGCAGCTGACTTTCGTGGCTTGAGTTCCGAGCTAATTCGTCGGACGCATCAGGTCCTATACACCTAGGTACTGACGACAGCTTTATTGCGACTTAGTCGTCGGACTGAGCACCTACAATTATGCCGTACCTGACAGGAACAATGCTCCGTAGACGCGTCCTTGCTAGAATATATGTAGCGGGATCCACTAATACAGCAGCAGCGAGGGCTGGCGGTCAGCAACGGATGAAGAACTCCAAGCGGATTGCCATTTTGGGAGGGCCGTATGGTGCCGGTCTGTCGGGACACGGCGCTGTCGTCTGGAAACAGCTTGGAGAGTGGGGTGGGCCTGGTCCGGCGTGGGGGAGGGGCTTTTTTTGACAGAAAACGGTTTTCATGTCGAGAGAACCTTGGAAGCATGGCGCTTCGGGCGCCACTCATACGTCCTTCTCAACACCACCCAGCTGCATCCCGACTCCTTGTCCTTGCTTGCCTGACATGTCTCCGGAGAGGGGGGCACAGCGGGGCCACATTGCCCCCGTTTGAGTGTCGTCACGTCTTTACAGCCAGCTCACACCTATCTGACCGACTCTTCTGCTTTGATAGCTCTTCCGCTGCTACCGCTGGTCGTGCTCCTTAGGAGGGACCAGTGCGAGGCATTTGCTCCGCCATTCCTGTCATCGCAACGCCTTGTATCCCGGTGTAATACCAGTTGACGACCGCAACAGGCACGGGACATTGCTGATAGGCCTATGGCGAGAGGAGACGACGCGAGGTTGGGCGCATCTGGTTCCTGACAGCCAACGCCTTTGGTGCACTGGCATGATCGCGGCCACCTGCATTTTGTGGCCTCCGGCCGCCGCAAAATAAAACGAGGAGGGACAGGCTGGGCGTTCCAATCGCGTTCGCCGTCACCCTCCATCGCTGAAAAGCAGGCACCCGCCAGCCAACACCACGGCACTGCTCTGGCAGGGATGACGGTGCCATGCGCGGTCATTTCGGCTGCATCATGATCGAGTCGGGTTGAGCATCGGTGTGGTTGGTAATTGGATACGCGCCTCACTCTCGCCATGGAGTCTGCTGCTCGCGCCTTGTCACACTACGATGCTTGCCGTTAATATCGTCGGTGGCCACGATGTTTCGAGGGATCCGCACGTCCCATCGGCGGCGAAGCACGCTCTCGTGCGCGATAGCCTGCTCGTCGTGTAACGTGAGCAGTCACATTATTCACGCCGTCCGGATTGGATCGGCTTGCTGCGTGCGAGCTCGTATCAACGAGCATCCAGGATTCCAGAACTACCCGCGCCCGCCCGCGCCCCAGAGGTTGACGCGGCGCGGTCGTAGCACGCCCTCCCGCAAAGGGGGTCACCGCACTGGGGCAACTGTTGCCGTCGCCAGCACGGCGGTTCCAGACTCGAAACGACCACAGGCCCCCGGGCTTTTCCCAGATGTCTGGGTCACCGAGCAAGGCGCTGCGCACGGCAAGCCATGTTTCAGGAGCGACAAGTCATGCCCCAGTTTTGAGGCCTGCCTGCCCTGCTGCTTTCATTCTCTCCCTCCCCGCATCCTCGGCTCGGAGGCCTGCCTGTTTGCGACGTCGCCGTAGCTTCTCTGGCTCTGGAGCCCGTCATGCTAGGCGTGAGAAAAGTGGCACACTCATCAAGCACTATGTCTCGTCTGTACCCCTGTCTGCCACTGCTTGGGGTAGCTCCAACGAGTTTCCACAAAGGCCAGGGTGAAGGGCTTCTATCTCCTTCAGATTCTTGAAAATGCATTGAAGCACTCGAAGCAGTGGCAGACAAGTGCACACACGAAACAGCTTGTTGTAGAAATAGGGTGCCATCTTTTCCATGCCCCGCGTGCCCGTTAGGGTCGCACCCACCGCCTCCGCACTGTGACGGCCACCTGCATTGTTGCCGTCTCCTTTTCCAGTGGCGAGGCCCAGGGCTGAGGGTGCGCGGAGTATCCTGGTGGGCGATTGACCCGGGAAGGCGAATAGAGTAGCAGAGCGTCGCTGAGCATCTATCATCATGCCTTGCTGCCCACATCCGCGCTGCGTCAGCAGCAGCGGCTTCACCGTTCGGGGCTGTCGTACGGTGCTTCGTCCATCGGCGGCGGCAAGGAAGGCGCCCAGCACGCAGCTCCGTCTCGAATTCTGGTTGGCAGCGCGGAGGACAGCGGGCTGTCTGTCTGCGACAAGTGCTGCGTCTTGCTGGATTCCCGTCTGATCCGCCACCATGCTGGTCAGCGTAGGCGTGTCGCATGCGTCGTGGGGCCGTCTTTTAACCATGAAACTGCGATCCTTCCGCACCGCAATTGCCGCGCTGCTCCCAGCCTGCCGGAGCTTGCAGAGTCAGAGGCTTTTACCGTACTCCGATCGTCCTCTGGGCCTGCGCGAGCAGCTTGCCGAGGACCGTATGGGGAAGACGGCAGCTAAAAACACGCCGGGCTATTCCCTGATCAGCCCAGAGAGCGAACCACACCGCTGGGAAAGACCCAAGGATGCGCGCCCATGATTCATGCGCCCAAGCCCACGTTCTGATGCCCTAGGACTGTCCTGCCCTGCTCACCGACGGCTGGCAGTGGCCGTCGTCAAGAGGTCGCTAGCGGAGGACAGACGACGACGGCGGGTGAGATGCCATGTGGACTGACTGCGGCTTGTTTGCGCGCATGTCGAGGGTAGCACGCGTGGCCATGATTTGCTGTACCTACATGCAGATGCAGCTTCAGGCCCTCCAGGACTTGCTGCAAAGTGACAAGCGTCACAGGCGTCACCTGCTGAAGTTTCCCCATCATCGCATCGGCCCAGATCAGCCAATCTCCACTCAGATTCGCATCGCTTGCTTTCCGCACAGCCCGCGGATCTGGGAATTGTTCTTTTTCACCCAAGTTGTCGGGTCTGTCCGCGCTGCCTCTCATGAGGTTCAACCTCTTCAATTTGCGCAGGCCGGTCCCTGGGTTTTTCTTGCAGCATCACGGCCGCACGCTTGAGACCACGGAACGGGACGTCTTCCTTGCGCGCAGCACTCGCGCCGGGACGCCTCCGTGACGACGGTAAGGGAGTGAGACGCCGTGAGCTGGCGGCGAAGCCCGACGAACATTCTCGCTGCTGAGCGCAAAACCAGCTCAGATCTGGATCTTACCTCATGCCGCCACGCATGTATGCAGCGTCCGCGTCTCAGAGTGTGGTGTCCAGCAAGGCCCCGAGGGGCGGACTGACCCGGGGAGACGTTTTGCAGGCTGTGATGATGCCATGACAAGCACGACTGACGATGGACCGGCGCTGCGGACGGCAGGAGGTGTGCTTCCATGCAGTCTCCCTATCCTCCGAGTGAGAGAGCCGGAATAATGCAGTAGCGGATGGCCGCGTTCAGGAGTGCATGCCAGCTTCAGAAACATGTCTCCCACGAGCCGGAGCGAGCGGCCTTGCTGTACGCTGCCGCATCTGCGCGTGTGGAGGGCTGCAGCACCAGCAGGCCGTCTGGTTCCGATGCTTTCGGCGCGGGTCGCGGGTCGCGATGGGTCGAGGGCGTTGGAGTTGGTGGTGCAGAACAACTATCGACCGAGCACGGCTAGTGTGCTCGCGAACAGCCATTGGCTGCTCGCGATGCCCTCTGCGTCGAACAGGTGAATCAAGGTCGCTCAGGCCCCGGCTCGGCCGTTGGAGAAGGGCCGACGTGCATTCTGTGCGGCATGTCTGTGTCTTGCGTCGTCACGGGCTGGAGGATGCCACCAAATGTTGGTGGAGTCTGCGGGCCTTGGCCTGCATGATGGCCCTCTGGAAGGCTGAAAGCGAGAAGACTGCCTTGGACGAGGCATCCGGAGCAAAGTACTAGAGGCAAATCAGGCTCAATACTTTGCACGTTTGCGGCACGCCCACGGCCTCTGTGATGAAGGGAGTGTGCAGAGTGCGTCCTTACGTCCTTTGTGGCATCAGCACGTACATACCCTGCTCAGCATACCCGCTGCTCCTCGATGTGAAACATGGTGCCTTGACGAAAGAGTCGAGCTCGGATTGGGCTCCGTGTGGGGCACAGTAAAGTACGGGCGGCCTAGGATGGAATAGGCGTATTCCGGCCCGGCGGTCTGGCATATTTGCTGAAACGGCCCTAATGCCAGCTGTAAGTTACAGACGCTAGGCTCGCGCTAGCCCAACCTACCACGCATCGCACCTCGACCACACTTTAGACATTTCGCCGCGTCTGATAACGAGGGCGACTAGAAGAGGCCGGTCCGTGTAGTGCAGCGGCCGCCCAGCATGCATCTTCCCCCCTGGCGCACCCCGACCGCCAGCGGTGGGCCTGCAGCATCATCGTCCCGCGTGTCCGCGGGAGCCAGCGCCTTGGAGCAGCGCGGCCACCGATCGAGGACAAGAGAATGACTCGGCAGCGCGGGCACCTCGGAGGCGGACGCGCTGCCGGACCGGGATTCGCTGGCGGTCGAGGAGCAGGGCTGGCGAGCTGGGCGTCCGAGGGGGGCGTTCGCAGGTCATTTCTTTTGGAGAACCGTGTCGCCGGGATTCCAGGTGAACCTTGGACCCGGAACACTGGAACCTCTTAGGCCGCCCCAGCCCTTGACACACACACGGCCGCCCGCCTCTCCAACCGCAGCATCGCCCAACGCTGCGGCCGACCCAGCCGTGGCGCCCTCAGCAGACGCAGCGACGCCGCCGGCTGTCTGCGTCCGCTGCCCGCCGCAGACAGCGCGCTGGTTTCGGCCTCAACCGCGGCCTGGATGGCGCGCATCGCTGGCAGCAGAGGGCCACGCCGCGCCGGCGCCTGGACGGAGCGCGAAAAGCGGGCGTGTCTGCTGGGCCCGGCGGCGCATGAGCGGGCAGCACTATTTCATAGCGGGCGTGTTATGCGCTGCTGGGGTGCTGCCCACCGCCCAACGAACCCTGCGCTTGGCCACCACCAGCACTGAGGTCTCCAGCAGACAGCCCCGTTGCCGGCGCGGGAGACGCTCGCTCGTGCCGTGTCACCAGGCGCGCCCCGTGCATGGGTCCATCCTGTCCTGATGGCATTTGGTGCCCGTAGGGAGGGACCGCACCGCGCGAGATATAATACGCCCAATGCCCGCAACCACTGGCCCTGATCCGTCGTCGTTCCCCGGCTCGCCCTCCCAAACTTTCGCCCTCCACCTGGCCACTCAGCCTCCAGCCCCGGCCGCCTCTTTAATATCTATCCCCGCGCCCTCGTCGCCGTCGCCAGCCCGCTCGCCAACCTCCAGCTGCTGCTCCTCCTCGTCCTCCTCCTCGCCGCTCCACCACGCCCGCGACCACCGCCCCCCGCCGCCTGGTCCTCCCCCCTCCCGCAGCCCGGCTGCTGCTGGCCCCCGCGAGCGTGGACGCGTGCTCCCACAGTTCCAATGGTTACGATGGCTTCAAATGGGTGAGTGCCGCGCCCCGCTCCGTGCTACGCCGCCCTGCGATGTCCCCGCCCGCGCTGACCGCGACAGTTTGGCCGTCCCTGTCCCTGCGAACTACCTCGAAAACGGTCGCCTGTATCATGGCTACCGCCGCGGCATCTACCTGTACCCGTGCGATGAGGTGAGCGTCCCGCCGTGCCGCTCCCGGCGTCGCTGACCCGCTGCGTTGCCAGCTCGAGAAGGACCGCATGGACATCTACCACAAGCTGTTTCTCGTGGCACGAAGAGACCATCTGCACCAGGCTCCGTTGCCGCAACAGTGGGAGGCCCGCATCCTTGACTTGGGCTGTGGTACCGGCATCTGGGCCATTGACATGGCAGAGTACGTCTTGTCCCCCCCGACGCCGTCGGAATTCTGCTGGTCGCACGCTCGTTTTTGCTAACCTCTTGCTACCTTGCAGCCAATATCTGACCGCCGAGGTTCGCCGCCCCCGATTCCGTCTGACACGCTCCCCGCAGGCCGCTGACATTGCAATTGAAGGTTCTGGGACTTGATCTGGTAAATATTCAGCCCGAAAAGTGCGTTCGCCATCTCCCGCCCAGCACCGCCTCCATGCTGATCTCCACGACCGACAGGATCCCACCAAACTTGCGCTTCCGCATCCCGCGCGACTACGAGAGCCCATGGACGCTGGGCCAGGATTCGTGGGACCTGATCCATCTGCGCATGGCCTGCGGCAGCGTCTCCAGCTGGCCTGAGCTGTACCAGAACATTTTCACGTACGTACCCACGCGGCGCACACAGAGCCCACGCTAAAACTTCCCAGGCACCTCAAGCCAGGATCTGGCTGGATCGAGCAGGTCGAAATTGACCTGACTCCCCAGTGCGACGACCACACTCTGGCCGCAGACAGTCCTCTCGTGAAGTGGTACGAGTATCTAGCCGACGCTACCCACCGCGCCTCGCGTCCTATCGCCTACCAACAGCACACCCGCCAAATGCTGCAGGCTGCCGGTTTCATCGACATCCAGGAGCAGATAATACGAGCGCCGTACAATTCGTGGCCAAACGACCCGCATCAGAAGGACATTGGCCGCTGGTACAACCTGGGCATCACCGAGGGCCTGGAAGCAATGAGTTTCGCGCCCTTCACGCGGGTCAACCGATGGGACTTGAACGAGCACGTCCGGCCGCTGTGCGAAGCCGTCAAGACGCAGATATGTAACAGGAAGATTCACGCGTACAACAACATGTAAGTCAATTCCTTTATCTAGCCGTGCTACCAATTATTGGCGTTACTGTCGGGACTGACCCCTTGCTCGCCACAGACATATCTGGACCGCACGCAGGCCGCAGCAATAACCTATCAGCTCACGATACACGACACGTAGCTTAATCTCTAATATCTCCGGCTGCTGTGACACGCCTCTCGCTATCTCAACCCGGCTAGAACCTCTCCAAAAGACCGCGCGACCACTTGCGGGCACCTCGCCGACGGATTTTGATTCGACCAGCATTCCTCCACAAAAGCGATGCAATGCACGAAACCGAGCTCGTGGAAGCCCGCGTCACCGTAGTATTGGGATTACCACACACCCTGCATCTGCGAAGGAGCTGAATCCTGGTTGCCGCAGTGCTCGACGGGTGGGACCACTTCGGCACGACTGACCGACACCATGGATCGATGCATATTCCCCTCGCCGAAACACCACACCACCTTCCTCTTCAGCACTTCCGACTCGACCGGTTCGACCATTTACGAATTTCTGTTATGGGGAGGCGCATTAATGGGCACTGGGGCATCAAAAAACGGGTTATTGGGTTATTCTTCTGTTCCAATGCACTTGTACAGTGGGTCGTTTCATCTCGCTGGGATGCCGGCTTCACGTAGCATCGATACCATCTCCTTCTCCACCATCAACATCCCATGCTATCCAATCAACCATCTCCCCTCTAGTGTACAGGCAACAAGAGTCGGCGCGTGGCACGCAATGGTCCTTTCTTGTCTTTATTGCCACATCTCTGCATTCCCGCGATTACTATTTAATAACTGTCAAAAGAGGACTTTTCTTCTCAATTTGTCGTGTGGCCGGCGAATTCAGGCGAGGTGCTTGTGTAAGCATTTGCATGCGGGGCTCGTCATGTCATGTCTTCTGAGACGCTGAATCGTTTTCTTTTCTGGCCAGGCTCCGTCTCCATTGGGTCATGGGTGCAGGCAAAAACTAGTGTGCACAATTCTGACTTTCATACTTCTCGTTATCATCTATGCCTTCAAATCTCGATCTCGGTGCTCTCTCACCAGTCGACGCATCTGTTCGCTTTTTGTATTTCATGTTGCCATACTTTGGTGGCTTTTCTGCTTCAAGTCTGGCTCCTGACGATCCCTTTTCGACGGGCTCTGGGTGTTGGTTTCTTACCGGCGGCGCCGATGCCCGCTGTGCTTCTTGGCTGTTACCAAGCTACTACATAGGAGCGTCCCTTTGAAATACCCCAATTTATGCAGAAATGCTCTCGAGACTGCGTTCGGTCCCCAGTTTTGCTTCCCTTACGTCACGCCTTGAGTGATTTGTTCTTCACCGTTCTACCACGCTGTCGCACTGATTACCTCAAACAATGGCTGCGTTACCCAAAGCTGACTCCGATCCGAAACAGTCGCAGCATCCCAGACCAGAACGCGCGCTCTCTACACCACCGCGTCGAACTTTCCTTTCTCCTTTCTCTTGCATTTCCACCCACGCTCTGACCAGTTTGTAATTCAACGCAACATTTCTTCCCACAACAGCCGATGCCACGTCACAGCGCGTTCGTCTTGATCAACTCCCAACAACTAAACTAGCTCCTAACCATACTCTCGGAACCGTCGCCACCTCTAGTGACTGGTGCAGTTTCAGCATGGCAAAAAGGGCATCAGGCCATCCTCACCTATCGGCTCGCGCTCCCGACGAAGCTTCCACCGCTCATCCGCCGTGCTGGGCTCCGGGGGGACCTTGCCTGTCAACCCGGCCCTCGCTGCCTTGGGATGATAGAGGTGGAGGCTGATGCTTCAACGCACCCCCGTCCGATGCGCTGGACTCAGCCACCTAATCCGTAGCCCACTTCCCCAATGCTCACGGCAGCAGAGAGGAGAAGAAAAAAAAAAAGGATTTCCGCCGCCTGCGCGCCAGGCCAGCAGCACTAGTCATGTCAAGAGGCAGTTAGGCTGACGCGGGAAACCCGACACTCAGGACCACCCACGCCCGCCCTCTCCCTGGCCTGACACGCCGCGGACGACACTCAGCATCATCAATCCTGCGTCATTCCGGACGTCCGGTATGCCCGCCCTACCTGAGCGCCCCCCCCTTGCTACTCTGGGCAGTCACTGTACCACATACAGCACCTAGAAACTCTGGTGAGCTTGGGCTGCCGCCCCACCCCGCAGCGTAGGAAAACGGGACTGGACCCGACACGCAGGATGCGCTAGGAAGCCCGCGTCGGTCGGACCCCTGCGCTAAAGGCTTTTTGCTGGTTGTGCGGCTTGCTGGTGCGAGTTTGAAAGAAAGGGCGCGCGGCGGATGGGAGCGGGACGGGGCGAGATTGCCGAAGAGGCAAATTGTGCCGGGCGGACGGGCTGGCGCGGCTGGGCTGGCTGGCTGGGAGCGGGCTAATGTCGGTGTGAAGAGGGCTGAAGATGGGAACGTTGGGGGGGTGAGAAGGAAAAAGTTTTTGGTTGAAGAGGGTTTTTGGTAAGCTTGGGGTTTTTTTGTTTTTGTTCTAGATGTTGGAGAGGCGTTTGTTGTGGAGATTTGGGGAGTGTGTGTTGGAATATACTTTTGGTGTTTGCGTAAGGTGGCTTGCGGTGTCGGCCCTTTTTTTTTTTGGTGCTTGTGTGGTTTTTGAGACAGGGATCGGTATAGTTGGTATTTTGGTCGTTATCTTGCTTCGATATACATGGTGTTATTGTTTTTGGCTTTTTATATGTACGGGTTGTTTCCATCAGATAGTCCGTTGATGGTTTCGAATCCCCAATGCTACCTACTTCCAGCGTAACGGTTTCTTAATCTGAATAGACGTAACTCTGCGCCATACATTCCTACGACCGTGGATAGTCTCAATCGGCTCCATCCACCTCTACTAGCCATGGATAGCCTGGTAGCTGGCTCTCCCGGTGCGCTCCCTTACCTGCGGCACGGCGGTTCGACTACGAGCGAGCCGCCGTGAAGAGGCTGTATCTGGCGCTCTACCCTCACCGATCCGTCCCAAGAACCTTCGTCCTGTGTCTCGGGAGGATTGGGGAGGCGGGGGAAGGGCGGCTGCTGCTGCAGATGCGGAACGGGCGGGTTTCAAGTCTGGAGCGGTGATGCAATGGGATACGGGAGCAGAATCGTGGGCGTTCCGAGTGCGAGCTGGGTATAAAAAAATCCTTTACTGCGGGCGGTGAGTCTGCTGGAAGAGGACAGAATAGGGGATGTGGATGCGGAAGACCCTGCTACTCTGTCGCTTTTTCCACTCTCAATATCCGAGGGGCTGGGAGCGCGAAGGAGGACCCTCCAAGCCGCCACCACCGCCGCCGTCGTCCACCACCTATACAAAACAGGCGGGGAAAAGAGAGGGCTGAGGAATTAACCTTCCTTATGCGGCCGCGAGACTGGCCCTTGGATGCTGCCGGGAAGTCCGGCTTACCGACATCTACTCAGCTCAGCTCTCCGCCGGCCAACGCTGCCGACTCTCGCCACCACAAAAGGAGGGATATTTTGCAACCCTGATGCCGTCCACCTATGTACAGTACTAAGCATACGTGTGGCGCCAGCCTTTCGGTAGCGCGGTGGCACGGGGACAGGCTTCGAGAATGAATATCCCGCTCCCCGGCCCGGTCCTAGTGCGGCTGTGATGTGCAGGTGAGAGATGTGGCAAGCGGGGAAATTTCGGGAGCCATGGGCGCATCTGCAGGCCCAAGCACATGCTCGAGCACAAATGTTCAACCCTGCCGTTTTAGTTGCTGGGCGAGGACGAGATTGGCGGTTAATAGGCCGCAGCGTGGGGGTGTCCTCTCCTCTGGTGTTGATACGGGAGAATGGAGTGTCCAGTCTCGCTCGCCGGGAGAAGTGGCATCGAGCTGTCGACCCGGCTGGATGGGTTTCGCCATGCCGTGGCTGTTGTGTGGCGCTATCCACGCAGGCTTTTAAGAGAACAGTGAGTTCGTTTGTCTAACTTAGTAAGAGCTTGTTCTATAGAGGCACAGATGATAAGTCCTCCAACTACTCGGGCCCCGTCGGGTTGTTTCACAATGATCGAAGATAAGCCCGTACGTAGCACTGGGAAAGGTGGGTCTCGGGGAAAAGCAAATCCAGAAGATCTTCCCTACCTCTATATTGCCTCCTTCAACAATCTGTCCGTCCGAGGAGACTCTGTACTTGTGGGACGGGCTCTTCACGCTAATGTCTAACCGGAGGAGTCAACTGAAGATGTGGAAGCAAGTAGTAATTTGGATGCGCGAAATTTTCTTTTCCCAATTTCGCAACCCATGGATCTCAATGTCGACAACGAACTAGCAACAGTGAAGGACAGCGAAGCAGACTGAGGGACTGTTGAGTTCATCCGAGATACCCATGTCCAAACTGTGTCGTCAACAGAGGCTGATACGTCGACTTCGAAAGAGGAAATTGGGTTCAAGGACAGATAATTAAGTTGCAAATGGCTCGCAGTACTCAGACCTAACGAATGGGTAAACACAAGCAGTGACGAGTGAACGAAATTACCACCGCCCTAGTCCTGTGCCATCACCATCTCCGGAGAGCGAGGTGTAAGGTCGATTCTCCTCGGGTTTCACAGCTTTCTAGGTGCTGCATTGCCAGGCACTACCTCAGTCTAACCTTGGACTCCCCACTACCAGGTGTTACTCCTCTTGAATCCTTTCATTACCTATCTCAAACTGTTTCTTGTGCATCATTCGCTATTTTCTACCCTCCGCGGTTTTTGATTGTCTCGTTCAAACCTATTGTAATAAAAACCTCGTCGGGATATTTGCCGTTCTATTTGCTGGTCCAGCTTTATAAGCCCCTTCGACACTTCGAGAGGTACACTTTCATGGTTACTACGTGTCAATCACTAACATTATATCCCTCGCCTTATGGGTCTTGTTATCTTCAGTCAGGCAGGCTCCCTTGAACAAAAGTGGGTGTCTACTATTACGTACGTAGACACATTCCATAACTTTATAGTGTAGGGTACACACTCTCCTGGCCTATACAAGCTTACTTAGCAGAGCTTGAGGTCATCTAGTACATCATTAAAATCTCTATAGGAACGGATTTGGCGAGCCTGATAGCTCTCCGGGCCACCTCCGACGGTGTCGAACTGCCAATTCATGTTGCAATAGAGCCTGGCAGGTCTTGCGGTTACCATGGATCGAGTCGAAAATCGTGGAATGAGGTGGCCTGACCAATCAAATGGGCGTTGCTTCTCCCACACCCCCTAATTCCTAGATGTACACCCCCTTTTCACTACACGTACACCCCCTCCCCCCCCCCTGTCGTTTCACCACCTTCTGATTGGCTCGGAGCACTACGCCGGAGCTCCGGGCATTCACCTATACATCACGTGAGGCTATATAAATCGGCGTGCAGCCTTTCCGATTCGTGCAGCCTCGCCGATTTGTGTAGCCTCGCCGATTTGTATAGCCTCACGTACGAGCTCACGTACAAGCTCACGTAGTATAAGTATAAGTATAAGTATAAGTATAGAATAGAATTTCTATTCTAGAAGTGCCTACGTGCCTACAAGCATGCCAAACCTGTCAAAACCTCACCTTATTACGGCTCCTTTGCATCAAGCCTAGCCCCCTCGCATCACCGACTCCACCTGCTCAATATCTCGATTAATTTCCGCCTCAATATCTTCATCATACGCCGCAAGCTGACGTAGGAGCTCCTCACGGCTGAGCTGCGGCTGAGGATGAGGCTGAGGATGAGGCTGAGCACTGTCTTGCCTCCGAGCTTGTGGCTTTTTCCGTGGTGCCTTATCCTTCGCACCAGGAGGGCGGCCACGCTTCTTACCTGTATAGGCAGCCGTAGGAGCAGCTGTAGGTGCAGCTGTAGGTGCAGCTGCAGGAGGTTGTGTAGGAGGTTGTGTAGGTGTAGCTGTAGGAGCTTGTGTAGGCTCAAGAAGGGCCGGATCGATTTGAGAAATATCAATACGGGTCGTAGAGACTGTAGCCGTCGACTGAGGGGCATTCTGAGCGACAGGGATGGTCGTATTTTGCTGTAGAGAAGCGGGCAGGTGTCGTAGAGCTGTGCCTGGTTGTCCGTTCTGTTCACCTCCACGTCGAGCTGCAAAACCTGTACCCATAGCAATCTCAAATCGTGATGGCTCTCTCTGTGTACTATTGTACGTATGGTGGCCTCTCCTCTCACCAGGAGGGCGGCCTCGCCGACGCTCAACAACAGCAGGATCAAGTACATCTTCAAACGGGCCAAAAGGAATAGCCGGCTGCTGTATACCTGGCCGAGCAAACCACCAGTGGTGATCTATCTCTTCCGGCTGTATATACAGTACTGGATCCAGAGGAGTAGTAGCAAGCGCTCGGTGTAGAGGTTCATGGAGCTTATGAGCGCATGGCATGCCGTATATTGATGTAAACGTATGAGTGCAGTTGTTCGGGTTGTATTCATTCGATTTCGCCTTCTTGAGTTGCTTCTTGAGGAGGACCAACGCCTGCGGTGTAATTGTATGGAGTAGATCACGGAATTCCTTCTCATTGACATCATAACGAGTTCTAGCATGCCACTTCGCCTTGTGGTCCTCGTATTTTGATTTGGTAGTGAGGATGAGGTTCTGGATGTTGAGGAGTACGTCGAATAGATGGCCAGTTGACACCTGGAGGAAGCCCTTGAGTAGGCCGTGCGCGCCCTTGTTCCGTGATGTAACACTGTGAGAAACTCGGTTAGCATTATACACCTAAATTTGCATCTGCTCGATCTAAATCTCAACACCAAGACGTGCGAATTTGAAGCCTAAACTTCATAAGGGGTTTGTTGACACGTAGAACAAGCAGCGCTGAAGAGGATAAGAAGAGAGCTTAAAGATTGATCGAGAAATAGGATATGAGAAGACACTTACGTGGTTCTAAAATGTCGAGCTGTTCGAGTGTAGCAAGTCGCCTATACCCACTTACACGGCCACCACTCCTCCTCCATATACTCTACAAGGCTAGGCCTCTCCTTATAGTCGTTAAGAAGCTTCTTCTAAGCCTTATTAAATTGAATACAGTCCTCCAGCTTCTGTATAGGGCTCTAACGGATCATGAATTCACTCTTTTTCTTTTGCTGCTTCTTTTCCTTCGCCACCTTCTGTTCTTCCGTGTCATTCTCCATCGGCGCATTAGCATGGCCTACAGGGAATGTCGGTTTATCCTTGTATACGTCTACTAGCTTGGTGTTAATGTTCTTGTTGATGTGCCATACACACAAGAGGCGCGGGACTGTAGGCCATTGTTGACGTAGTGCGTTCCTTAGAGCTTGTTCCTTATCTGTTAAGAAAACGCGTGGCGTGATAGAATAGCGTTGAAAGAGGTTAAAGAGCTGTTGTACTGCCCAGTTGTAGTTTGCTTCCTTCTCTCTAGGAATGAAGCAGTAGCCAATCTCGAAGTTGTTGCTTGTGCACGTTACACCGGTTATATGGAGGAACGGCATGCCGAACCTATTAGTCTTGTAGGTGCAGTCCATGAGTATAACGTCGTAGTTCGACTGTAGAATCTCGATGGAATCTGGATGAGCAAAGAAGAGGTGATTAATACGGTTCTGTTGATCCTTTGTATAGCTGTATACGTACTTCCTCTCTCGGCTGTCAGACGCAGGGAATGTAGATATTTCCAGCGTATTGAGGAGCGCCTGTATAGGCGTGAGGCCACCGAGAAGCTCGTTACGGTACTAAGATCGCTCGTTTCGAATGTCTTGGATGGTAATAGTTACTCCTTTCTTCAGCAGCTTTGTATACGTTTCTGTAGGTCTTGTTCCACTTAATATATTAGCTCGAATGAGGGTGTTTATTAATGCTGAGCGCTTCCTATTGCATGCAACTGCTGTTGGTTTGAGTGTAGGAGAATGGTCGTTGTGAGCTGCCTCCATCGTCTCCTATAGCCACATACGTTTACCATCATAGCCAGGAGGCTGTCGAGTGAGTGTACCATACATCTGACAGCCCTTCAACCTAGATAAGGTTATACGCTCACGGGCAACAATCTCTGTGCTGCCACTAAAGCAGCATCGAAACCATACTTTCCTCGTCGCCTTGGCCGGTGTTTTATCAGGTTTGGAGCGGAACTTTACGAAGCCGTAGCCTTGAGCCTTTGCGTGCTCTGTGAGCGCTTCATCAGCTTCCTCTAGGGTGTTGTAGGACCGTGTAGGTGGCGGCTGGAGGGCCATGGTGAGTGTATTGTGGAGGTGGAGGATGAGGTTGTAATTGCTTGTGTACACGCCGCATTTGGAGAGAGTATTTGGAATTGGTAAGCGAATTAAGCGAGCGAATCGGAGGCTCCGGAGCACCCCTCCGAGCCAATCAGAAGGTGGTGAAACGACAGGAGGGGAGGGGGTGTACGTGTAGTGAAAAGGGGGTGTACATCTAGGAATTAGGGGGTGTGGGAGAAGCAACGCCCAATCAAATACGTCAAAGGACAAAGTGACATAGTTATTGTCACACCACCGCGGTCACGAGCATCCAGGCAAACTTGTCGACCAGGCCACAACCTACCAGGTGATGCTAGAATTTTCTAGTACTTATCACCTTTGCTTCCTCACTCAAGTACAAAGGTACCAACCTGCAACATTATCTTGAACACCAACGACAAATACTGCCCATCCACAACCTACACAATCAACTCCCCATCATCAATCACAATGGCAGGCGAAAACCTCTACCACATCAAGCGCACGGTCAACGACATCAAGAACGACCCCACCGGCGCTACCCAAAAGGTCGCCATCCGCAGTACCTTCACCGACCTCGCCGCTGCGAAAGCCGCCGCTAGGACCGCTCTCATCGACGAAGGCTACGAGAAAGCCATGTTCGAAGTCTATGACGTGAAGGACGGCAGCGGCGAGTGGAAGCACCCGGATGGCCTCCAGGTCTTCGCCCAAGTCACCGACGGCGAGAACCTCACCGTAGCCATCGAGACAACGCCGAACGATGCCAACCTCGAGGGCAATGCGGACGGAAAAGTCGAGGGCCCTCTATTCCACATCCTGCAGACAACTGTCCACTACAATCTTGATCGCAGCGGCGGCAAGCGCGAGACAACTATCGAGGGAACATACAAGGGACGCGAGGAGGCGGCAAAGAAGGCAGCAAGCACCTTGCTCGATGAGGACGTGAAGAAGACAGACTTTGCGGAGTACGATGAGTTCAGCGGACAGAAAGACTGGGCGTACGGCGAGGATGTGCTCGTGCATGCAGTGGCGGTGGGTGGTGAGAACTACCTCGTCGCCGTGGTGAAGAGCTAGGCAGGTGGCTGTGGATATCCGGACGGGATGGGCGGAGCCGATGGGCTAGCTGCGGTAACGGATGCGGGTCTCATACTCAGTCATGAACTCATTTGATGAAGTTTCAGGCATTGAGGCAGGTTGATCTTGTCTTTCTTATGGAGCTGTGGCGTCTGGGATACTGAGGAGGAGGCTTCGATGGGTGTTGCTCACTTCAAAACTACATAATCAAAACTTCGTACTTGAGAGCCCAAGAGCTATCTTACGCTTTGCGATAACCGTCTTGTGTCCACTTCATAGCAATTGAAGACGGGCAAGCTCGTTGCATCCACGATGGAGCTCCCTTGTCACGCAGAACCCCTCACTGCTGCACCCCGCCCCCGCTCCCGAGACAGCATCTCAATCACACGAAAATGATATCACTGGCGCATAACCCCTCTCAATACAGCTATGAGTGACAGAACCATCCTAACCCCGCTCATCGTTCCCTCGAAGAATTCAGCAACAACGAAGATGCAGACGCCGTGCCCCCAGCTCCACCAACCAGCGACGCACGCTCTCACAGCCTCGCCAGCATGTGCAACCACCCGTCACACAAGATTCAAGCATCTTCTGCCTCTTTCTGCCCGAGGCATTGCCGAGTCCCTCCTGCACGAGTCGGCTTGCCGCATGAATGATCACGCGAACCCAGCCCGGCCCGGTGGCGCGACCTCTTCACAGGGTCCTTTTTAATGGCATCAGGTGAGGGGCACACCCATCCTCAGGACAGCGAAATAAAGTTCTTTACTGCTCATGTGCGGCATCTTTCGCGAAGGGTCTGGAGTGCGAGAGAAAGCCGTTCTGGGCATATCCATGCCTACGCCAACTGGAGTCTCCAGATAGCTCATATACTGGCGGGTGTCCGTGCGAGGGGATGTATGAGGAGCAACCAGGACGATTTTGGGTTTGAGAGGCTGTTTGCGCCTGGATTGTCAACAGTCAAAGGCTAGATTGTTTTATCGATCACGTCACGTTTAAGTATCCTCGATAAATCTAGATATTGACCTCTTTCTCGAAATCCGAGGCAAACCTCAATATCAAAGTCTGCGACGGCATTTACCAATCTATGAGAGATGGCAAACAACACATCCACCGACTCTTCCGACCACACAAGCGCCAGCACCACCACCATCGCCATTGTACTTCCCGCTCTCTTCGTCGTTGTGCTGGTGATATTGATAGCAATGTAAGCGTTTCCCTTTTGGATCCTCTACATCCCATTCAATTCAATCTCTTCAGAGACGCATGCCCGTCTATCTCACTTGCTCGCTCGACACCACTGTGAGGGGTGCCCTGGCTAGTATGTCTTCGGTCAGTCAGACGATAGCGCTATTTCTGCTACGTGTAGTCTTATATCGGATTTGGAGTCTCAAAAGCCTATCGGGGTACCCCAAGTAGATACAAGGAGTGCCCAACTTATGCCATGGTACTGTACCTTTTAGGACATCAAGCTTACTGTCAATAGTGCTCTCATCCTCCCCCGCCTACACCCCGCCGAAACCGCCTCCTCCAAAGAAGAGCATAAGAAGAAGCGCATGGCGCGGCTCGACAAATCCATCAAACCACAGCACTTTGTCGACTGGATGAGCAAGCAGACTGCTGAGCACCCAGAGATCACCATTGCTCAGAATCCATTATGGTAAAGAGAATTCTGAAGACTTTGTAGGGGTTAAAGGCTGATTAGTGATAGTGTCATCTGCCTCGAGGAAATTGAAGACGCAGCAAACATCCGCGGATTGGGCTGTTTGCATCCTTTTCATCAACAGTGTTTAGATGACTGGTACTCGCGCTGGAACGAGTACTGCCCGCTCTGCCACCGGCCGATCATCCAGTCGACGAAAGCGAAGGGAGACGCGTCTGAAGAAGCTAGTCGTGAGACGAGTGAGACAAGTGAGAGGGCGGTTACGGCGACGTCGATGGTGTAGCGTTTATTCAAGGCGAGGCGTATGGCGTTGGTGGATGGCTTGCGGTTATCAGGCTTGCAAGTGCGATGGTGCTGAGTGTCAACATGGCATTGGTGATACCTGTGGTTTGATTGGACGACAGCGCGGGATGAAGGGGTCTCGCACGAGTCATAAAGTTATGCAGACGGCACGTGGGGCCTGTCGTCAGGAATGATGCGTAGGGACGACGCGATGGCGTTTGACGGCGCCGGATGGGGCGGGAGGATGGAGAGGCTAAATGTGACGAGAATACCTTTGTAGGACACACGACAATAATACAGTACTAAGTCATGAGTTTGGGCACACGGATATACGATTGCTCTCGCTTCACTTTTGGTCTCTGGACACCGCCTGTAAGGAGTGCCCTAACTAGGTAAACCATCTTCAAGTAGTCAGAAGATATTCTAATTTCCACTGCGCCGACCTTTATATCCTATTGGAGTTTCCAAAGCTTGTCAGGGTACCCCAAGCAGTTGCAACGAATGTCCAAACATATCTTCGTACTGCATGGGCCTTTCGGAGGATTTCTTGAGCTTTCAAATGATGAATGATAAGTGTCTGAGTTATTCTTGGCTAGTCTGGGTGCTGAACCTGGCAGATGGAGTTCTAGAACTTTGGAACGATATTTACCGGAAGGATTTGCCGTGCAAGGAGATTCCCGCGCCCACCCATGTATCCTCGTAGCTTTTCTTTTTTAGAGATTGCGGGGATGACTCGGGAATATTGGGGGAGGCGTGACAAGGCCGGATATGATGGCCTTTTAGAGATATGATCACCCTTAGTAGATACGATCACCTTCATAGATACGATCGCCTTCAACAGATATGTATTATGGCCTGCATTTGAATCTAACTGCTACTGATGTGAAGTGGTTTCATTATTGCAGGTTCGCTAACACGTAGCCTTCTCATGATTCGTACACTCGTCAACTCATGACCATTTCCCGCGAATCATGCTCAATATAACGCCTATTCTCACGTTAAAGCCTGTGAAAAAGAGCCTCTCAGAAGACACACTTATAAGACTCCCAACGCCGTCAATACAATAATATCACGAATACTGCAAGACTCGACCGGGTCAGCGCTGTGCTTCTCACAATCTCACCTAGCCAGTCGCTGCGTGCTGTTGGTCCAGACTTTGGCGGCGTGCAGTGGCATAGTTGCCGCCCACTGCGGGTACTGGGGTGCCGGCTCTGCTGACATTCGGGCTTGTCGCGGTACTTGTCCCAGCAGAAGTGAAGCCATAGGGGTCAGTCTTCTCAACGGAGCGGTCCTTGAACCAGTCCTGGTACCAGTTCCGCTTGAAGGTGTCTAGGGCGGGAATGGCCTCGGTGGGCAGCGCGTGGTGGTGGTGATGAGAATGTGTGGGTGCCAGGTGACCCGCGCCGGTGCTGGCTTCGTTGAGGACGGCGGTGACCTGGCAGAACTCGGTGTGCTCAGCAGCGTGGAGTTGGAAAGACGGTGGAGGAAGCTCGCGGGCGGCGCCGAGAGACGGGGACGCCTGGGACGCCTGGGACGGGAGGCTTGCCAACGGGCGGTCGGCGATCGCTACGTTAGCGCCAGAGTTTCTCGTGGTTTCTGGGGGTCGAGTGGTGGTCCGCAACGTCCTCTCGCCCGCCAGCTGCTTTCTCTGCTTGTTTGTGTTCGAATTCGACATGATGCTGTGCTTTCGCTGCGCAATATCGACGGACCCCGGCTTGGTTAAGAGCAATCGCGATCCAGCGCCCGCCAAGGTCTAGATGTGCAAAGATCAGGCCACATGGCTTGCAGTGGTCTGACTATTCACAGGCCCCACCATTGAGACGCAACCGCCCTCAGCTTCGCGAAATCCGAGCTGCCGAAGTTCCAGAGGGGCCATCATTCTGTCCTCTGTCTGCAAAGACGCTTCCGCTTGCCATCCAACGGAAGCCCCAGCAGCTGACAGGCACGTCGAGACGCTCTCATCTGCAGCCGGACCATCTCCATCTGCCCCTTTAGCCGCACCTAGCACCTGCCGAAGCACCCTCCCTCAGAGTCCCGCCGTCAAAACATCGTTCCGTGTCAGTCATAAGCACGAGGAGCCGCCGGAGCCTTGCCGCGCGCCCAACCACCCGGCACTGCACGCTCTGTAGCAGAAGTTTCCTCCTCGCTCCCCGCCAGTGTCTCTCCACCACCTGCATTCCTACTTACATCCAGCACGACCACCCGCCGGCACGGCCATCTGACGACACGCTCCTGATTTGCCCCCAGTGGTCTTCGTGCTATCACCAGCCCTACTACGTATCGGCGCGGAGAAACTTGCTTGCCCCCCGGTATCTGGCTGCCCTTTGTCTACCTCTCCTGAGCAGCAACAGCCCATTGTCACGACTGTGTGCCGCTCTCACGATGTCACTCAACTGGAATGCCTTCCTCACTGAGGAGGGCCTCAATCTGCCCAACGACCGGTGGGCTGATGCTCCTCGAACGACGGCAGGCCGCTCGTCCGATGCCAACACTTCCTCGTCTACTTCTGCGCGCCAGTCCTTCGGGCTAGCCCAGGAGTCCGCTGATACGAGCGCTTTTGAGAGCTCGCTCCTTGGAACAGGAGACAATTTCTTTTCTGACGCCTACTATAACCCTAACGACTACTTCCTCAGCGACCTGGAAGTTCTCCAGCCGTTTGGAGACACCATCGCCGGCGAAAACTCCACATCCGAATCATCGCCTGAACCCACCTCCGGAATCTCGGCATCTGAACACACTATCTTCCAACCGAACAAATCGCTATCGCAACATCCAGCTTCGAGAGCTACACAGTCCCCTCAATCCACATCGACAAAGAGGCCCAATCCCCAGAGGTCGCGAACTTACCCAAATCAAAGCCAGGATTTCACTTCCATGTTCTCGAAGCCCTCAGAGGCTGGCTTTGTGGAAGATCTGACTTTTCCGAACGGACCTACCGGATTTCCAAACACCAAGACCACAGCTCAGGGCAACGCTGTGCAAAATACGAGCGCAGAAACCACACAGAAGCGGAATAGGCAAGGTGACAATCCGGACGCCATTTCAGCCTGCTGGACCTCGCCACTGTGCCCGAATCACTCTGAAGGAGGCACTCCACCTAATCCATCAACCTGCGGAGGCGGCTGTGCACCATTCCTATTCGACGACGCCCTTCCAACACCGACAACAATTGACTCCTCACTGCTCAATACCATGAATCCGCAAGACATCCCCGACGGTGTCGTGGAGATCCAATCGCGGATAAAGAAGCGCACTGAGAGCGACTCCTCGCGGGAGCCCTCCGGGCGCCAATTCAGCAAGAGCAGCTCCGCCGAAATTCAGCCCCGGCTCAAGAGCGAAGCCGAGTCGTCGCATGGCTCACCAGAGGATCAGCTAGCTCCTCTACCCGAAGAAAAGGGCAAATCGCGCCGCAGACTCCCACACAACCAGGTCGAGCGCAAATACCGCGAGAGCTTAAACACACAGCTCGATTCCCTCCGTCGTGTAGTGCCAGCTCTGCACCAGAATCAGCAGCGAGTCTGTGACAGCGCAGACATCGAAGACCTCCCGACGCCATCGAAACCGAGCAAAGCCGTTGTGCTCGCGAGTGCGACTGCGTACATCCGGCAGATCGAGAAGGACAAGAAGAACCTGGCAGACGAGAACCAGCTGCTGAAAGCGAGAGTCAAGGCGCTGCAGGCGCTCGTCAAATGCGACGACTGCTCGCTTATGCAATACGTGATGAATTTGAAGATTCAAAATCAGACTTGAGGGAAGCTTCATCTAGTACAGATGGAGTCGCAAAAGTCATGACTCTGATCCTCTCTCCTCCTACAGATATGTTTTCCTGTATTCGACAGATTATTCATCCTGTGCGGCGTTTTGGCGCCGGTAAAGGGCATCGGTGGGTGGTTATCGGCATCGACCGTGCGAGTCGGTTTTGGGGTATTTTTGAACGATACAGAAAACGGTTATGGAGGTGCTGGCTTTTTTACGGCTCAGCTATTCTGTTGTCTTATCTCTCCTTGATCTTCATTATTGGCGTTATCGGAGGCAATCTGGCTGCCATGAAATGTCTGCGGTACAGGCAGAAAGCAGAAATACGGCGTTCCGGACCCATAACCAAACGACTTTTGTGCGCTTGTAGGCATCAATACAACGACTTATTGCTTGTTCGAAGCTGTCGACTTCTCTTGGATGACTTGCTTAGTACTGACTAGGGCCCTTCTTACAAGGTTAGCAGGAGTTCCAACCAAGGAACTTACATCTCGGCTTGGTTTTCATGACTTCGCTGGAGGATCCTGGATGGAGGTAGCCACCTGCTGCTCGTAGCCAGCCGCGAGTCCGATTCGCATGCTTCGAATTACTCCATCCCTTCTAGGATTTCGAAAACCTGTCGACACAGCCCAAGCGGCGGGTAAGTAGCACTGTATTTTCTGCAACATTGCGAATGGTTAAGTCGAAACTGAAGCTGAAGAGTTGAAGCTGAGCTGAATTGGTGTTTCCGGAGACGAGTGAGATGAGATAAGCTTTTCTCGCTGGTGCTCTCGGAATCTGCCCCTGGTATGTAATTATACAATACTACTGCGTCTCCCCTGTAACATTCCCTTTTCTGGTGAGAGAGAGAGAAAGGGAGTTGTGTGCTCCCTCACCGGTCTAAAGATGTCTGTCTAACACCCAGGGTATTTTCCGAGTCTAAAATCATACCGATTGTTGTTCCCGACTGTAGAGTTGCTCGAGGTTTCGCGATGCTGGTTGTGTGGAGTGGTTGCGGGTTCCGGGTGAATTATCAAAACGCCAAACGCCTTCTCGTCTCGGTGCGCCGTGCCATGCGGATTAAAGTGTCGTCAAACGGTTGTTCTGTCGTCGTTATAGTCGTCGTTATAGTCGTCGTTACAGTCGTCCTTCTCCTCTCATTGAATCAAGAGAAATCGGCAATGCCAGAGCTCCACTAATGATCGCCCGTCTGAATCTCGGGCGTCTTCTCGCGAGCTTCCTCGTCCTTTGCGGGAAATCCTACCCCAGCAGCCATCATTAGCATGATCTCCCCATATCAACGCCTTTCACAGACGCAGGATTGAAAGGAAGGAAAAAAGGAGGAAGGGAGCAAAACGTACTCAACACAACCTGCACCGTGCCCATCGGCCAGATCGGCCCATCCCAATCATCCCAATCCGCCTCATAGCTCACTATCGCCGCCTCCTCGCGCTCAAACGCCGCCTTCTCCGCCTCCGTGCGCTGGGGCAACTGCGCTTCTGCCGCTTTCTGCGCCGTGTAGGGGTCGAAGCCTGTCATGTGTGTGTGTGTGTTTGTTGTGGAATGGTAGATACAAATGTGATGTTTGCTTGTATGGATCAAGGTACTGCTGCTTGAATGTATTCACAAGTACGGGATTCTATCTTATATAGGCACCCCTCTCCCACATCGCTTAAGCACCGCGCGGCGGCTGACAGCCGCCTGCGTACGCCCCCATCCCATGGTGCTACGGTGGTTGCATGTTACCACCTGGTAAGCTGGGACCTGTAATACGCCCGCATTCTATCTGGGTAGCATGCCATGATGTCCAAACCTGTAGATTGGTAGCGGATCGGCGCCCCCAGTGTGCTGAGCATCAGGTTATACGAAGCTATCCCATTCGTGTCTTGCGAATCCCCATGTCGCGGATTCCCATGGTGGGAAGAAAGCGTGGTGTGAGCGGGGCCTCCCGATGGTGGCTGTGGCGTGATGCTCGTCCCAGCGCGCGCGTATCGTGACTGTGGGGCAAGGGGGGGCCAGTGTGGCGATCGCCACATCTGGATCGGGATCTGGTGTTCAATGGGGGATTGGAGAAAAGCTTGTTTTGGGGGGGTTGGGGGAGCGTGTGTCACGCCATTGTGGGTGGAGGGGGTGCCGTCGAGAGATGTTGTTGGGTGGTGGAGTGCGGGTGGAGTGGAGAGGGGTGATGAGACCTCAGCTTTGTTAGCGCTGGGGAGGAGAGTGTTCGTGCTCAGACTAGTGTTGGGAGGGGCGTGGGCTTAAAGGAGAGAGGGATGGGAGGGTTTTGTGGGTAAAAGTCTTTTTTAACGTGAAGCGCTCGCATATTTGGTAGTACTTCAACTCTGTACAACTAGACATCCTCGTGTCCGAGTTTGCACCCCTCAACGAAAGCAATTAAGCAATTAGAACCAAAGCATCATCTACATCTCGTGCCCCTTCATCCAAAACAAACCCTTACAATCTCCTCCGCCATTCTACCCCCCTAGAATAACAACACGGGCGTACAACAACCACCACCACCACCCAACCACCCCGTCTCCATAACCACCCATCCATCTGCAACCCGCAGCCTCCCCACCCCTAAAACCACCACAACGCCCACCTCACCCCCCGCCCACCCACGGCCCTCCTCCCCGGAGCACGCCGCCCACAAACAACAACACAGCCAAAAACTCAGTCCCAGCGCCTCCCCCTTACACCTCACCATGGCCCCCTTCACCAACCTCTTCCACGGCGGCACCACCACCACCACCCCAACCACCGCCTTCCACCACACGCAATCCGCGCCCCTCGCCGCCCACCAGCCCTCGCACCGGCCCCTCCGCTTCCTCGGCCAGCTGCTCGACGCCCCCTACCCCCCCCCGCCCCGGCGCCACCCGCGCCACGACATCCTCGCGCCCGACTTCGACGTGCGCGAGACCGAGGCCGCGTATTTCCTCGAGGGCGAGTTCCCGGGGATCCGCGACCAGCGCGCGATCCGGCTGGAGTGGGTGGATCGGCGCACGCTGGCGATTGAGGCGCGCGTGGGGCGGGTCGACTTGGTGGGCGAGTGGGATCTGGACGGGGAGCGGGAGCGGGAGCGGGAGAAGAAGGGCGGGTGGAAGGTGCATGGGGATGGGTGTCGGGATGTGGGGGAGATGGAGATGGAGATGGAGGAGGATGGGGGACCGTGTGTGCGGGAGGCGGAGTTGGAGAAGAGGAAGTTGGAGGGGGCCCAGATGGAGAAGGGGGAGTGGCCGGTGCGGGAGTGGTTGGCGGAGAGGCGGGTGGGGCATTACCAGCGGACGTTTACGTTTCCGGGGGATGTGGATGCGGTGGGGGTGCGGGCGCGGTTGGGGCAGGGGCTGTTGAGGATATTGGTGCCCAAGGTTAGGGAGGTCGGGGTGAGGGTTAAGACGGTGGATATCGAGAATGTGGAGTAGAGGATGGTGCGTTTGTTCTGGCGTTGGATGGTAGGGTGGCTATATCAAAGCTGTATTTTGAGTTTCATTTGTAGATAGTCAACAGATGTCTACATCCAAACATTAACATTCAAACCTCTCCCTTGCCTGCTGCAACTCTCCTGAAATTTCTTTCAGACCCATGCCAGTAAATACAGCCCCGTCCTCATTGCCACCTCTTTTCCAATAGCTCGCCATCCAAGAATATAAATACATTACAGCTTCGTCACTGCAATGAGAAACCACGTCGGTCTAGGTAAGAATAAGGAAATGGTCGATTATAACTACGCCCACTCCGTTTGGGTATCGGAAGAATGAATGGTTGCTTGATGCCGAATACGATTGCGTGAAGAGGAAACATGCCGTTAATGATGGTCTAGCGATTGTGCGGAAATGCCAAGTGCGTGTGCGAATGCGACGGTGGGTGCGTGGAAGAGAGGGTGATTTGGGTCGCAAGTGGATATGGTCGTGTGCTGGACGTATCCGGGCGTGCTCGTTAGAGGGGAAAAGGTCGTAAGATAGATATCCTTGCGGGAAGGCGTTTGAAAAGTCGTAGATCCCCCCATCTCCTCATCGGCTTCTTAAAATTGGGAGCACTGATCTCCCCATGTTCTGCTTGAAACCTCGTTCACCGGGTTCGGGAATACACCCGCATCCAGCAGCCTGAACAGATCCCACTCAGCTGCGCCCTCGGTCTTGAAGTTCCAGAAGAAGAAGCCCTGGGTCACGGCCAGGAAGGCCTCTAGCTGCACCTCAATGTAGCCACGGGTTTGGTCCTTGTACCAATCGTCCCACTGATCGATGTCGTTTTGCCAGTTGCAGGGGCCGTAATAGGTGCTGCCGGGGTAAGTGCCATCGTAGCGGGCGCCGACACCTTGACCTAGATTATGTGTTAGAAGGTTGCGCGAGGTAGTAAAGTGCGGGACGATCCGCCGTCTCGAACTAGTGCGAAGTGTAAAATTCCGATTGCATGGAGTCGGGACATCCTTGTGCACAAGCTGACACAATGTCGTACCAAAAACGTCGGATACCCTCGACCTATGCATATTACATGCGAGTCAAGTGCGGGGAACTGCCACAACGAAAAGAGCTGCACGGAGAAGCACTTACCATTCAATTGCGGGGCGCAGTCAGTCATGGCAGCAGTCCATTCTCCAACGAAAGTCCACTTGTCCGCGCCGTTGTACGAAGCAGCGTTGTTGCACACAGCTGCTTCAGTTAGCCTCTTGTATCCACACATATCATTTAGTTGGGAGACCTACCCTGGCGATGCTGCCACGGCTGCCAACCAACCAGCGTATCGTCGAAGACCTGGTACTCGTGATGATCGACGGCTACGTTTTGTGCGTTGGCGTCTGAAGGTGTCAAGAATCCGTTCCATGTGTTTGGCGCGTTGAAGCCATCGTGGAAGATGACAGGAGTGTCCGACACTCCGGATGCGATCTTTCGTACGTTGCCATAGCCATCGCGGAAAAATTGCCTGACTGTGTTGTAATCAAGCTTGGAAATGAGAGGTTCGTTCAAGAGCTCGATTCCAATGATGACGTCCTGGTAGGATGACTGAGCGTACTTGTTGGAGATGGTTTGAATGACACCCAGCGTCCGCGAAACTGTGTCTCCTTGTCCCCACTGCGGGTTCTCCATCCTCTGACCGCTATTGTCATATCCATTTTGCGATCCTGGGGCGCCGTGCAGATCAATGATGATCTTCAGTCCCAAGCTTCTCGCCCAATCTATCGCAGCGTCGATGTACTCTGCAGCACCCGTCACGTAAGGAGTATTCGCATTGTCGTAAGCCCAAAAACCGATAGGTATCCGAACGACGTTGAAACCCGCATCGGCAATCTTCTTGAAATCCTGCCATGTGCAGAAGCTATTCCAATGGTCTCGAAGGATTCCAGGGGCATCATCAGGGTGCTTTTGACCGAGGGTAAATTCGTCGACGACGTCGTTATCGTAAGGCGCAAATATCGAGGGAGTGATCCACCTAATTGACAGAGTCAGGATTGCGGCTTCGGTAATGCTGTCGAGATGAATGTACAACAGGTAAAGCAGTGCGTTACTCAAGCACTGGCTTGACACCGCTGGGGTGTATTTGACGATTCTCTCATGATACCAAAGATCGCACGCTTGCTATAAAGCCTCGGAAAAGATACTACGGAGAGAATACATTTTAATCCTCTGCAAGTCTCAAGCAGGCAATTCAAAACGCGCAAGAACAGTCACTCTGAACGTGGAAATGCGTCGCTGTCTGAGAGCTGGCTCTAGCGCTGGACGTGATAGGAAATGGAGCAGAGAAGCAGGAAATCGAGTGACTTCAATTAGAATAAATCTCAACTTACGGCTCGAGTACTAGCCATCCACCTATGTTTACACCGTAGATCTTCTCGGACCCCCAGGAGAAAGCGACTCCACGCTTCGAGGTACTGTAGTAATATTAGCACACCATTCCAGAGAACAGATCAGAAGATCGGAGCTAATTGAATCTGCAAATTGAATCTGCAGAGTGAGTCGAGCGCAACAACATGGAATTGGGAAAGCTTCGGAAGTTGACGCGTAGAGACAATTAGAGAGTCGTAGCGCAACTCCTGCACTGGAAAGAAGAGCTTGCTCTGTCGGTGTCGCCTTCTCACGCCATCCAAATAAAGCATGGAGTAAAAGCAAATATCAAAATAGAGTAGCACTCACAGTGGAGCAGCGAGAGCAAGGTTTGTTGAGACGGCTAGCGAGAGAAGGTGCTTGAACAGCATCGCGGTGGTTGGGAGAGAAAGAGCCTTGTCACGACGCGGGCTGAGCAAGTGCAGGCAAGAAGGGGAGCTGGACGGGGAGGTCAACAAGGTAGATAACAAGAACAACGTGGAGGCCGGTGCTTTTGCCGACCAGGGCAACGATTGGAATGTTGGATGCGGTGGACCCCGGGCGCGGAGAACTCTAGGAACGGAAAGATTGAATTAAGGCAGACTGGGATTGGGATTAAAAGGGCTGGGAAGCCAAGTCTGAGACTGTCGACAGCAAGCTGGGGGCAAGGATAGGGCAGACGCAGAGAGTAGATGAGATGAGATGGTGACTTGTCAGTGACGCCGTGGGACAGCGCAAGGGCGGCCGTGGACGAAAAGCCAAACGAAAAGCAGCATGGAGCGAGCGGAGGCCTGGCACAAAGCCGGGCTGTGGGGCATCTGCATGGCTAGTTTCCAGGCGCAGACAGCTTTCATGTGGTTTCGGACAGGGCCGTGGGCAATGGCATGCAGCGTGCTGGCCGGGAGCAGACGGCGAGGTTGGAGGTGGAGCAGATTCTTGCCGAGACAAGCAGCCAGCCAGCCGGGAGCCGTGGCGAGTGGCAGACACGCGCCATCTGGGCGCGTCGGGCGAGCACGCAGCTGGCAGTGGCTGCGTGGGCGCTCAAAGCGTGAGTCGTGCGTGCTGGAAGAGGCTGGATGGATGCGGGTTGCAGCAGTGAAACGCGCTGGCTCCCAAAGCAGCCGGCGGAGGGAGCCACACCAGCCGCAAAGCTTGTCCCGCAAGACCGGCCTGTGATGTTCAGGAACCGCGCCGCCAATCGCCGGCCCTGCAACGCCCCTATCAGGGCCGATCGTCATCAGAAGCGTTCGCATTTGCCCTGCTTCCGTGGCCATGGGGGGCTGGGAGCCGCTGATGTGTGCGGTGCGCTCTCGTGAAAGCGTCGTACAGCATCGTCTCGCCGCTTCTCTAGCCTCCTCGCCGTCTTCTTTTCGGCGATGCCCCCGTCATTCGACGTCCGCAGCTCCCCCGTGGACTGGCCATTTCAATGGTATGCGTTGATGAGAGGGGCAAAAGTGGTGCGGCGCCGCCGTGCACTGATAGGCTGGTGTTGTAAATTTAGAATCATCGCCACCACATCAGTCCATCACCGCCAGGGCCACCGTGCCGCCGAAGAGGGTCGCATTGACGACGCCACCGCTAGAGGATCCTTGTGTCCGTCTGTCGGTGGCTGCTGTTCTGAAAACGTCAGGACGCGTGGTGTTTGTTGGCGAGCACGTTTATGTAGCGGACCCTGACGTCGAGTCTAGTTGTTGGGCCATCGTGAGGCAGAGCGCAACGTTTGCTTGGACGTGGTTCCTGTCGTCTCTACATCAGCCTCAATTCTGCGATAAACCCGCTTGGTTGCCCCGCTCTCGACTTCTAATCTTTACTTGAGCTGCCTACCCTTGCGCCGAGCGGGTGAGGCGACCGTCTCAGACGTCACGCTGATTTATCAATAAAAGGAGCTCCGCTGTAACCCAACCAAAGGGGTTCGTGGACATCTAAAAGGGGACAGTGGGTTGTCTTGACGGCATAAATCTAAGCGAAGTGGTGCCTTGCAAAGGAATAGGCTCCCTGATATATGGACGTCGATTGGTCCAGATTTCCCTGAGCGAGTCCACATTTCCTGCAGCTAAGTTCTTTAAGATACGACTCCGCGGATTCGTATTCAGTCCGTCGGATGGTGTGCCATCGTATCTCAAGTTAGATATAAGCGAGTTCGTAGTTGGGCATCCACCGATGGACCGTCGACACGGAATTGAGCAAAAATTAGCAACGTCCTACACGGGCAGTAAGAGGGCATGACTTCCAGGCCTCCTAAAAAGTTTCTGTAGGTACTCGCGATTTAAATGTACATTTTTCGCGCCGTGCGAGCTCCCTTCTCACTATTCGAAATAACCTCTTGTGAGCCAGAAAACGTGGTTGAAGTACCATCACAAAATAGCTCCTGTTTCGCTCATGCAGTCCGTAAACGAAAGAAATACCCGCTGATTGGACTCCAGAGAATGCATATTGGATATATTGATCCGCTACTATAACGCCGAAGTACTGCAATTCTCCGATATCGCTTAGACAACCTGAAAGTTACAACATCCGTTAGCATAGCTACCCATATAGCGTGATATATGTAGTGACCTACCTCGGCAATTGACTGTCGCTCAATGATAGACTTCTGCCTATCGTTACGTGACACACGATAGTACGTATCGCAGAAGTCGGCACACTGCATGTACTTCAAGAAATCCTCGTCGTGAGTGATGACGATGAGCTGGAAGTTCGACTGCTGTCGCCGGACCTTAATGATCTCTGCTAAGGCTTCTGCCAACGCCTGGATATTGTCGCGATCGAGATTCGTCGTGGGTTCGTCCAGCGCAATGAGTCCGCAGTTGACACCGAAGCATTCTGCCAACGCGAGACGGATGATGATGCTAGCAAGCACCTTTTGACCCGCGCTGCACCGTCCCCTCATGTCCATCTCTGCATCTTGCTTGACCATGACTACCCTGTAGTTGTAAGACTTGTTGCCTTTGAGGTTCTCGTTGTCCGAGCGTATGGCGATCGTGTCAACATCAGTTCCCTGGTACGTCTTTCTCCAGAGTTCCTCAACGATGCGGTTGATTTCCTCCATCTTGATGGCGTGGTACTTCATGATAGCTTTGTCCAAAGCACCTCCGTATCGTCCCAAATCCTCTACCGCCGCCTTTGTTGTCTCCACCTTGATATGAGCTTCTCTGTACTTGTACCCGGCATCTTTGTATTCAGTGTCCCAGTCGCGAATGAGCTCCGTCAGCTGGTCGTCCTTTGACTTGAGGGATCCAATGATACTAGCCTGTTCGGCGGTCAATTTGTTACGCTCCATCTGCCACTTTTGCCCCTCGCTGTCGTAACGGTCCTTGTCAGACTCGGCGTTATGTGATTCAAGCTGCTGTATTTCCGTGTGAAGAGCGTCAAGGTCACGCTTCATGCGTCGGAACCGCAGATTGTCGTTGATGGCACGTTTGGTGTCGTCCGTGTCTCGAAGGTGCTCGTCAATTTTCTTGATCTGTACTGCAATCTGCTTCATCTCGCTTTCCAGTCGAGAAACCTCTCCTTCAAGATTCTCAATCTCGCGGCGAGTTCGTGAAAGCTGCTGGGGACCACCTTTGTCAATGTAGGCGTTAATATCTTGATCGGCTTGCTGAAGCTGCCGAACGCTGTCCGAGAGTCGCGAAGCCGCCTGTTGCAGTTCACGGTCTCGTTCAGCTCCTTGGCGGTTGATGTCATCGTACTTGATCTGGGCCTGCTCGACCTGAGGAACAAGATTCCGGATTTCCTCGTCTAGGCGTCGAATAGCATCTCGTTGCTCGTTGCTGTGAGACTTCAGTTCTTCGATGCGTGATATAAGACTGGCCTTTTCCTTCAATTGATAGCTGGCTGTAGCAATCTTCGATTGAATATCACGAGCTTCTAGCTCCAGAGTATTGGTCGAACTCCGAGCTCGGTCTCGCTCGTTTGAAATTTGGTTGACTTTGGACTTCGTAGACTTTGACTGCTCAGCCACCTGTTTCAGGTCCTCTTGAACCTTCTCCAGACCTCTAGACAACCCAGCATCCTCTTGCTTGACTGCCAATGCTGTGATCTTGCGGTTGAGCTCACTAGACTCATGCTGGTATTTCACAATGTTCTGGACTGTCTTTGAAAGGGATTCGACCTCCCTCCTGGAAGTCTGGCGCTCCTGCAGAACTGCATCCTGCTGTTCAGCTACTATCTCTAGGCTCTCGTTCTTAGATCGTAGGCTCTGCTCTTCAGATCTCAAAGCTGGGATCTCAGTTTCTTGAAGTCGAGACAAAAGATCATAGCTGGGTCGTGCCTTCTTAGCCTTCTCTAGCTCCTGGGCAACAGCATCTACTGTATCCTTCTGGGCCCTGTCAATCGCCTTTTGAATCTGATTCTCAATTTTGGCATTGAACTCCCGACGTTCTGTCCCGCTCTTCCCGCCATGGAACGGTCGTTCACACATGTGACAGGCATTATGCTTTTCCGATGTGTCCAAGGCCTTCCGATACCAAGTTTGGACAAACTTGAAACCTTCTTGGTTGGCCAGAGCTTCTTCATATTCCTCCTCCAGCTCCTGCAACTTGTCTTCGAACTGCGATACTTCCTCGCCGTCGATTGCGTCTTTGATTGTCTGCTCGCATTTCTGAAGCTCCGAGGTTTTCTTGGCAATATCGTTCCTAACGGTTTTAAGCTTGAACTGGATATGTTCAAGCTCACGATTAGTGCCCTCTCTCTGCGTTTCGATGTCTCGGACGTCGGAGTTCTTTTGGTCAAGCACAGACTGGAAGCTTTGCTCCAAAGTTGCGGCGCTCCAGCTTGGGCCAACGACGTTGCTTAGCTTCTCTCCATACACGTCCTTCATGGTCGTGAGACTGCTTTCCGTTTCTCTGAGATTTTTTCGCATGACATCTAACTCAGCGGTTTGTGATGCTTGTCGAGTACCCTCAATGAGCTCGGCGTCTAACGCTTCTTTCCTGTCATCAAGTCCCCGCATTTGCCCGTCCAGTTTCTGCAGCTGCTTGTCCCAGTCGGCGGTTTTGTAATCTTCTTTGGCTTTGTGCAGTCGACGTTCGATATCGTCTTTAGTTGATTCGAGCACAGCAGCACTACCCTCGTCTATGTCGATTTTGTCTAAGTCTGATTGGAACCCAGTAATCTTTCGATCGTTGGTGGTGATTTGGGCTCTCGAGGCCTCCTTGCTTTGATTCAGGGCCGCTTTGCGCTCGTTGAACTGACTAAGGACATTCTGGGCCTTGTTGAGAGCTTCCTGTGTTGCCCGTCGAACACGTTCAAACTCGTTGTTCTGATCTCTTGACATCTTCGTGATCTTCTGCATGAAGTCCCGCACGTGCTCGTCTGTGACTTCGAGATCAAAACCACGGATATTGTGTCGTCTGGCGGTCTCTTGGACTAGATTTTCACGACGCTCGATCTGGCGATCGTAATGATCTTTTTCAGCTTCAAACTTTCCGACCTCGTTTTGCTTGTTGCCTAGAGACCGACGGTTGCCCTCTAGCTCTGTTGTTAGATCAGCATAGCGAGACCTGTTGGTTTCCCTATCCTGTTCATACAGTGCAATCCGTTCCTGGTATTGATCGAGAATGGATTGAAGCTCCTCGTCTGTATCATTCATCGTCTTCAGATTCGCCTCCAACTCTCGAACATTCTTTTCGATTGTTCTCCTCTCGATTCGCTTGCCTTCAAGGCCTATCACAATCTTCTCGAACTTGGCCGCGTGATCCCAAGCTTCTTTGGATTTCTGGGTGGCATCAGTGATCTTTTCCCTCAGGTCATTCTCCTGGACACGCAGCGCCTCGATCTCGTCGTAGAGCTCCGAAGACCGTTGTTCCGCGCGATCGCCTCGCTCCTTGTTTTCCTTGGCATGCTGCTCGTGGATTCTGAACTTGGCCAAGTCCTCATTTTGCTTCTTTCGCAGAATCTTAATGTTGTCTACAGCTTTGCTGTATTTCAGAGCCTCGAATATTTCGTCGAATCGGTTCTTGAGCGCCTTCGGCTCACTCATCGGCCATAAGCTCTCTTCCTGATGACAGAAAATGACAGATTCAAGGATTGCCTTTGACACACCCAGATACTGAGGCAGGATCTGGTCGAGCTCCGCAACTCGCGACGAAATAGAAGTCCGCTCGCCGTCTTTAACCATGTTCAAGTTGCCTTCAAGGGTTTTCTGCGAACGCGTAGTTTTCTTGACCGTAAGCTGCAAACTCCGGGTAGCGACCATCTTCGCTCCTGAGGTGGACTTGAAGGAAAGCTTGACCTGTGCTAGTACTTCTTTTTCTCCACATAGTTTGGGATCATGAATGAAAGCTCCGCCGGTCTTGCTGTTCGGCGGTAATTCCCCGGTAGTGGCATACTTAAGGCACTCGATAATCGTTGTCTTCCCGGATCCGTTGAGTCCAACGATGAGGGTGAGAGGAGCATGGAACTGAATCGTCTCACTACGCTTGTTGTCGAATGATCGAATGCCCAATATGGACAACTTGTCGATTTTTGCTGCAAAAAGGCTGTTAGTTACTTCTCTACTATCTTTATACTTATGCAAGAAAAATCTTCCTAGGGCCGCTGATGAATAGGGCATAGTATTACGTACACCTAAAAACAGCATTAGCAGGATCACCAATATTAAGTATCTTGAATATATTCACATTTTGAAGGGTCAAGAACGCCTTAGGCTGGCTATCTCAGGCCAAGGGGCGTGCACTCAACCGGATTTCAGCGCTGGCCTCGCCCGGTGTTTTGGGTACTGAGATGTAGCACACCACTCCTTCCGAGGAGTTGGAGATGTTCTTGTCGAGCAGCGGGGGGCTCGCGATGAGGTGGTGCTCGGCGCGTGGTGGAAGTGGAGCAGGCAGCGGAGCTGGGGCCTTGAGATAGAGGTACATTAAAACACGAGATCACGTGACTCTTGGCAAAAATGAAATGCAGGTCATAAAGTGGCAGTCTATGAAGCAACACCGTCAGAGGCAGCCCGGAGAGCTATCGAGCTTAGCAACAGTGCTGCTTTGCAGTGCTTAATTGTGTATCAGAGAGCCTCAAGGAGTGCTAGGCAAGTGTACACAAGCCCGGGGAGAGTGTAGACCTCAGAAAAGAATTGCGTGCATATTCCTAGACTGCCACTTTTTGTGACCCCAAAGCCCGATGCCCTACAAAGGTAGCTTCCATCCGCCGCCGTTCTGAACTATCTGGCTTCAGTCATGCTGCCTCGTTCTACGTTGTTGTAGCGTTTGCTTCCGTTCTCCGCGTCCTGAACCCTCCCGCGCGTACCCTTCTTCTTCTATGCGCTTTGGACGTCCCCTTCACAGCTCTAGACCTCTCACAGGTGCCACCACCACCCGCGCATCATGTACCAGAACGGCGGCTCCCTGCCCAGCGATGTGTGTGCACACCTTGACTACCCCACTGTATGGATCCTAGACAGAGCTGATCAAGCCCATGGAAGATGGCAGATGTGCCGCAGCCGGCTGAGTTTACAGTGGATCAGAACACGGGTTTGATGCAAGGCCTCGATGTGGACATGATGAGCATGGATATGGATCTCTCTCAAATCGACCCGGACAGCCAGAGCCAGCCAGTTCCGTCGTACAGCGCCCCGATCACCTCGCAGCAGCAACAACAACAACAACAACAACAGCTTCAGCAGCCCATAGGTTCTAGGGTCGAAGCAAATGATGCCTACGCCATGCAAAACACCATGTCTGGTGTGGGCGCGGGGCCTTTGCCTACGGGCTTTGGGGCACAGAACATGAACCCGTCGGGCAGTATGCTGACCGAGTTTACGAAGCGGCGGAACTGGTCGCAGCGCGTGCTGGACGAGCTGAGGGACTTCCTGCATATCCTCACGCCTGACGGCCGCATCATGTATGTGTCGCCGTCATGTAAGGACATCACCGGCTACGAGCCTGTCCAGCTAGTGGGCCGCTTCGTGAACGAACTGATCCACCCGGACGACAGCGGCATCTTTGTCCGTGAGTTCAACGAGTCTATCGCCTCGGGCAACCCGCTGCGCTTCTTCTACCGATTCCGCAAGGAAGACGGCTCGTGGATCATCTTCGAATCGCACGGTCACCCGCACCTCTCTACCGACAGCACCTTCACTCCCAGTGGTCCCACATTATGCCGCGGGTTCTTCATGATGGCACGGCCATACCCGACCAAAAACGCCGCGCTCCTCGACTCCTTCCTCGAACACAAAATTGAAAACGAGAGGCTCACAAAGCGGGTAGCGGAGCTGAAGCGGGAGGAGCAAGAGGAAGAAGAACAACAGGAGAGGCATTGGAGCAGACGGACGGAAGGATACTCGTCAGTCTCGCAGTCCGAAACCCAGCGGACTGACGCGGAGTCGTCATCGCTCAATGAGTCGAAAGCTATGCCACCACCAGCGAAACCCGTCGCTTTGAACACGGCTCTCACCCGGCAAAACCTCGACGAAGCACTTTCTGCGACTAAAGCCGATAGTATCAATGACAAGATGGCACGATACGAGGGCGCCACGCATTTGGAGACAATCGAGATGTTGACGGGGTTGCGATATCGCGACGGAGAACGATCACAAGGCATCAGTACTGGGGACGCGAGCCCCTTGCTAATCAGGGGAGATGTCGGGATCCAAATATCCCTGGACAAAGACCAGAGAGGTTCTTTGGATAAAAAAAAGAAGCTGAAGATTGCCGACGAGTATGTGTGTACGGACTGCGGGACTTTGGATTCGCCTGAATGGAGGAAAGGTCCAAACGGACCAAAAACTCTATGCAATGCCTGTGGATGTAAGCTGAAGACGCTATCCTCAAATCAAAGCTGGAGAGTCGGAGGTGCTAATATCGATATACAGTGCGGTGGGCGAAGAAAGAAAAGAAACGGCAGGGCGGTAACACATCCATCTCACACCCAGCGAATATACCTCAACAACCTAGTGAAAACCAGAGCATACAGACGAACTCAAATTCGAATACGACTACAAACACGAATAACAGTTGAAAGTCCTTCGCTACAGAATCTTACACCATTCAAGGAGTTTATGGAGGAATCATAGGCATAAGCTGGTTTTACCCTTAGTCCCCGACACGCAATGTGGAAAACGACCACAGCAAGCAAACAACTCGTGCGCATACCTCCGCCGCGTCCCGCACCAGTCGCTTTCCAATATCGCGATAGGAGCAGAGATGGAAATACACCAGAAGTCTTCCTGCGGGAGAGACTCCGCAGGTTTTGTGGACCAGGTTCGCCAATGTCGAGGAGTCTCATGATTGTGCATAGTGAATGAATTTCTCCTCCTAGTATCCCGCTCATTAGGGCTGATATAGGAGTGGCGATTTAGTTTGCATACACCAGAAGACTGAAAAACATGTAATCTGCAAAATCTTACAGAATCAATGCTCACCGAATATAACACAAAGACGACCCTCGTCTCTTCTAAATCTCTTCTTGACTGTAGCACTTTCATGAATGAGCCGAGGTAAGGAGTATCAAAGCGACTGTAATTTCATCTTAGGGTACGACTAGTTACAACAGACGCTTTGGGTCAGTCCATAGCTCGCAATGACTGTTTCGTATGCGCTAAAAGACAGCAAAGTACCATATGCATATTCAATCGTCTATTCATTGATCCATATCCATGCAAACTCAGTCATGCAGAGAGCGTCCTCCATTCCCTACTTTCCCCCTCGGGAAATATATACAGAGCCCAAGCCCACTCTCCTACTTCGCGGCCTTGGGCGCAAACCCCAAACTCTGATTCCCCCCGTTGAACACCACAAACTGGCTCTTAAACATCGTATCCCCATAGATCTGCAAGTTCGAGCCCCCGTTGCTCTGCACGCCGCCAAAGCACGTCGTATTCGTCGCATCCACCGGCGCAAACGTAATCTGATCCCCCGGCACATTTGCCACATAATTCGCGCCAATCGCAACCCCGAAGTCGGGCGGCGTGGTATTGCACGGATACACGAAGCCACCACTGTTTGGGTCGTTCACCGCGCCTTGCACCTGCGCGTAGTAGGCCGTCGCGACGGCGTCGTCGACGAGCAGCAGCGAGGTGCCCGTGTCGGCGATGGCGGGGGAGGCGCCCGTGTTCTGCTGCGCTTTGCCGTTGATGGTGAAGCCCGGCGAGTCGAATTGCCAGAAGCCGTTGGTCGAGTCGACGGCGACGAAGGCGAGCGGGCCCGCGAACCGGGTCGTGTCGATGTTGCCGAATTCGTAGGTGCCGGTGCCGTCGGATTCAAGGTCGACGGTGAAGACGGGCGCGGCGAGGGAGGGCATGACGTTGTCGAAGAAGGTCTTTTGGGGGGTTTTGGTCCCGCCGATTGTGACTGGTGGGTGCTTTGTTAGTGGGGAGGTTCTGGGATATAGGGTGGAAGAGTAGGGCTTACCGGTGTTGAGTTTGCTGAAGGCGAGGCCGACGAGGCCGTCGTTGTTGGTGTCTTGGACGAAGGACTGGGAGACTGCGGTCGCGAGCTCGACGGCTTGAGCGGTGACGGTTGCGCCGCCGATGTCGACGACGTCGTTGCCGACGGTACCTGCGGCATCGCTCCCGTCGCCGTAGGAGATGGAGAAGGCGGCGTTGTCGATGGCCTTGAATGTACTGCTCTTGGTCGGGTCAAAAGCCGTATGGCCACCAATTTCAGCTGAGGAGAGTGCGGTGTTGAAGACCCAGCTGTTGGTATGTGTCAGTGGAGCCACTGTATGGTGACAAAGGATACATACAGATCGGAAGAGCCGGTGTCGAAGTCCATGTTCAGGGTCTGCCCTCCAATCTTGACCGGGGAGAGGAAGAGGGCATCATTGTTTTCAGGCGTTGCAGTAACCTCGCCAGTTTCGTTGCTTGCAGCGGCAGGGGCAGTTGATGGAGCAGCGTTTCCAGGAGTAGTGGCATTGCCCTGAGAGAATGGTGTCTTGACCCCGTGTTTTTTGCCGTGGTGATGCCTCTTAGCTCCGATTATCCCCCATTTGTACTTGCGATATGCTTTTGTAATGGCGTCCATTCCATTCAGTTGACGTTTGCTTGCTGGGTTGATGCTGCGTGGGACTTTGAATGACCGACCAACTAGCTTCCCAGGAGTAGGTGCAGCGAGTGCGACAGTTGCTAGGAGAGCAACGAGAAGAAGGAGAACTCGTAGAGAAGGCATGGTAAAGATAAAATGCTGACCGGCAGCTGTGTGAAACTGTAAAGTGGAATGAGGGTTTCTATCGAAATGCTGTACAAGAAAGAGAGAAGTGACTCAGTCAAAAGAACTGGTCAAAGAGTGACCACGCACAGCGGGGAAAGAAGCGAAGAGAGAGAAAGAGAAGACAAGAAAAGAGAAAGAGGAGGAATGAGGATGCAACTGAGAGTAGCGGTGATAGTGAAATGCATGAACTACGTGCTCTATATGGCAGATCTGGCACCGTCCCACTCCAGCCCCGCGGCCACGCCAGCTTCAGGGAGACACACAGTCCTCGTACGCCAGCCCGGGACCATCAAACGCGTTAGTTTCTATGTGAGGCCATTGGGGTTCCCCGAGCCATTGAGACTGGCTCATGGAGCCGCCAGTCTGTGCAGCAGAGGCGAGGCACCAGGGAGAGGCGGGAATGGCTTGCGGGCAAGCGACAAAGGTGAAGTCGAGCCGCGAATGATTGGAGATCCCCGTCAAGGACAGTGCTGCCCGTGCTGTGGTGCCGTCGGACGCATCACACGCCTTACGCGGCAGACTGCTGGTGCCGTCCGGATTGGCCGAGGTTGTGCGGCTGGATATATCACGTTTCAGACTTGAGACTCCCCCACAATTTACTGGCCTGCTGAAACCGGCCAGCCAAGCCTCTCACCTAGTCCGTTACAACCTAGCAGTTCAAGTATCTCGTCGTTTGATGCTTATTTCTTATGCCAGTGGACAGTTGTGGACCCAAATTGTCGACGATTCCTGTTTCATGGGAGAAGCTGACGATCGGTCCTTTCGTTTCTGTGGCTTCAAAAAATGAAACTTGGACAACGGAGACAGTCTTGAAGAAGAAGCAGCCTCGAAGGAGCCCGTTTCGAAAGCATGACTGTTTCGTGGCAACACAAAATGGGAGACGAGAGATTCTGATTGACGGATCTTTCGGTCAAATCTAGACGTGCCGACCTTAGTCAGACCATCCGAAGCTTGTGTTGTTTATTCGAAGTGTTGAGTGAGACGAAAAGTTTGTCCTTCGATTAGAGACGCTGAGAGAAACGGATCCCGGGGTAAAGAAGTCCCCGTTGAGGAATTGATTGGTGTGGGAGGGTCACTTGATAGTTGTACATACCAAAAGGTATTACACGGATACGAATAGGAACATCGGCACCAAAAGGTGCGTTAGTGAGCCGCAAGGCGGAATTGGGAGTCAAGTTGAGAAACGTGTGGAGAGACAGATCCTTTGCTGGTTAGTAATATCTATAGCTGAACTCTGCCTGAGTAAATACAAGGAATCAGTGAACAATTCTAGATCTAAGCCAACACCTGCAGCCATACCAAACAGCCATCAAGATCGGAGGATTCCTCATCATATTACCAGGCAAGTCAAGGCGACAATGCGCCACTGTTTACTACTAGATTCAATGTGCCAGCCTCCCATAGAAGTTTAGCGCAGGAGATGCATGAAGCATTGAGATCCGGCCCAACGATATCTCGTCTAGGCGCGGTACTTGTTTCAGACGACATTGTCACGCCATGGCACAGTGATTATGCAGTATTGCTCCAATAAACCATTTCATGCTTTTATTTGCTTGAGGCGTCTCACAATGAAGAGGACGTCCGCTAGGAGTACGTATACATCAGGCTCTTCAAATATAATGAGTCGCGAGCTGTTTCGATTCTACAGTATACCTTATGTCAACTCTAGAACTATGAAGCTCTTCTAGGAACACAATGCCGCCAAAGACGCCCAAAATGCTATGGGTAGCTTCGATACCCTATGCAAGATCTCATCGACCGGTTTGCTCTCCCAGTCGTGATATATCCATGAGATGCATGTCATTTGTTAGTCTCTTCCGAGACGTTCCTCTTCGTCCTCAACAAGCTCATATGCTGGGCGGTATTTCGCAGTGCCGGCGCCATTTTGGTTTCCGTTTTGGGCCAATGTCGCGTCTCGGAGTAGGGCGGGGTTGGGAAGGGTGTCTGTGGTGCCACCTAAAGAGGTGTAGCCGTGGTCATAGAGAACGCAATAAGGTATCTGAAGATGCCGGATGAACTACGGAGGAGTCAGCCTGTGCCTGAGCCTTCAAGTCCCCGAACTATACTGACCGTCCAGATCTCTACGTAGTGCCAATCGATCACGGGGTGTATGCGCATGAACTTCGGCCATCCGTGATCGGTGGGATCGAAATGTGTCAGATCTGCGCCATGAGGGTCCGTCCGACGCGTGCCGACGAATATGGCTTTCACTGACGGCTTGTCGTGCAGGTAATCCGCAAAAGCGGCCTTCATGGGCTTGGCGTAATGGTCCAGCGACAATGAGTATATGGAAACACTGGATGCTACAAAGTCCTCGACTTCTTGGAATGGGTGTTGCGATTGTATGTAGACGCACTGTATAGGCTCGTGGTGGTTGCTATTGACATTGTCGACCGTCGGTCGGGTCAGGCCTTTTGCGTGGAGGCCGTACAGGTACAGTATGAGAAGCACCAGGCAGTCCTTGCCGCCATTATATGATAGCGACAGCTCTGAGAGACTGGTTCATGTCGTCAACAAGCTTGCCCAAGGGCTTCAGCATGGCCGAGGCATACCTGTAGCGATCGAGCGCTTCTGAGATGACGTCCAGGGAAATTCGCGTCTGCTTCTGGAGGCCCTGCAGCCGCTGCGAATCGGTCTCCTCTTCTAGAAAGGCATTGATGCGATTGTATATCTTGGCGCAGACATCCGGGAGTGGTGGAGGGGTGTCCGCTACAAGCGGCGAGACGGGCTGCGGGGCGGCATTGCAGCTCTCACTCTCTCCGAGCAAAGGCGCGGGCATTGCTGTGTTGCGGCTGCGAACACGACATGGGCTGCAGGCAGTGAAGGGGCGGACGGTGTAGTGGTTGGAACTACTGGAACTACGGGAACTACGTGGAAGCCATGCGAAATAGTGGTGGACGTTGAGGGACCTCGCTGCCCGCACCTGCAGCGCCGTGTGCTTCTTGGCGGCCCGTGGCGCTGCTCGATAGCCGAAATTCCGCTGCATCAACCGGCGGACCGTGACATGCGCGTTGGAGCATTCTTTGGGCCCGATGCTGCTCCGGAGAGCCGTCGTGTGGTGCTCAGGCCTCAACCGCCACTGGAGGCTGCCTGGAGGCTGCGGTGGACCTGGCTTGCCTTTTGAAAGGCGGGAACGCGCAAGCAAAGGCCGCAGGCAAATGCAGGAAAGAGTCCCGAGGCCGTTGCAGTCGCCGTTTGCTAGTTTTGACGACGCTGACCAACTGCATTCACCCCGTTGGAGGCCTGGCCCCGTGCTCGCGATGGCGTGCTCGAGATGGGTTCGTCTCCACGCCTCGGAGCTTTATCGGCGTGAAGACCGCGCTCAGGAGGGCAAAATATTTTGTTACAAGTGTCATTGACTGCTTTGTCTGCAATTGCTGCTCTCCGCCGCCTCCTCCCTCTTTCTCCCCATATCTCTCTTCTCCCGCCATTGCCATCATGGAGGGGCCTTCCGCTCCAAGCATTGCCTCTGCTGGCGAAGCTGGTATGTGCTTCTGATTGCCCCGCAGCCAATATCCATGACCCGCGATGCGACGCAGGCGCACTGCCGATTCACTTCAAAAACTTTCACTTCAAAAGCTTTCACTTCAAAAACTTTCACTTCAAAAACTTTCACTGACAACTTGTGTTCAATCCAGTGGCGCGCATTGCATATGCTTCAAGCGACGTAGTCGTTTCTGTCCAGCCCTCTCTCGCTACCGATTCCGAATTCGCACCCTTCTTACGTTCGCTGAGCGCGAGCAAGAAGGCGGGCGTGGTAGCAAAGCAGCCAGAGGTACATGATTACTTTCTCAATTGCTACCACCATATGCTGACCGTCCAAGATTCTCCCAGTGCGGTACAATGCCGACCCATTGCTCTCCGTGTTCCAGCCGATTCGGTCAGGCAAACTCGTCTCCGTCACTGCCAGCTCCCCGATCCTCGTCAAGTCTATACCCCACCTCTACAAACTGGCACAGTACCCGGTTGTCATCCATGTATCCGTACAGCCCTCAGGCTTCCCGGATTATTCCGACATAACCTCCATCCGACAGTCTGGCTTTACCTTCATCCAGTCTGAAACCCTCCAGGAAGCGCAGGACCTTGCCATCACCGCCCACGCCCTTGCCATCAAATCCGGCAAGGGTGTTATACACTTCTTTGATTCGGAGAGTATTGCTATGAGCAAGGTCATACCAGCTGAAAGCGAGGAACTGCTACGCTCGGTGTTGGATCTGGGTGCCGTAAAGGCATTCCAAAGCACCCCATCCGGGGAATCCAGTCTATACGCAGATGATGGCCGAGTGGCGCATCTCTCTCTAGCTCGAAGCCAAGCCAATGCCACAACAGTCGGTGAACCCACTGGTCGTGTGAGCCCTGCAACAGACGGCAAGACTTTGACATTGCCCGATCGTTCCAGCGCACGAGAGTCCACCGAAGGGTCCTCGAGACGCGAGAGTAGCACTACCAGTGCCAAGTCATCATCAGCCGGTACCTCTGTTGAATCTCTGGAACACAAGCAGATCTCATCCGATGAAATCTTCCAATTTGCCACCGCAATCTGGAATACCATCTCTACCAGCACTGGCCGCCTATATACTCCCTTTGAGTACACAGGACCGGACACAGCTGAAGCTGCGCTTTTGCTTTTTGGCGCGGATACTGCACTATTCGCTCAAGAGATTGACTCCGTCGCTTCCACTACGCAATATGCAGGTGCTGGGATCATCACAGTCAGGCTCTATCGGCCATGGCTTGGTCGCGTCATGGTTGAGTCGCTCCCAAAGTCTCTCAAGAGGATTGCCGTGCTAGAACAAGTTCGCCGCAAGACCACCAAGTGGGGGCCGCTTCTCTTGGATCTGTTGATGTCACTCAAGACTGGTGGACATAACCCGACCACTGTTGTAGGCCATCAACTCGGTTATATCAGCCAAAGCACTGTAGGCCAGGCGCTGCGCGGTGTGTTCCAAAATCTCTTGTCAGACTCCCCCATTCAAAATCTCCAAATTGGAAAGCTTGATGGGCCCCAGGACAGGCCAAGACCGGCCAAACTGGAGCAGCCTGCAATTGAAAACCCGTACGTAAAGATGCTTCAACAAGTCTTTGACCAACGACTCCTTGTTGCAAATCAGTTAGGCAAAAGCCATGCAGGCATCTCACAGGAGATTTCCTCGGGCCCTGAGTACGGCTTTGGGTCGCTACTGGCGAGAAAGGAGCACCGAAAACGGTTCATTGAAGAAGTCCAAGCTGCTGCCAAATCTCGTGATTTTATCACAGATTCTCCGCAGCAATGGCTATCGCGGTGGGCTCTTGTAGCTGATGATGAGGAGAAGGCGGGGGCTTTGGCTACGGAAGTCATCTCCAGACTTAGCAACGATGGATCGTCAGTGGCTTCCCAGCTACTATCATCTAAGGGACTCTTCTACAAGGAGTCGCCTTGGTTAATTGGATCCGATGCCTGGGCATACGACCTTGGTAATTCCGGTGTCCACCACGTGTTGGCTTCCGGCGAGAATGTCAACATGCTCATCATCGATTCACAGCCGTATTCTGAACGAGCAGCAGCCGATGCAGCCCGAAGGAAGAAGGACATCGGTTTGTACGCTATGAATTTTGGCAATGCCTATGTCGCTTCTGTTGCTGTCTATGGATCATACACCCAAGTCCTGGAAGCCATGATTGAAGCCGACAAATTCGACGGGCCCTCTGTGATTATCGCCTACCTCCCATACGAGAAAGAAAACGACTCCGCAATAACAGTTTTACAAGAAACGAAGAAAGCGATTGATTCTGGCTACTGGCCACTCTACCGATGGAATCCTCGAGGAGACGAAAAGGGCGAACCAAACTTCCAGCTTGATTCCGAGAGGATCAAGAAGGAATTGGAAGAGTTCCTAAGGCGAGACAACTACCTTTCTCAACTCATGAAGCGGCATCCAGACTTTTCCGCCAACTTGTCGGCATCGTATGGCTCAGAAGTACGGCAACTGCAGAAGAGGAAGGCAAAGGACGCGTACAGCAAACTGTTAGACGGTCTTGCAGGGGACCCAATGACCGTCTTGTTTGCGTCCGATAATGGTAATGCCGAGAATCTTGCTAAGAGGTTAGCCCGTCGCGGTAAAGCGCGAGGTTTGAAGACGTTGGTCATGGCGATGGACGACTATCCTTTGGAGGACCTTGCCAGCGAGCAGAACGTCGTCATACTCACTAGCACAGCAGGCCAGGGAGAATTCCCCCAGAACGGAAGAACTTTCTGGGAGACCGTCCGAGACTCTACGGATATCGACTTGGCCACTGTTAAATTCTCAATCTTCGCGCTTGGCGACAGCCATTACTGGCCAAGAAAAGAAGACAAGATCTATTACAACAAGCCTGGCAAAGACCTCCATTCAAGATTCGTGACCCTAGGAGGAAAGCCGTTGACTGAGTGCGGCCTCGGAGATGATCAAGATCCGGATGCATACCAGACTGGATATGCTGAATGGGAGCCGCAACTATGGCAAGCGTTGGGCGTAGACAAAGTTGAGGGACTTCCGGATGAACCACCGCCAATTACCAACGAAGATATTAAGATCGAGTCCAATTACCTTCGAGGGACTATTGCCGAGGGTCTCAAGGATACATCTACGGGAGCAATCTCGGCGGCTGATCAGCAGCTCACTAAGTTCCACGGAACCTACATGCAAGACGACCGCGATCTTCGAGACGAAAGGAAAGCACAAGGACTGGAGCCAGCTTACTCTTTCATGATTCGTTGCCGACTTGCTGGTGGTGTTGCTACCCCCAAGCAATGGCTGCAGATGGACGAGATCAGCACAAAGTTGGGCAACGAGACAATGAAACTGACCACTCGGCAGACATTCCAATTCCATGGTATCGTCAAGGGAAAACTCCGACCAGCCATGCAAGCTATCAACAGAGCCCTAATGACCACGATCGCAGCCTGCGGTGACGTTAATCGTAACGTTATGTGCAGTAGCTTGCCCCAACAGTCTGTATACCACTCCGAAGTTCACGCTGTCTCGCAAAAGATCAGCGATCATCTCCTCCCATCCACAACTGCCTATCATGAGATCTGGTTGAAGGACGAAGAGACAAAAGAAAAGACACAAGTGGCTGGCAATGCCATTGTTGATCATGAACCGCTCTATGGCCCTACGTATCTCCCGCGAAAGTTTAAGATCACGATTGCCATCCCTCCCCACAACGACACCGACGTCTATGCCCACGATATCGGCCTGATCGCTATCAAAGGTTCGGACGGCCATCTTGTTGGATTCAATCTTCTAGCTGGCGGTGGTATGGGTGTTACCCATAACAACAAGAAGACATACCCTCGTACTGGCAGCATGCTTGGCTATGTACCCAAAGAGACCGTGCACATCGCGTGTGAGAAGGTCATGCTTGTCCAGCGCGATCATGGCGATCGCAAGAATCGCAAGCATGCCCGTCTCAAGTATACTATGGACGACATGGGGGTCGATGTCTTCAAGGGCAAGGTCGAAGAATTATGGGACGACAAGTTCCAAGAGCCCCGGCCCTTTAAGTTCGACAGCAACATCGACACCTTCGGCTGGCAAAAGGACGAGCACGGCAATAACCACTTTACCTTCTTCATCGAGAACGGCCGCATCGAAGATACCGCCGACTTCCCAATGAAGACCGGCCTCATCGAGATCGCAAAGGTGCACAAGGGCGAATTCCGCCTTACGGGCAACCAGCACCTCATTCTCTCAAGCGTCGCCGACGCAGATCTCCCCACTATGAAGGAGCTGATGGCCAAGTACAAGTTGGACAACACAAACTTCTCCGCCCTGCGCCTCTCCTCCTCCGCCTGCGTTGCTTTCCCTACCTGCGGCCTTGCAATGGCCGAGAGCGAGCGCTACCTCCCTGAGCTCATCACCAAGCTTGAAGGCGTCATCGAAGAAACCGGCCTGCGCCAGGACAGCATCGTCATGCGCATGACCGGGTGTCCGAACGGCTGTGCGCGCCCGTGGCTCGCAGAAGTCGCCTTCGTCGGCAAGGCGTTCGGCGCGTACAACATGTACCTTGGTGGTGGATACCACGGCCACCGCCTGAACAAGCTTTACCGAAGCTCCATTAAGGAAGAGGAGATTCTGGAGATCATGAAGCCGTTACTGAAGCGGTATGCGATTGAGCGGAACGAGGGAGAGCGGTTCGGCGACTTCTGCATCAGGATTGGGATGATCAAGCCGACGACTGAGGGCAAGACGTTCCATGAGGATACAGCGGAGGTGGAGAGCGATGAGGAGTGAGTGAGCGAGCGTGGAGGGGTTTGTGCATACTGTTCGGTCGTATCTGTAAATATTTGAGAGCATTTTGGTGTACATGGCTAGGCAGTGGTGGCTTTTAGAGGGCGATCGGAAAAAGTAGTCTAGCTTTTACTATAGCATTGCGAATTCAATCGATTGAACAAACTTCGATAATGCCGGTCGTCTCATAGTTATGCCGCGGTGAGGTAATCCACTAAGTAGTTATAAATACTTAAGCAACTATCACGTGACTATCGATAAATTGGCATTGAAGCCCTGAATCACCAGTGATCATTTTTAAGTTGAAATATGGAGCATTTAGCTCGTGTATTCCTGGGCGCTGTACTTCAAATATCAAAGTATCCTGGGCCCTCTTCCTGGAGGACATCTACCAATAGATACGATATACGAATGAAGTGATGTATTCGAAACCAGACAAGACGGACGCCCATACAGTTAATTAATACTGGCATATAGTTTTCAACTCGCTTCCCCTGGCTAGACAGGTACACCAAAGATCCTGTACGAGGAGCCTAATGTATGCCAACAACCCTGCCGCAGATCCCAGGCCCTGCATGACGTCTTTCGATCACGAACCCTTGGCGCGCCATCATCTCTCAAACAACACCGCAGTCAACTCTACCCCTCCAAGACTCACGATACCGCACGTTCGACCGCACACCTGATACAGAGTCGCGCCCACTTCAATTCCTCGCAGCCACCCACTATCGAATACTTTACCCAACCCCCCCCCCCCAATCCGCCTAAACCCACACGCCGCCCGCAAAAGCCCTCCCATCCCACCTTCAATGCGCCCCCCCCTCCGCCTAGCCTCCCTCTCCCTCCGCCCTACCAGACCGCGCCGCACCTTCTCCACCTCCCCCGCCCTCCTCGCAAAAAACCGCATCTACAACAAGTACGTATTATCCCCTTAAACAACCCCCCCCCCCGGGGCGGGTGTTCCACTACAAACCCAACCTAACCGCACCAAACCCCCACAGCATCCGCCGCCCCGACGAACTGCACACGCTGCTCCTCCTCTCCGCCTCCAGCCACGTCCCGCTGGTCACGCTGTGGAGCGCGTCGTGGTGCAGCGCGTGCGCGGCCGTCCGTCCGGTGCTGAAAGAGCTGCTCGAGAGCGAGGGCGTGGGAGAGGCGGCGGGCGGGCTGGGGTTTGCGGAGGTGGAGTTGGATAGTGTGGAGATCGGGGCGCTGGGGGTCGAGTATATGGTATGTTTGGGAATGTTTTTTATATTTGAGAAAGAGGGGGTGTTTGGGAGGCGCGAAGGGGGCTAACGAGTCTTTCGTCGGGTTTTTTTTTTTTTTTTTTTTTTGGGGGGGGGGGGTTATTTGAACTGTGGTTATATATGGGTGCGGTTTGGTGGGGGATGAGGGCTAACTATGGGGCTCGAATAGATCAATTCGATGCCGACGTTGCTGGCGTTTAGCCGGGGGGAGGCGCAGATGGAGACGAAGCTGGTGAGGCCGGAGGTTATGAAGGATAGGGCGAAGTTGAGGGAGTGGTTGGAGGAGGAGGCGAGGAGGGGAGGGAAGGGGGGGGCGGGGGGGGGTTTATTTGGGGGGTTGTTTGGAGGGGGGACGTAGAGGTGGGATGGGGATGGGGAGTGTGTCAGTATGTGTACATTCGGTATTATCAGCAGCGTCTAATTCTCTTCACGCTCTTCTCACAGTTCAATACAGGTCAATGGAGAGACTAGGTAGTCAAATCTGTCGCTCGCTTTTACGCGGCATTTTGGTATCATAGCTAAGGTTTAGGCCAACTCTATCTCAATCGCGATATAACCCAACGCCCTCCCTTAAATCGCCAGATTAGCACAGCTAAACGCCGGTCTCGTGCTGCCCGAGTAATCCGCGATGATAGCCTTCACAGCAGCGTACAGCCCGGGCCCAAGCAGGAACAGCCCGCAGCACATCACAAAGATGTGCACAATCGTCATGACCGACCTGCCAGCCCCGCGGAACAGCTTCCCCTTGTACAGCTGCCAGTACGCGATCGCGAAGTAGATGAAACCGAAGAAGGAGTCGAAGGCGGCGCCGAGAAGGGACAGGAAGTCGCCCATGCTGGGCACGACCTCGGAGAAGATGAACGCGATGCCCCAGATGCCGGCCATGACTGCGACCCAGACGCCCCACCCGATCACGGTGTTGCTGTGCGCGTGCCTTGACTTGCCCAAGATGCGGAAGTAGACGAACTTGGCCGAAACGTTGGCGTAGATGACGCCGATGATGACGGTGGGGACGATGACGAAGGCGAAGGAGCCCTTCTTGTAGGAGGTGACACCCAGACTGCCGAAGGCTGGAGCCGTGGAGTACTGGCCTAGGTATCTGAAGCCGATCGCTGGGGGCACGATGAAGAGGAAGGCGGAGATGCCGGTCAGGACGGCGAGGGACTTGGGGAAGTCTTGGGGCTTCTCCATCTCGGAGATGAAGGTGGGGAAGAGGATTTGAGGGACCCAGAGGAAAGTGATGTTCAGGACGGCGTTCATGCAGTCGACCCATGTCGTGCCCTTGGGAGGGAAGGCGTATGTCTTCACAGGGCCAAGGGTGGGATAGTCGCCGTTGTATCCGTATAGAGGAGCAGACTCAATACCGGAGAAGATGAGAAAGAGGAGGATAGCCAGTCCCATGCAGGCAGCTGTACGATAGTCAGTATAAGAGATGGGAAGTGAGGCACAATGGAGCGCTGAGTACGCACCTGAGAAGATGGACATGAAAGAGACGTGCTTTAAGGTCCTTGGGATAGACATCACTATGCCCATGAGGGTCACAATCACGGAAAAGACGACAGTGCATAGTGAGTGGTCCGAGAGGGTGTTGATGACCTTGGCGCCGGTGAGGACGTGGAAGCCGATGAGGATGATGTTGTTCGCGAGCAACATGAACCCCGTGAACTCATACGCAATCCTGCTCTTTCCGCAAATATAGTATCCGAAATCGCAGATGTTGGTGATCTGAGGATATTTCATAATGAACTTGTGCATGGTGATGGAGGTGATCCAGAAGAGCACACCGGCGACGACCATGGTGATTATTCCAGGAACCCAGCCTAGCACGGAGAGCGACCATGTCTGGGCCATGATGGCGAGGCAGACTTGGTCCCCGGCAAGTAGCCAGGCGGCCTTCTGCCATGACATGGTTCGGAGCTTGATATCATGACTGTGGTCTGTACAACAGCCTTGTCAGGGACCCAATCTGGCGGACTGACTGTGTAAAGGAAATCTTACCTTCCGCAACCAGTGCGGTAATGGAGACATGCTCGCCGTCCGAGTCGGTCGTGTTGCCGTAGCTCAGATGGGGCTCCTGCTTCTCGTCGGGGTAGGTGTTGTCCACCTTGTCGTTGGGGTATATCGCAGACATGGTGGGTGGTGGGGTCTGGACGGGAGCTGATTGGCTGGACGGTCAGATAGTGAATTGGATTACCCAGAACCGCGGAGGACCTCGAAGGCAGTGCGAGGGAACAGACCCTGCAACCCAGTCGCGCATACTTATACAATCGCTGTTCCCTCGGACCCTTGCAAAGAATTCCTTCTGCTGGGGTCTCGCTGCAGCCCTAGATAACGAATATCTTCACAGAATGGCGTTATCAGTTGGAAGTGGATAGGGCATCCGTGGGTCTGGCAATGGTCCGCAAAGGCCTTAGTGGCCCCGATAGCAGGCTCACTAGAACAACCACCGAACTTACGGTGCTCACCAGAGCCAGCCTCGCTTGCGCTCTAGAACCCCGGCGAGGCCGTGTGCGAGTGGAGGAGGGAGCCGTAGTGCGGCTCGCGGAGCGGAGAGCTGAGCCGTTGCAGGGTGAGAAAGTTTAGCGCGCAATGATGAATGCTCCACCCCAACGCCATTCGCTCGCCCCGCCAGCCTCGATGCGCCACCGTGGCATTGGAGAGCCCAGCGATCTGATACGGGCTGGCGGGAATCGACTCTGGGATCGCGTGCTCGCCCCAGATGAGGTCCTTTGTCGAGTGGGGATGCGTCTCCCCCAGCGGTGGACAGCGAGGTGCCCGAGCGCCCAGGCAGATGCCAGCGCTACATCCTGAGGTGACAGACAAGTGCGGACCATCCGGTCACTTCTGCCCAGGGCAATCCCGCGTGGGTTATGTTTTACGTAGCTGAAAATTTCACCGGCACGGTGCCATGACTGAGGCGACTGCATCCTCACTTCAGTGCTTTGTTTTCAACGTGACCCATCATGAGACACCGCAGAGATGGGTAAGAAGGCGAGGCCAAGTGCGGAAAGACGCGTAGAAATGATTTCATGGCGTAGGTATAGTCACTAGATGTGTGCGAGGCGGCGAGGTTCTTGAGGTCGTCAGCACCAAGCCTTCTCTCCAAGAGGGCCACGGATCGAAGCCAACAAGAGATTTCCCAAGACCACGGCATTCTTGGCTCCAGCGAAGATGTACCGAAACGTAAGTGGTTGCCACTGCTTGGGGTACCCCTATGGACTTTCAAAGATCCGGACATGATGTAATGATCAAGGTAGTGGATATTAGGCTGCCTTTTAACTAACTGGCCACATGCTACCTAGAGTACTCCTTATAGTGGTGTTGACCGGGTAAAAGTAGAGGCAGAGCTGTGATATATGCAGCTGCACTGTCACACAGCCAGTTAATCGAGAGTCTCTAAGAGTCAGCTCGGAATCAAACGCCTCAGATTTTACATTGTTTTCTGATTTCAGAAAGCCTATAGGTGGAGCAGTGGTATATGCAGCTGCGCTGTCACGCATCCGATCCTCCAGAGCCTTCCAACGCCAGCTCAGATTCAAACGCTTCAGAGTCTACATCATCTGCTGATTTGAAAAGGCCTATGGGGGCAGCCCAAATAGTGTCAAAGCGTGCACAGAAGACTCTTGCAACAAGATAATATTCATCAATATATATTCCAAACAAAGGTATAGAAAAGCACACCAAATCAACATATGAACAAATTCCACTCAAACCTACAAATGTAACAATTTCCAAAAAGGACAAACCACTTTCACCTCTTGCTCTTCTTATTCGAAGGCCCAGCCTCATCGTTATCATCCGCTTTCCGTTTTTTAGACCCCCATGTCGAGAAATCAACGTTATTCTCCATATTCGACACAAGTTCATGGCCGGCATCAGCAAGGGACTGATCGAAGACCCTTTGCGTAGCTATCCGGTCTTCATACCCATCTAGTTCCTTACCCTTAGTCACATTTTGCCTCTGTGCGTGGTTGAACTGCCGACTAGCGGGAACACGGCTCTTCCTCACCACATAGTCTTTGCACACAAGAAACGCGTAGATATCGGCCCAGCTAACGGCACCAGCCAAAGCTGCATTAATCAACCAGTGGGCATCTTTTTGATCACTGACGTCCCCACACTTGAGCCCTCTCTTCGGCGTTGGGTTAATTTCAAGCCCAAGTGCCACTGCCCACGCGTTCAAGATGGAGTGGATACCGCAGGAATCTGTCCCCGCTGGCTGCTGCGGGACTCGGATGGGAGTCGCTTGTTTCTCTGGGTACTGGAGGCGGTCTTTGTCCCACTGGTCCCAACTGAGGAGGTCTCGAGCATGGCGGAGAGCGTTTCTGTCGTGACGCGGCCTATTCTCTGGGCGCGTGACCTTGTTGTTCTGGTCCGAATCCAGGCGGTAGAAGCCCACGCGCTTTCCTTCCTGCTGGAAGACGTAAAGGAGGATGTGTGCGCCCGGCCACCTTCCCTTTGGTGGTTTTTCGCTGAAAATGAAGGGATAGAGCCAGGGTCTTCTCGGCCGACTTACTCTGTAGGCTGCGAGGTCTATTCCCATCTTTTGAGAGATCTGCGCCATCTCGACCATTGATTGAGCGGCATGCGAAAACTCTGGGGGAGTAAGCTCATCAGGATTCTGAGCTTGTTGGTAACTGGTTATGGCTTCTGTGACGGAAGCTATACCGCCTATTACATCTTCTAATTCAAGAGGGCCGTTCGTAATCTGATAGGTGTTCTTCTTCTCATTCTTCATGGCGCTTTGGACGTCGGCTCGAATTTGGTCCACCCTACTTCTGTAGTACTTGCAAGGGTCCTGAAGCATATTCTCCCAGTACTTTCGTTTTACGTCGGATTCATCGTCATTCGGGTCATAAAGACCGTGGTCGATTAAGTGCTCTTTCATCCTTCTATCATGGTCATCGTGAGGAAATCGCGCTGTATGAGCTAGACCGTCCAGGAAGGTTGTGTTAACGGTGCGGTCTAAAGAGGCGTATGTAACATCTGCATCATCCGAATTTGCCAGGATATCCGCCACAACTTCATCCAATTCGTGTTCTGAGGCGATAGAGACGGTATTATCCTGGATTTGACGGTTCGCTGGGATGTTTGAAGTTGCGGTTACAAATTCGTAGCATCTCAGAAAGCCATAGATGAGACGGTAGTTCGCGTTCCCACCAGTCGCAAGGATGAAGAGCTCTCGAGCATCTTTGTAAAGCTCTTCTATTCCTTGGAAGGCTTCATTGATCCCCAGTCCAAGGGCAATGGCCCAAGCATTGCATACTGTATGGTAGCCACAGCCCCAGCTATTTCCTTAGGCAGTTCGGGCGCTGGCTCAGAGCCAGCAGATGGAGCAATGTGCCACCGAGTCCATTCAATAAGATTACAGACGCGGTTGTATATTGTCATTCGCATGTTCGCCTTGTAGTGATGCCTTCTGGAGTCCAGAACATGGGCGGTTATTGATCTGTCTGCACCCATCTGAATGACGACTAGAACAATATGCTGGTCCAGGAAAACGGGCACTAGCATAGGTCTTCCAGGCCTTAGTGCTCGCCGGATCTCGACTCCCTCTGGGGGTGGGGGGCGAACGACGTTGACATCATTCAGAATACCAGAGGTGTGAGAATTAATGGCGTTGAAACCGGATCGAATGTCCATATTTCTAGCCAGCTGTAGTACTAATGAGGCAATTGAAAGCAGAACCTCATCGTCTCTCATGAAAGTTTCAGGTTTGCTCCACTGAGGCTCTTTGCCATCCTTGAAAATCTTTACAGATAGACGACGCTTCACCAGTCCGAGCTGGGCTCGATAGAAATCACAAGGAGATTCGCCCGGCGGAACTATATCTGACGGTGGCGGCTGATCCTTAAGCCGTTCTGGTTCTTGTGGTCGAGTCGGCGTCCCTGAAGATTGTGCTGGTGCAGTGTGGTCTTCAAAGGTGATGGTGGTATTGGTTCCAGTGGTGTCTGACCGATTTTGAAGGGCATCACTAACGGTAGGATCTTGTTTAACCTTTTGAAAAGTTATATTCTTAGCATAAGCTCCTAGATTGATAAGAATGAACTTACCCGCTTAAACTGATACTGTGCGCCCTCTGGGCCTCCCCAGAAGAAAATGACTTGATCGGCGACTTCAACGTAATTGAAAGAATGCAACGGGCCGACGATATCGACCATGTCTGCCCGATCGTTCGCATAGTCTATCCCGTTGATTCGAACAACATCTCCTCGTGCGACTCAAACATACCATCCGTATCTTCTTCGATTCTGGTTCAATTCACTTGTATTCAATCTGTACAAGATAATGGGATTGGGTGGGGACGACGCTGAGGTATCCTCGGAATTGGGGACACTGGAGTTCCTATGTCTGACGGTACTCAGTATCAAGCAACTAAATTCGGGAGACTGGGACCGTGAATCGACTTACACTCTGATCGTCCTATGGCTTCGTACGACAATGGGTATTCTGGTAGGCCCAGCATCATGAGTGCTGTCTTGATCCCTACTCGGGCCAGGTTCAGCGAGCCAATATGCATAGCCTTCGCCTTCCTGTATCCCTTGAATTCGGCCGATAGCGCTATCGCGTTCATTCCCAATAACTGAATCTGCTAAACGGGCCCAAAGCTGTTGTACGGCGTTGCTGGCAAGGCGCAGGATTCTCGGTCTGTAATTTCGTTGTTTGTATGGGAATGGGCATGAGAAAGGGCAAATATTCGGGTTGAGTAGCCTGAAACCTGCCGGAAGCTCTGATTCTGGAGCATCCTGTCCGGTTATGGGGGAATGGTCTACCGGGTTGCCGTCTATCGTCAAGGTTCTCTCGTTCGTCGGGTCCCGTTGCTCTGGCTTAGGAGATGCTTTTTCCTTGCCTTTCTTGTCTTTCTAAGGGCCAGGTTTCTTGTTCGGCGCCATCTTCTAATTGGAATGTAGCTGGCAGGGAGCTAGCTGCGAAGAATCTGAACGTGTGACGTAGCTTGTGGAATGATAAATGTGAAGAATCGACAATCAAGTAGAAGAAAGAAGGACTCGAGCTTCATTGAAGGCGGGTATTCGCGTTCAAAGTTGATTCGCAATGAGGGGGAACAATAAAGAGCTATTGAGAACAATAGCACTAGCCGGTAACGGCGACACCTCGAACGACAATGAAAAAATCTTCACCAGGACTGAAGCGACAAGAATCAAGAGCAAATGAATTGTAATAAATCATAATACTATTTCCAAGCAATACGAGGATTTTCTGGATGGTCTCGTTGAGTTCTCTCCCGACTGCAAGTGCGATTGGCATTCTCCTTGCTTCTACGCAACCTGCCAACGACGAACTTGTAGTTCGTTTCACATGGCAATCTTCACAGTGACAAAGAGACTGTCCTTAGCTAGTACTCTTCATGCCTGTAGCGTCTTAAACGCGAGAGTCGGACGTACTGGCCGCGTACTCCAGTACTGAGGTGCGCCCGCTCGCGTCTTCCACGACGCGACTCGACGCCAGTACTCGCAACCATCATGGCAATCTTAGATCCAAGGCCATCTTAGATATCCATCCCATGACATGCAGTCGGTGCGTGCGGGGAAAGGACAGCTGTTGAATTCTGTGCCAGTCTGACTCGCTAAAGGCGCCTGGAGGAACAGAGGTCTTCGTCCTAAACTCCAGGGCTGTGATCTGCGTATTTATCTATCGCACTGAACACGACTGAGTTGTCTACGGCGCAATCAGCACCCAGCTCGCGACATCCTAGATCAGCTTCCAATTCGACTCCGACATCGGACCTCATGCTTCGAATGATGTTTGCGGCATACACACAAGACGAAGTGTTGTTATATAGTGATTGATCCGGCAGGTAGCTCGTCTCCTGAGGATACGTCCATTGTGCGCTTGGTATCTCGTAGGCGTAGTTCACGTGCTGGAAGGATTCGTCGGGCATTTCTGGCTGTGAGGTCGCCATCGGCATATGCGGGAAGGTTGGAGTGGAGATGCTAGTAGGCGTATCGATGCTACTCGAGCCGATTGAGTGTGGACTGGCAGATGCGTTCCCGGTATCCAGGCTCATCGAGCGCTGGTGGGACAGCGAGAGTGTGGGAGGAAGAGGCATGCTTGTTGCTCCCGGCGGTACACATGGAACACCGCCACAGGACCTCTGCCCACTGCACGCCCTCTTCTGTCCCAGCATCGAGTCCAGGACTGGCGCCGCAGAAGCATGCTCAGGGGTTTGGACATGGCTACCCATGACGGCGACTATTTCAGACTCAGACACGCCCCGCGCTCGTAGCAGGGCGCGAAGGCGTTTGTTCTCCTCCAACACACGTCGAGCGGCATCCTGGATCTCGGCGGAGGCCTCGACGCCTGTCTGCTCGCAGCTCCGTAGCTTCGTCTCCAGCTCGTGCAGGTATTCCTTGCGGCGCGCGCGCGATCGTCGCTGGTTGTCTCGGATGCGGGCAAGGTGGCCAGAACTCTGCGATGGTCAGTACTATGCCTTGCCATTGGAGGAGTAGAGGTACCGCGACGGGAGCCTCGCTCATGATAATCGATCTCGGTGCAACAGTGCTGACGGGCGTAGTAGGCTGGTTCGTCTTATGATAGGCAGTCCCAAGGTTATCGTTCTGGTACTCTGCGGAGGACCACGGGTGCAATGCTGTCTAAGTCCTGCGAGGACGAGATCATACCTAATGCAGCAAACGCCACCAATGGCTAGAATGCTCCGTTGCCGTGCTGCGGGCCAAGGCGTGCACAGGAGAAGATGCCTTTGGTGTGCGTAGTCGGCGAGGTGGCAGCGATGCCGGCAAAACCCTCTATTTCCGACGAGGCGAAGATGACGACGAGTAAAAAACTTATGTCATGCGGTCTCGGGTATCATTCCGCGCTGCCGGCGTCGCTGAGGCCGCTTGCCTGCCTGGGTAGCGCGTGATGCACCCGCTGGGACGCTCCCCTGTGTCAGATCGCGAACTGCTGGGGCTTCAATGGCCGATGACGGCGGTCAACAGCTGAACCCGACGGCCAGCAACCTTCCTGCTGCGGAGCTGTGTCAATAAATGGACGCCCGCATGCGGTCACACGATCGTCGCATAGATGACGGCGGAGGCGGTGCGCAGATTGCGATAGTCTGTCGTTGTTGTTGCGCTGTCTTTTCAGCTCGCAGCTGCACTCCTCGACCTCGTCTTTCACCCATCTTCACACACCTCGACGCCTACCACCGTGACTCTGCTCGCAGAGTCTGCTGCCAGGATGGCATTCTGGAAGAAGAGCGGCCCCAGTCCTGCCACTGCGTTTGACCCTACGCACCGCTTCGTCACATCGTGGCTTCTCCCGCCGGGCGTGCTGTTTGCTGTTCGGGCCCTGCTCTCTTTGTACGCCTTCACAACTATCTTCTTCATCTTCGGATGGTATGGCACCCATGGCCAAACGCAGGCGTCCGAAAGATCTTTTAGCTACTTCACGAACCTCACCTACTGGGGACTCGCATTCTATTTTGCCTTCAGTGCTGTGCACACGGGGAGCTACTGGTTGACGGGCTCGCCCTTCCTCACGCGCTGGCCCCGGTTCCTCCAAAACCTGCACAGTATATTCTATACTACCATCGTCGTGTTCCCCTGGCTAGTTACTAGTAAGTTGCCTACTGCTGTATCACACTACGGCCAGTGATCTGACCAACTCTGTCCAGTCATTTTCTGGGCCCTGCTGTACTCGCGCTTCTATAACGAGTTTCAGACTTGGACCAACACCTCCCAGCACGCGCTCAACTCGGTCTTTGCGTTCGTCGAAATCATCCTCCCGCGCACGGCCCCACTACCTTTTTTCCACATCGTACCTCTAATCATCCTCCTCGCACTATACCTGGGACTGGCCTACCTCACCTACGACACGCAGCACTTCTTTGTGTACAGCTTCTTGAACAACAAGACGCACTCCAAAGGCGTCATTGCAGGCTACTGCATTGGCATTCTCGTCGTCACCATCATTATATTCCTTCTTGTTCGATACTTGATTTGGTCGAGGATCTGGATCACCGAAAAACAGTTGGGCTTGAATGGCAAACTGAGCAGTCGCCCGGGCCAGAGACTGACAAGCCCCGAAGAAGGAAAGGAGGTCGGTATGATGGAGCTTCCCGTCAGACAGGCGTGATTTTCACAACGCTCGTCGGTCACTGTGGTGTTTATGTTTCATTGGTATACCCTTGTTTTAATGTTGCTCGATAATGCCATACCTTCTCTATTATCCCGTGTTGGCGCAAAATCCGTCGTCCCTCTAGCTTGTGCAAAGAACGCTACTCCGTAGAATGGGGGTGGCGATGCACCTTGACACCCAAAGACCGCCCTGTTCGACCTAACGACTGCCACTAACCAACTAAGGGCTTCCGTATGTTATGTTTTCTTTTGCTGACCATCATTTCTGCCGTACCACACACTCAAGTTACATTGCATCATCCTCGCTAATGCCAAGGCAGGCGACGGCTCGCATCTAGGCTCCCGAGACGCCACAACTCTATCACGTTCGACCTTCTGACCTGGCATCATATCCGCCCGTCTGGAACGCGGATCAGCCTTGCCAGGCACATTCTCGACGCAGCTGCGCAGCTTATCCCACAAACGGAAACCATTCGCCATTCCCTTGCTATAAGCCGTCATGAGTCCTACTACTCAATGAGATTCGTTAGCTCTACGGTCTTGATCAGATCCACTGCCGCCCACCGCACAGCTCCGATACCGGTGACTGCAGCTTTACAAGGAAGATGCATAACCGCACCAGCCGCTGGGCGTTAGCACGGGGTTAAGAACACAGCAGGACGGTTCTATGCATCTTCTCTGCATCGCGCTGGGATGGTCATAGAAAACCGGAGTCTTCTCGTCCAATCAACGCCGCATGTGGACCACCCTCCCGCCAAGGGATCGCGACTAAAAATCAGACTGAACCCAGTACCATGACAAAGGAACGTAGAGGTGGCGGTTCTAGAAGGGGTGGCTGCTACGTGGCGTTTATTGTACGGTTTGATGTAGAGTTGGAGTTCGATTGGGAAAGGCGTGCGAGCACACCACCGTAAGTGGATGTGAAAAGCAACTCTACCAACTCTCCCATGCAGCATTCATCGCCTGCTTAACTCGGAGCGTTCGAGCTGCACTCATGGTACTCCACTAAGCGTAATGCCCCACGTCCGGTATAGCAGTCCCCGCATAGTAAGAGACAGCAACGTGCAAGAAGGTGATGTCTTAACGTTAGGAGTACCATTACGAGCGAGACAGAAGCAACTTCTCCCTTCTGCCAGTTAGTGAAAATCCCAGCCGCGTTCACATGCGGCAGGTCTTGACATGCCGAATGTGTGGAGTCTCTGGGAGTGAATGATCCTCAGCGTATCTACTTTCATTAGTTGGTTAGATCGAAGTGAATTTTCAGTCGGTGAGTATTTCTGGCACATCCAGGATGCGGTTAGGTCTAGACATACTAGGTGGAAAGTGAATGTAGGGTGCTGATAAGCGAAAATTCACCTTCACCACCTTGAGCTAGAGGCGATATTCACCCGCTAGATCGCTAAACGTAGTTTATAAGCCTTAGGAGATTCAAAAGCGTGGACTCACTAAAGTGAATTTAGGTGACATGGTGCTTCAGAGCTCTCCAGAGCGAGTCTACTCAAACTCCTCGGACTACAGCGTGATATTCACGCTGAGGTCGTTCTCGATCACCAAAACCAAAGCACGAGAACCATACCGGCGAACCATTTTCTGGTCCTGCGAGCATAGATTGGGACTTGATTCCCAACCCTTTCCCCTACTCAAAAGTCCTTCGAAGCAATTTCCAACCCTTGCCAGTTTCGAATTCCAAAGCTCGATTCAGCGGTTACCTGCTTCTCCAGAATCCCCGGAACCCGAACCACGGCTCTCGATCCCCGTACTCCCCGACCCGGCAACCCAAACCACGGGCGCTGCCCTCCTACAGATATTCCAGAAGTTCAGACCGAGACTGTCTCACCAACGAGGCATGCTGAACGAGACATCCAACCCCGACGGAGCCCACAGACTACGACAGTGTCTGGGATATGAATCCGTCGACCAGACCCGCGGGTATCAGGGTCTATATCCGGCATCGTTCTGGAACGGTGGTAGGGCTGAGTTGAGACACGCCAGGAGGACTACATTTTCGAACGAAGCGGTCTGGTTCCACCTTCGACATCTGGGCCGCATTATTCTCAACCACCAAAACATCGGCTTGCAGTCGGTACTCACAACCACTGCAATCATCTCGTTTCCAAGACTTTGGATATCACCCTCGTCTCGTCCCATCGCCAACCCGCACCCCAGTCCGCCACCCCTCCCAAAATCTCACCACACATTCCGAACCGAGCCAACTGGGCTAACCCCGCATACAGCTAAGCCTAGCACGCAGGCCCGGCCCGCCCGCCTCCACACCCGTGGCGGCGCTTACTTCTCGCTTTCCGGCGCCCGCAAGCCAGCAACCAGGAAACGATTCAGGGGTTTGAAGGATCTGGCATCCAACACGAGTATTGTCCCGCTCACTCGCTCACTCGCTCGCTTCCCGAGGATACGTATCCTTGAAGCCAAGCCAAATAACGTCGCACGCGTAAACCCCCGGGGCTACATGCGTTAAGCCTTTGCAACGTATATACGCTGGTGTGCCCGTCCACGGTGCAGCAAGGACAGAATCGTGCTTCGGAGGTTCGGACACGTAAAAGGTCGACGTGCTGGGGTCTCGAAACAAAGTTCCGCGGTTTGGACGGTGCGGTACGGGAGCAGGCAAGACCTGCGTGAGCCGTGCTTTGACGGACGGCGGAATGGGTCGTACCACGGGGGCTTGATGGGGTGTGGTGCGCGGAGGGGGAAGGTGGGTGGTTGAGTAGTTGGTCAGGTGGGAAACGTGCGATGTAGATCGTAGTCGAAAAGAAAGGTGTGACGCGTAGGAGCTTAATGAAGAGGTTTGGCTGTGGTTGAGGAGTTGGAGAGACTCTGTGTAGTCGAGGACGCGAAAAAAAAGAAAATGGTGTCTCGTTGAAGGTGGTTTGGCGTGGATTTCTGATTTGGCTTCTGGGTTGACTTCTGAAGGTGGTGTGTGGATAGCCTAATATGAATCTGACTTTCCGTTGATGCGGGACCTGAGATGTATGAGCGATCGAGGTGTTGAGGAAATGGAGTGTCTCTATTATCGCATTAAAGCATCCCCTTCACTTACCTAACTTCTACAAACCTTCAATGAACTATACAATACCAGAAGAACAACTTCGCCCCCCTCGCCCATCTACCCATCCCTAGCCCTAAAACCTTCGCCATAAACCTACACAACACACCAGTCCAAACTCACCCTAGAAACGGCGAACACAATCTACGGTCCGATACCCGAGCGCACGAAACGAACGGCGGGGTGTGCTCGTTTCAACAGGGGTGTACCGTGGTCGTCGTCTCGCTTCACGACGGATGCAGATGGTCGACGTTGCATCGTGTATGACAGCGATGGGTGAAACGGGCGTGCATTCGCGAGTGGTGTGGTAGGCGTCAGAGGTGTGGATGGATGGGTGGGTAGATGAGAGGCAAGCGAAGGGTAGGCGAGAGACGTCGGAGTAGGTAATATTTCCATGTAGATTTGGAGTAAAAGTAGACGAAAGAAGTGGATACTGTCCTCAGCAACAGCTGCTCCCACTGGGTAGTTAATGGCGTCTGCTGGTAGCTGTCAAAGAGGCGGTGACATCGCATCGAGCAGGGTTGGAAGATAAGGGTTCAAGATCGTGCGATAGTCGCCGGAGCTAGTCAGATGATTAGAGCTATGGACCTTGAACCTGGGAGGAAATGGGACCACCTGAATTTTCATCTTGACGCGCTTTCCAATCGCAGTAAAGCCAGTGGCAGTGATGGTCAGCAGGCAGGAAAAGAGAACGGGATATAACAATTCAGTCTTAATTGTACTAGGAGGCACCTCGATCTCTGTAAGACTAGCCTGAGCAGCAGATTGACAGAGAGCAAGTTACCAGATGCCATGAAAACACTAATCTAAAGGAAGAAGGCGGCCGCGATACCCCGAGCCTCCATATCTGGAAAAGGCACAGAGCATTGATTCCCGAACAAGAAAAGCTTTGAGTACCTTGTGACAGGAGGAGCGCCCCGGAGAGTAGAAAAAGCCCTGATCAACACCTAGTCCCAAAGCAAACGAAATAAAACTGTTAAAGCAGAAAAGAAAGCAGGCCGCATGAAGACCTACAAAGAAAGTAGTTAAACTGACGGTAACGTGCTTCAAGATATGAACATTTTCCGGGGGCCCCCAACCTGGAAAAGTTCCGCATGCATTCCAGCACCGAGCAATGACAGGTATTTCTCCGCAACAACAGCCACACGCACATTGGTTTCCGCGCGCTCCTCTACATGACGGTGCACCCGCAGCAACCCCGCTTCTTGTCGTGGCCGTCCATTTCCAACTTGCTCATCTGGCCGTTCGCTCCTTGCTGGGGCGCGCCCGAGTATGATGACATCTCCTTGTTATACCTGCGGATCTCCCGAACGATGTCGTAGAAGGCGTTGTCGACATTGATGCGTGATTTCGCCGACGTCTCGATGAACTTGCAGCCAAACTGTCGCGCCAGATTCTGGCCCTCTGATGCCGGTGTCAGTGCCAAATATAGAAGGTGCCGAAAATAGAGGCAAACTGACCTTGAGTTGATACCTGCCTCTCACCCTCGAGATCGCACTTGTTGCCGACCACAATCATGGGGAAGTAGTCCTTGTCCTTGACCCGTAGAATCTGCTGCTGAAAGGTCATGATCTCCTCGAACGATTGCCTGTCTGTTATCGAGTAGACGAGCAGGAAGCCCTCGCCGGTCCGCATGTACTGCTCCCGCATGGCCGAGTACTCCTCCTGGCCGGCCGTGTCGAGCACGTCGAGCAGGGCGACCTCCTCGTCGATCACGCACTGCTTGCGGTACGAGTCTGCGCCAAGGCCTGTCAGCTCATTGAGGCGGGACGAAGGCATGCAGAAAACTGACCTTCGATGGTTGGATCATACTCGTCTACGAAGTGGCTTTGAATGAGCTGGATGGTGAGGCACGACTTTCCCACGCCACCTCCTCCTACCACGACCAACTTGTACTCCCGGAGGAACTGGCAGGCGGTCAGCAGAGCCCCTGAATGGCTTTGGACGAAAACTTGCCTTTGAAGCCATTGTGTGTGAAGTGAACTGGAGCGCTGCGGCGGCGGTGTCGACGGATGTAGGGCCGCAGTGGTGGGCGCTTGTTCGCCGGCGAGGTGTGCAGCGAGGAGGCGCGAAGACGGGCGGTCAGCGGGCGGCAGCGGGGCGAGAGGACGGGCAGTGTGGGCGTCTCGCGGCGTCGGGGCACAGCAATTGACGTCGGGGCGCGGCTGGGGGAATGTGGTGATGGGATGGGGTGGTGGTGGACGGGGGAGGTTTTGGAGAGAAAGCAGCTTCACACTCGGCAACGAAAAGCTGCGGGCGCTGATTCGCCTACTCGGGGCGTATCCTCGCGCAGCGACCGCAGACAGCTAGCCCAAGACGGGCCTGTGTGCCTGTCTTTGCTCCCCGACTCCCACCTTCATGGTGTCTTGCCGCCCTCAGACCGCGAGCCCCGTTGGCTGCACGCTGCTGGCCCTAACCCCCGTCCGCCAAAAGAAAGACAGACTCGCATTCAGCATTCCTCGCCACAACACCCGCCGCAGCCGGCCTGGCGGGCCCCTACGCGAATCGCCATGGCCTATTCCACGATGCACTCCCACGACGGCGCTGCTCTGCAGAGGGGAGGGCGGCCTGGCCCGGGGGTCTCCAGCAGGGCCCGGGAGTGAATGGCTTGCGCGAGGCCGGGGGAGCGTGGCCACTCAACGCTCCGCCCACGTGAGTGAATCTCAATGTGCGCGAGCGGTAGCAGAGTCAGGGAGCCCCTGTGTCGCGAGCTGGTCGGAAACATGCTGCACTGAGCGATACCACGCGGGGTATCAGCCCTGCGCCCTGCGTCTCTCGCAGCTCGAACCGCCGACCCATCGTCGGTATACAGCGATACCGATCGGTCCAGCAGAGCCCGCTCCGCACGCCGGCCGTTGCTGGCGGCCACGAGCGCCGTTGATGCAGCGCGCACGAGGCCGCGGGCGCTGACAGGAGGCTATTGAACACGAGAGGTAGCGCTATCACCACTGCATGCACCAACGGGACACATGGCTTGGCGCTCCCCGACGGGCACGGCTAGAGCCCAACGCGGCGGCGCTGGACGGCTTCTGCATGCTTTCGAGAACATCGCTGCGAGCACGGCACGGCCGCCGTGGGACGGTCCGCGTCTCACTGTTGCTGTTGCCACCTGCCACTCACTGCTCACTGCAACACCATCGTCACGGGCACTATTCCGCAACTCGCCTCTATTGCGTGGCCTTGTCACCTCTGTCCCTCACCCCGACGCCAGCTTGCCCGCCTCCGGATCGGCCGTCTCTGCGTCGTCCTCCCCTTCGACCGACACCCGCTTCCCTTGCACGGCCTGTTCCACCTCTGCCACCAGGCTCTCCATGAACTCCAGGTCGCGTCCCACCAGCGTCACCGTGTTGTGCTCCTTGCCCCAGCGCGGATAGCTGCCCACCTTGACTCCCTTCGGCTCCACCCTGCCCGCCAGCTCTGTCAGATACTCTGCAATTGCGCTCTCGGCCATTGGCGTCGAGATCAATATCCGTTGTACGCCCTTGCCCTCGGGGTCTGTCAGCCGCGGCAGTATGCGCGGCTTCAGCCCATCCAGCATCTGCTGGAACAGCCTAGGCACCCCGGGCAGGATGTGAATATTCCCGTTGACGACACTTACGGGCACCCAGAGGGTCTCGTCGACAAACACCACCTGGTCCTCGTATGGTTTTGAGTCGTCCAGCGGCAGCTCTATCATCCGCTTCTTCGCCGTCAACGACGCTGACGGTGTGTCCCAGCTGAAGTTTGGTTGTGAAGGGTGCGGCTTCGACAGCCGCTTCATCCGTGCAAACGCGTCCTCATGTAGTTTCAACGGTAGGTCAAAGGCTTTCGCGATCGATTGATACGTGATATCGTCATGTCTGTGGTGTTGGGTTGTATTAGCAGGCGTCTGCGAAGCGCGATTGTGCACTCACGTAGGACCAATGCCTCCCGATGTCACTACAAAATCGTACTTCGTGGACATGCGTCGTGCAGCTTCCACGATCTCGTCCTCATCGTCGGCAATAACCTCTATCCGCTTCAGGTTGATCCCGAGAGAGAAACAGAACTTGGCGAAGTATGCGGAATTCGTGTCGACGGTCTACAGTAGCCCATTAGCAAGTCGACTCCCCTCTGGTGGGCTGTCGGTAGTGACCTTGCCGCCAAGCACCTCATCCCCGATGATCAGACATGCCGCCGTGTGTATGAGGCTCTTCCCTTGGCCTTCAGTCGCCATGGCTGATGACGTTATGGATGTTTGGAAGGATAACTGGGGGCTCGCTGCAGAGCGATGCGCGTAATTCGGGAGCGGCCGAGAGAGGTGACGGACGACCTGATTCAGTCGACTGAACATGGGGTAGTTATTGCGGGTGGTTGTTCACAGCACCTTGATTTGCTGGCGGTGCGACGTGGAGGATGATGGTGCATGAAGTTTGTCGCGGAGCTTCGTGCGCGAGTCAGCTCGCCCCGCATGACGGTTGAGCTCCACCTCATGCCACCATAACCGCCTCAGCCCTATCTCTCAAGCAACACTGAATTACTCGTCCTAGTACAGCTCTACTACCAGCATGGCTTCTGAATCTCGCCTGTATACCTTCTCGACGGAGACAAAGGTTTCAAACGCCCCACCAACACTGCCCCTCCGTCGTCAGTTCTAATAGACGTCTAGGACAAGCTACGCAAGTTCCGACTAGGCACCTCGCGAGCAAAGGACCCCCAGGCTGTCATATGTATGCCTTGCCACTCCTTCTCACCCAGTCTCCACGACACGAACTCTCGTGGCGCCACCTGTCGATCCCTTGCTCCAGCGGTGCTGACTTGGCTTGCTCAAGCAAGACCAGATTGATAAGAAGACGTTGGAGATTTCACAGGCAGAGGACGATGTCTTTACCAATATGCAGGACCTAGGTGACGAGCTGCCAGACCATGCTCCGCGATTCATCCTCCTCAGCTACCCCCTCACCCTCGTATGTCCATGCAATCGAGTCACAAGGCACGCGCTTACGCTCCTTCTTCCAGCCCTCCGGCCGGCTATCAGTGCCGTACGTTATGGTATACTACCTTCCTGTCACATGCAACAGCGAGGTTAAGATGCTGTATGCTGGTGCCAAGGAGCTCATGCGCAACACCGCCGAGACGGGTAAGATAATCGAGATCGACTCCGCCGAAGACCTCGAGGACATCGAAGAGAAGCTCAAGGGGGAATCATGATATGGGAAGACCAAGGTTAAATACATCATTCTTCCTTGTCATACTCATATAGAGCGCATCGGTCCGTCGGCCGCCTCATAGTAGAGGTCATTGCTGGTTATGATATCCAGGTATAAGGACTATTTTGCGCTTCCAAATTACTGGCGTCTTGTCGTCTGTAACGAGACCCACACTATCAACCTTCATCAGAATTTTCCCATGCAGACCAGTGTCATGGTCCATCCATTCTATTGTCCTGCAAATACTTATCCCAAGTACTCCGCACACACTTCGAAAGCGGTGTGAATTGATCAGCTGCGAATAATTGCAAGCTAATTCACGTACCAATCACATTTTTCTTCAACTACGCGGTCGCTCAAATCTCGTTGCCATGCTTCCGGCCTGTCCAGTCCCTCGGGAATCCAATAGTTTGGCATCTTCCGTACCCCCTGCGTCTTGCATCATATATCACGAGCAAATCCACCCCAGATCCAATCACAAACGTCAAGATAACAGAATTTTCTGGTTCCTAATGATTACTCTCAGGGTTCTCCGCACTTGCGACCAATCTATCACCTGCCATACGCCGGGTTCTTCAAAGCGCATCCTTTCCAGCCGAGGGAGGTCGCGTCATTTTCCTATTTTTCCCGATAGCATATCTTACGGCTGGAGCCTCACACCAAGCGCTCCGATAAGTCCGTGCAAACACTCAACTACCTGTTTAAGTACCCCTGTCATGGTTTGGCGCGTCTAGCGGCCGCGACTACGGTTCGGCAGCGGCAGCCTCTCGCTTCCAAGCAACGGTGATACGACCACGTGTGCGGCATCATGCCGACTCCACTTGAACTGCTGCATACGAACCCCCGATACGACGGCAGTTAAGAGAGAGCAAAGGGGCATCGTCTTGTGCTGCCATGTGGAAAAGAAACATGCAAACAACGCCCGACCATCGATCGGTAATACTGCTACCCAACTCTAATGATGCTGTTCAAGACTTCTCGTCCTATAGAGTCACGTGCAATCAGAGGAAAATAGCTTGGGCGGCTTCCAGCCATAAGATTATGCCGACAGAACTATTGTACAGTACATTCCGAAGCAGAATGCGTAAGGACCTCCGGTATTGTTTCAATTCTTTACTCTACCTCCACCCTTTCGCCAGTTCCAAGTTAACTAGCCCCTTGCCTTCCTGCCGAAACAACACCTCCAAGATTGTAGCGCACCATCAGCCCCTACCATCCTTATCCCCATTCCCTTCCACCCTCCCACATCCCACTAGCAGAACAAAAACCCCGTCCAATGCCCATCCGTAACTTCCTGCGTCCCCGAATACGTCTCCCCCGCATCATTCTCATACCAAGCCTGCGTCCCATCCTGACTGAACGTGAAGATGTACCCCGGGTTACAGTCTTCCAGCGCGTAGTGGCCGTCTTGGTCGATGTGGGCAGGGAACTGACACAGGATATTTTCGACCTTGTATTCGGCGCTTTGGCGGATTATGTAGGCGTCTGCGAGGGCGCCGTTGGCGAGGTGGCCGACGCTGAGGAGGCAGTCGGTGGCGAGGGCGGTGGTGGTGAGGAGGAGAAGGAGGGAGAGGAGGGGCTGGGGCGAGGTGAGGTGCATTGTCGGAGTGGTGTGGAGGTTTTATTGATGATGAGGGAGAGCAAGAAAAAGGTATATTGGGGGCTGAAGGGTAGGAACTATACTCTTCGCTTTCTGTTTTGCTTCTGAGGACGTTGAGGGGAAGGGATCGGGAAATAAGTACACACTTTTTTTTTTTTTTTTCTTGAAGTCATGCTTTCAACATCTATTCTCAACATCTCACACTATTTCTGTATTTTCTTGGAAGATTGCTCTCATGGATGGTCGTGTTTCATCCTGTGCGGAAACGGCAAGTTGTAGATCGCCAAGCGTACTCAGCCTCGCCGTCAGCGTTTCGGACCCAGGTACCAACATCAGACCCACTATATCTACGCGGGCATGCGGGAAATGAAGGATGGACGTCATATTTAACTGTTGATGTTGCACGCAGGATTCGAGCTGATTGTTTTCTTAGGAAAATGGCGGAGGCGGAAGCAGAAGTAAGGGGGTTTAACGCAACACTGAGATATCGCAATCTCAAGATGTGGAGGAGTAAGAATGTGATTGACGGGAAGGAGATGGACGGGGAAGAGGAGATTGAAGAGAAGTAGATCGACGCTGAGTAATGGTTTGTGATTGCAAAGGAGTCTTGATGTTTGTACGTAAATTGACACGAGCGAGTTATGCACTCGAGTTGCTGAACATCCCACACTTGTATCACGATTGCACCTTGCCAAGTAGATGAAGAAATGCAGAAAGATGACTGTTCGATTCACCTGCGAATACACTAAGCTTCTGCCCTTGTGTTCCTTGCCACCCTGCCCAGACGCTCCACCACTGATTCCAGAAACTGCCCTGTACCCCAACGCAACATATTATCTACAGCAACAATAAAGTCCTCCACGCCCTCCAGCAACACCCCGTGACAAATTTTTAAAAGCTTCATGTGGAACTTGCGCATACCACCTTCAACGTTGGTCCAGTGGACCCAAAGCTCGTGGATTGGGCCTTGGGTGCAGATAGAGAAGAAGAGTGCGGGTTGGTTCTTTGGTGCGGGTAGAACATCACTTGTGGGTGTGGGCGCTGCGCGCTCCACCAGCTCATCCAGACAAAGCTGCATCTTCAGTCCACAAGCCCCAGCAACCGCAGCTTGGTTCTCTGCTTCGAACACCTGTTTTCCGGTCGAGTAGGCCTTGCCCTCAACAACAGCAAATGGGAAGGCGAGATCTGACGCGCGTGGGGCGGGTACTGAGATCAGCACCGGTTCTTGCGGCCCGCCTGACTCACGATGCACCATCATATTTTGGAGCTGGGTGAGAAATAGCCAGGCCTCGGAGCTGTTGGTATCTTGCGACGAGAGAGCAGACGTGAGAGCTGTAACTTCTGTGCCTATTGAAATATCGGGACGGGGTGTTTTGATCGGGGAGCGATCTGCCTCTAGGACAGAGGGTGGGGCGGGGGGAGGCATTGTGCCTGGTTCCTTGGCTGGCATAGGGTCGAATGCGTTGGCCATTGAGGATCGGGGGGAGATGTACGTCTGGCCAGCAGACTCCTGGTGGCGTTTCCGCGGTGTAGCGGTGGCGTCAACCTCTTGTTGCTGGTAACCGGCCATGAAGTCAAAACCTGCCAGGAAATCCAAATTGAAATGCGACCGCTGGATCCTTGGCTTAAGCACCTCCTGCCAGTCGGCTTTTTCACGGAGACAGAGCTTTTCGGAGCTCATAGCCTTGAGGGCAGCGAAGAATAGGTGAACAAAGTCATCTTCGCCAACCGCAGCCCTGGCTGCCTTGGTGCAGCCGTTGTGGAGCACTTGAGATATAGCTTTGAGTTGATCCCGGCGTTCCTCGGAGGGTTCGGCTTTGAAAACAGCGTCGATGGCCTCTTGGATATCCTCAGCAGAATCGGTGTGGATGTAGACCTGGGCGGTCGCAAGATGGGCGAAGCGGTAGTAGGCGGTGGTGCCAGAGGAGCGTTGGGATCGGGCTGTATCCTGGGTTACGTCTGATGATGTGGAACGTTGTGAAGAGGACCGTTTGATGCGTGAAGCCGGAGTGATGTGCATCTCTTCGCCGTTGAATCTTCGCAGGTTGGTCTCAGAGAGCTGGAGTTGGGGGGAGGGAAGACTTCGGGGCCGTTTTGCAGGGTGCACGCTTGGATCGGCTTCAGCTTCAGGACACACGCCTTCTCGATCGTCGGCTTCAGCTTCAGGGTCTCGCGAACGCTTCCGTCTAGCGCAAGCTGGCTGAGAGATGGGTGCAGGACGTGTGGAGGGTGTTGAATCGTTTTGCAGTCGCGCGCTCTTTCGAGGCTTGACAGACCTCACGATGGGGGTCGCAGGACCTGCTGCGGTTTTCCGCCTGTTCTTCTTGGCGGGAGCAGACTTGGCTTGCGGAGCCATAGGGCGTGAGAATAGAAGCGCAACGAGCAGTGCAGCGCTAAGTATATGAGGATGGAATGGGATGCGGAGGTTGTCGTTTCAAGCTTGGCGCTTAGCGGGACGAGCCGAGGTGTCCCCGCAGCGCTAACCCGTATGCGGCAGGCGTGCCAGCAACAGCGCCTGGAACAAGCATAGCCGCGTACATTCGATCCTGCGGATTCGAATTGCAGTGGGCGAGAAGTGCAGAGCACGGATAACGTACAGGAAATGTCACGACATCGCAAACATCGCTCATGGGGTCCTGGAGGTCTTTATCCCATAGGGAGACATCTCAGCTGAGGCTTCCACACCACTCCCAACGTTGAGGTCTGCCTTGTGAGAGGCAGTGTCCTATGCACTGGACAGATGGGAGGTCGTCCGCAGTCAGGCAACAGTATTCCATCATGCGTGGAAGGAAGGCAATCATCCTACGTGCTCCGCATAACTCATGCGCATGAAGTTCGAATCCTTATCAAGTGGAGACTCGGTGGCTGTTACAGGAGACTGCCCAGTCTGCCTGGCGTCACATCATGCAAGGGGAAGAAGGATCGTACGGGAAGAATCAGCCGGCCACGTGTCTGCTTACCCAAAGTAGTTTAGCCTATTTACAGCGCTAAACCTGAAGCAGTCGAGCCCGGCTTATGTTTACCTACGAAATACCAGAGATCAGTCTTCCCTCACCACCCTCGACCTATACCGTATGCTGGATACGTACAGATACGCATGGAACTTGAGAATTTTCATTTAGCTTAGTTACCATCTCCGCTACGTCCAGAAGTGATGAAAGAGACTCATGTAGAACATGTAAGCATCGATAGTACGCTCGGTGTCTGGAATGGAGACAGTCAGGAGAGTCCCCGAAAGCATCTGCTTACACCATCACGATCTACGATAAATAAGTGTCCAACAGTGTTGTTAGATAGAAGCGTGTTCAATTCACACAAGTATACAGCTATGGAGCCTCTTAGCACTACTTGGCTTGTACACGGTAGGGCGTACACGGAGTGACTCACACAGACTTACCACAACTACTTATCTTCTCATCAAGTTCGCAAACATATTCTATATCTATCTCTCTCTTGGTATCAAACTCCAGATAGAAAACATGGGCCCCAATTCCACTCTCAAAGAAGAAACTGATCGACCGAGATACTTTCTCATCGGTCTTTGGGACAGATATTCATGCAAGTAGTTCGCAATGGTGAGCCTAGCTTCCCGCTAACTGCATTACAGCATGGACAGCAAGAGTAAGAGTCCTGTTGGATTACTACTCGATTCCGTACGATATGCGCATGCTCAATCTCTGGCTAGAATCGAGAGCAGAAGTATGCATCGCTCGCTTCCACAACTCATCAAAAGAATCTGGGCTTACGTACAAGCAAAGCTCAATGCACTATCCCCCAGCGGGCTTGTACCCGTTCTTGTAGACAACAAGTACGACCCACCGCTTAATATCAACGACTCTCTCGCCATTCTCCTCCACTTGGCAGAAGAACACCCTTCCCTCCCATTTTTCCCGTCGGACCCCTACCTTCGAGCTCTCGCACGCTCCGCGACGGCTGAAATGCATTCGGGCTTTGTAGCTATGCGCAACGAGTTTTCGGCGAACTTCATTGCCAAGTACGAGGGCGCGATCCCAATTAGCGATGCGGCTAGAAAGAACGTGAAGAGAGTCTTGGAAATATGGGGAAATGCGAGAAGAAAGACGATCGAAAGAGCTAATGAAGGGGGCAGTAAGGTAAAAGATGAGGGATATTTGTGCGGCGAGTTTGGGATCGTGGATGCGTTCTTTTGGCCGGTGCTTTGGGTACGTACTAAGAAGACTCTTGATTTTAACCACGACCTGTCCTTTTCAATATGGGCTTTTGCTTATAGATACGAAACAGCGATTTCGATCATATAATCTCCCGTTAACTACGGCGACGCCTGAGGCAATTGAGTGGATTAGCAAGATGTGGAATGATCCGCAGCTCAGAGAGGTCGGGAAAGGGTACTTTCGTCAGGCAGAGAATCCGAAGTCCAAGGTCAAGCATTACGATGATGTGTTCAAAGGTGTAGAGGGAATCACTTACGGGAAGTTTGATGAGGACTGGGTGTTCCGACCTTAAATGATAAGAATCTACGGAGGGGTTGAAAAAAAGAGGGAATCGTTTTCTAGTTATCGTGGCCTGTTGTATGCAGCTTTAACTATATAAGCCCTCTTTACTTGAAAAATCTACTAACATTCGTCGCAAAGTCATATATTCAAGTTCACACGTAGCATATAGACGTTCGAATAGATCTCATATTGATATCACGTGATTTACACGCTGAAGTAAGATAGAATACTAGCTCTGTAAGCTGGAAGCGATGAACCTAAGCATTGAACCTAGGCATACACAGATCAGTTCTCAGTATCACCGTATGTACGCGGCATCAGTATTCGAATTAACATTCTTGGTGTTTAATCAACAGTCGTCCCTAATCGAGTTAGGTTTGCGACCTTGAGATGGCGCACGCTTCCTGCACCACTCCTCCGCAGTCCTGCGCCAGACAACACGATTTAGCCGTGGCCCTCAATGCCGCCTCGTACGGCCTTAATCACCCAGCGTTTGTCGCATGGCTCTCGGCCTCGCGTAGAATGCGAGCAGACCGAGACCGCCATGGCCGCCGAGATGGCATTCCACCATTCGTGTGTCTTTCCAATGGTAACACCAGCCATACGAAGTACGCGGGCGGCCTCCTTGGACAAGGCCGCTAATATGGGAGACGCCACCACAATGCGAACACGAGCTCTGCCCAGGTGGTTTTCGAGGCAGACTCGCGATAGCGTAGATCTCTTCACTCGTCGTCTGACAATGCTTTAAACAGCCATCTCAGCTTCTTTGTCTTCAAACCCATGAAATACACTGATAGTAGTGTTCTATTCTCTTTTTTACCTACAATGCTTCTTGTTGCTGTACTCTGCTGATACCGGGAGTCTTCGCCGGGCTCAAGATGGCAGCGGCACTTTTCCTTCGACAAATATGGGCACTGACCTGGAAAGATCTATTGCTCACTCTCAATCGCAAACAGGCTGCGTCAACTATATTTCGCGCCTTCACAGTCCCGTTGGTTTTCGTGATGTACATGTCTTTCATCATTCGAGTCTACTGGCCAAAGGAGACCTACGGCATTGGAACATCCACACCGATCAGAAGCCTTCCAGATGCTTTGAATGGTGCTGGGGAAGGCCGCCACACTCTTGCACTCTGCAATTACGGACCTAGAGACGGTGACATCGACAAAGTCATAGCCGCTATAGCTGCTTCAGCCAGAACAACTGGGAAGCCTGTCGAGCTCCTGTATAATCCAGACGACCTTCTGACAGTATGTCGAAGTGCACTATCAGGAAACACCAAATGCTTTGGGGCCGCCGAATTCTATACTTCGCCCAAGGAAGGCGGTGCCTGGAATTACACTCTTCGCAACGACGGCGCGTTCGGAATATCAATCAATGTGAAGAAGAACAACAATGACGCAGAGACGTACCCGATTCCGCTGCAGCATGCAATCGACGCTGTAATTGCATCTGTAGAGTTTGGCGAAGACACTACCAGTCTCCCAAAAACGGTCGAGGAGTACCCATTCACGTCTAAGACCCAAAAGCAGTGGGATGATTCTATTACGACTTCAATCCAGAATGCCAATACAAAGTACATTGGTATCGTATGGTACCTTGGCTTTGTCGGCTTGTGCTATCAATTGGTCGGTATAGTGGCCGGAGAACGAGAGCAAGGTATGGCAGACTTGCTTGAATCAATGATGCCGAATACTGCTCGTTGGCAGCCACAGGTTGCTCGCTTGCTTGGGCATCACATCGCCTTCACAATAGTAAGCTATATATCTCCTTCTACGAAAAAATTATTAACCGCCCTATCTAGATATATTTCCCATCGTGGATTTTGATGGCAATAATTGCCAAAGTCGGCTTATTCCCCAAGATCTCTCTGGGCATCCTGATCATTTTTAACATCCTGGCTGGCCTCTCCCTGAACTCTTTCTCCATTCTCGGGGCGTCCATCAAAAGATCTCAACTGAGTGGCATTACTGCCATCGTAGTCGCGCTCGTGCTCGGCATTGTCGCGCAAATTACCGCCGAAACGCTGTCCACTGCCGCAGTAACTATCCTCAGCATCATCTTCACTCCCATGAAATACGTCTTCTTCTTCATATTCATGGCCCGCTACGAACACAAACAAATACCGGCAAATCTCGTTGAAGCTGCTCCTGGCGCAACCTGGAGAGTACCAGGCATTGCCTTCTGGATCATGATGATCGTCCAAATCTTTGTGTATCCAGTACTGGGAGCATCAGTGGAGCGGTATCTCTATAGCACCGCCTCCAAAAGAGGGAGAACCGTCACATACGATGATACCACGCATCCGGTCACCTTGACCAACTTCACAAAGCAGTACTATCCAAACTAGTTCTACAGAGTGGTTGCACCCTTACTCGGATTCGAGAAGACACCAGTGGTAGCTGTGAAAAGCCTCTCGCTTACAGCCTTGCCCGGCCATATCTTGGTGCTCGTGGGCGCCAATGGATGCGGAAAGCCGACAACCCTGAATGCTATTGCTGGGCTCAATGATGTCACGTCCGGTGCAATTGATCTGGATGGCACAGGCGGAATTGGTATCTGCCCGCAGAAGGTTAGCCTCTCCAAGACTTGCTATATGTATTTTCTTTGACTCAAATGCTCGAACAATTACTGACAGTTGGTGCAGAACGTGCTGTGGGAGTCTCTAACCGTCGAGCAACATACCAAGATATTCTATCGGATCAAATCCACGACCATTAGTCCTGCGTCAGATGGCGAGCTTAGCCAACTCATCTACGACTGTGGATTGACTAAGAAGATCAAGGCATATGCTGGGACGCTCTCTGGCGGACAGAAGCGGAAACTTCAGCTCATAATGATGCTCACAGGAGGAAGCAAGGTGTGCTGCGTTGACGAGGTCTCCGGAGGTCTCGATCCACTGTCGCGCAGGAAAGTATGGGACATCTTGCTTGCAGCAAGAGGAACTCGCACTGTAAGAAACATTTTTGACTTCAAAAGATCCGAAATCAATAAATATCACTAGGTCCTTCTTACGACACATTTCCTCGATGAAGTTAAATATCTCGCTGATCATATGGTCATCATGAGCAAAGGTGAACTCAAAGCCGAAGGGTCTGTCTCGGAGCTAAAGAATAAGCTGGGTGACGGCTATCGAGTGCGCATACTTCACGGAACCGGATATGGCCCACCTCCAGAAGTTGGTGACCTTCTCAACGGCGTACCGAAAGAAGTCCTGTGTGATCAGACTATTTATACCATATCTGACACCAATCGAGCCATGAACGTCATCAAAGAGTTTGAAAGCAGGAAGATCGCCAATTATCAAGTCACTGGACCAACAATGGAGGAAGTCTTCATGAAGCTTGCGGAAGATCCAGACTCGGAAAAAAACTTGGAACTTGCTGACTCGAACTCTGAGCCTGCTATTACCCCAAGTCCCTCTCATCAAAAAGAAAAAGGCCGTCTTACGATCACACAAGAGGAGGTAGGAGAACCATTGATGAGTGGTCAGAGGCTTGGGTTCGTTCAACAAGCAATTATCCTTTTTCGCAAGCGGATGGTCATTCTCCGACGAAACTATCTTCCATACATCGCTGCGTTCATAATTCCCATTATCGCAACAGCTTTAGTAACGATCCTGGTCAGGAAGAACCACCTTCCAGGATGTTCGCCTCGTCAACAAGTAAATGACCAGGATATCGAGACCCTATCCACCGAGAATAACTATAAGCCCTTACTAGTCCTTGGGCCTACAAACGCGTTCCTGAACGCGAATCTCACCAAATTCAGAGACATTCTTCCTAAACAATTTGGCAACGCAAACACCTCCCAGGCTGCCCTTCTCGATCATGTTCATCTTGTAGATTCTCTGGACGAATTCAATTCATACATCAGGCAGAGCTTCCACAACGTTACTCCTGGGGGTTTCTTCTTGGGTGGCAATGGTTCCATACCAACGTTCAGCTACTACTCCGATATTGGTACATTGGGAGTTTACTCTTCCGTCTTCTTGCAAAATGCTTTCGACGTAATGTCAACGAATATTTCCATTGTCACCAATTACCGATCCTTCAATTATCCATGGCCAGACAATGCGGGCAACTCCATTCAATTCATCTTCTACTTCGGTTTGATCATGGCCGCCTACCCAGCCTTCTTCACTCTGTACCCCACAGTGGAGCGACTACATAAAATTCGTGCACTGGAGTACTCCAATGGCGTACGATCACTTCCCTTGTGGCTTGCATATCTTTCTTTTGACTGGGCCAACACGCTGCTAGTCAGTGTTTTTATCACAGCTATAATGACTGCCGCTGCGAATGACGCATGGTGGAATCTTCCCTACCTCTTCATCGTGCTCTTCCTTTATGGCTTCGCGTCAGTCCTGTGGTCATACGTGGTCTCGCTATGGGCGCGGTCACAGCTGTCAGCCTTTGCTATCTCTGCAGGGTCTCAAGCGTAAGCCAATTTCTCTGGGACTTTGAAAACATGCTAATGTCTAGTAGATTCATGCTGCTCATGTACTTGACCGCCATCTTCAATATCCAGACCAGACTCGATCCCACTAAAGTGGATGACGCTACCACGATAGTCAACTTCACCTTCAATCTCGTAACGCCGATTGGAAATCTAGCCAGAGCTTTAATTCTTTCATTGAACATGTTCTCTTCGCTTTGCTCTGGTGCACCTTCGAAAATGGCAACTTTTCCGGGTAGCATCAAGCTCTATGGCGGTCCAATACTCTACCTCGTGGGCCAATCGCTCTTCCAATTTGGCGTATTGATGCTAGTGGACCACGGCTGGACGCTAAATTGGTTCAAGAAGCCAGCCCCCGAATCAGACGTCGAAGACCACGACACGAAAGAAAAGGAAGTTTGCGATGAGATCGAGCGAGTAGCTTCCTCTAACGACGGCCTCCGCGTTCTGCATCTTACTAAGACCTTCAAAACAAGAGCTTTTGGAACTGTAACCGCGGTTGATGACCTCAGCTTCGGCGTCAAAAAAGGGGAGATGTTTGCTATTGTGGGCCCGAATGGCGCTGGCAAGTCGACTACAATCACGATGCTTCGCGGAGAACTCCAGCCTTCTCGAAAGGGCGGCGAGATCTACATCGAGGGTGTTGACGTGAGGAAGGAGAGAAAAACTGCCCGCTCGCACCTTGGAGTTTGCCCACAGTTCGATGCTATGGACTAGATGACTGTGCTCGAGCATTTGGAGTTCTACGCAGGTATTAGGGGTGTCAAAGAGGCCAAGCGGAACGCACGGCAAATTGTGAAAGCTGTTGGCCTTCAGGTCTTTGCGCATATGATGGCGTCGAAACTGTCTGGTGGTAATAAGAGGAAACTCAGTCTTGGGATCGCTTTGATTGGTGAGAACGTTCCACACACTGCTTGATAGTGGTACTAATTTCGAAACAAAGGCAACCCAGAGGTTGTTCTCCTCGATGAGCCATCATCTGGAATGGATCCGCTCGCCAAACGCACAATGTGGAAGACCCTCACCAGTTTTGTCCCAAACAGATCCATCTTGCTGACTGTAAGCCACCCGTCAACACAATTCTATACGCATTTATACTTACACAACCCCCCAGACCCACTCGATGGAAGAGGCTGGTCACCTCGCCGACCGCGTCGGCGTCCTCGCAAAGCGTATGCTCGACATCGGCTCCACTGCCCACCTCCGCACTAAGCACGGCCACGGCTTTCACATCCACCTCATCGCTAGCACCGCGCCGCACACCTCGGCTGCGGAGATGGAGAGAGTTTGCGTGTGGATAGAGCAACAGCTGCCGGGGGCGAAGGCAGAGGGGCTACCATACCATGGGCAGATGCGTTTTAGTATCCCTGCTAGCTCTGGACTTGGAAAGGCGCAGGATCTGGATCAAGATCTGGAGAAGAGTTTGAAGGCTTCTTCGCTACTAGCTCCACCCCCCGAGGACTTGGATTTGGAGATCACCCAAAGCGAACCGGGGTTAGGTGGTGCAGGTGTTTCTATCGGCGCGCTGTTCGTGTTGCTGGAAGAAAACAAGGAAAAGCTAGGCCTGGAGTTTTATTCGGTGAGCCCGTCGACGATCGATGAGGTATTTTTGAGGGCGGTTGAGAAGCATAACGTCGGTGAGGAAGATCGGCCGGAGGCCAAAAAAGACTGGAGGTTCTATGCGAGACAGCTGATGAAGATGGTTTATTGGGTGTGAGGCTCGGATCGCTCGGTACTGGCCATTGGGAAAGGCGCGAGGGATGAGATATTACGAAAAATGAGGGATGTACGTGTTGGTAAGATGGTATGCTCTCTACTTTTTGCGCCCATTTAATGGTATCATTTTTGCTTTCGTATTGCAAAATTGGACTGTATGTACATCGCTGCTCAATTTTGCATATTGAACGTTTTCCAGAGGCTAAAGTACGGTAAGGCACCCTTCAACCGTACTCGGGGGATGAATAGGTTTTGCGAGGGATCCGATATCAAGATAAGAAAGGCTAGATCCCCCTGGTATACCAATTGTACTTCCGCTGACATCCCTACTACCTACTTGCAATTAGATTCAAGCTGTTGACCCTATTTAAATTAAGAGGCTCGTAGAATACGCCTCTAAACGTGTAGCCTACGCCTAACTGGGCAGACTGACTTGCGGGTGCCTGAAGGATTCGTGAAAGATTTACGGGTACCTGAAACGCTAGCGGCGCGTCCCGCTGGAGATCTGATAGCGGTGGATGATCGACGCAGAGGAGGTGGTTGGGCTTCATCTTGCTACCTGAGACCGCACTGACTCGACCAATTCGCTATCCTCAGTCACCGCAGGGAACGGAATGTTCTAATGAAGGGGTGCAATCTGAAGCCATCTTGTATTGTTAGCTTCTTGTACATACATACTTACTACACGTAGATCAAAGCAGGCGTTTCTACATGGCTGTCCTCTATTCCTTTTGCATTCGTCTGGGCGCTGAAGTAAATCAACTTGATTCTGTACGTGAGTAGATGAACAGGCAGTCTTACGCATTCATGCTGACGTTCAATAGCTAATTAGTTGTACAAGCAATAGTAAACGTGATTTTGATCGCTGCAGAGCTCTCAGTCCGCACATTTTGAGCCCGTCCACAAGCTTTTCCAAGTCTTCCGTAGGGTATTCCAACACGCACGTGCCATGGAGTCCGCTGAGCGCATTTTAAACTCCTCGCGCATATTATCAGCGAATCCCGCCTGCATTCTTATGGTTTCCCCCTGCAATTGGATACAGGGAGCTTGCGGTGTAAGTTGATCAGGATCGGGTGTCGGGCTGGGGGGTGGAGTGCCCTTAATGGGAGGCTGGCGGATACGGTTGGAGGTCGGTGTAACAGTGTTCTGGAACCTTCTCTTTATTGGATTGTACAGAAAGGCAAAATGGCGGCTTACTTGCTCCCGTTTCAGCCTTGCCTTCAGGATCACTTTTGGCTCAATACGGCAATAGGCTGGCCCCCCTGCAGCCTTGCGGTCTAACTCAAGCTTGGCTATGTCTCCAACCAACTCAATAATCTAAGACCACCTACAGAATCGCCACCTCACAAGAGGATGGCCTGAGCGGGTCGGCACCCTCCCTATTCTTCCAGGCAGCCGCATGCAGCTTGTCAATCAATTCAGCCTCCCTGCTCACATCGCCGATTTGCCACGTCACAAGGGTGTGGCTGGAGCGGCTCAGCCGCCCTCACTGACTGAACTTCCTCGGTCATTACCCTACTTGCTTTGCAGCACAGCATCCTCCCAATCTCCAAATGTCGACCTGTAGCTGCGGTCGTACTTTTTCTAGTCGTAGTGCCCTTGGCCAGCACCAAAAAGACACAGGACATTGCCACTGCAAGTTCTGCAACCGTTTCTTCCATACAGCAGACGGACTCAAGCAACATAACCTAGCCCTCCATAGCTGGAATTGCGGGCACTGCAACAAAACATTCAGTGTACAAGAGAGTCTCACGTGCCACCAGCGGGCAACAAGGCACTGTCATTGCAGCGACTGCGACCGCTTCTTTGTCGACGAGCCCGCGTTACGCCGACACCTCCGCTCGTCCCTACACGCCAGCCAATTCCACTGTTGCGACTGCGATCGAGACTTTGTAGACGGACAGGCCTTGCAGCAGCACCTCGAAAACAAAATCCACAGCGTTACAAGGCGTCAGACCTCCGATTATGTCTGCAGCGAGTGTGATCGCGAGTTTAAGACTGAGCAAGCCTTAGGGCAGCACCGGTCATCACTGGTTCATCGGCCGCTCAGCAACATCAAATGCATCACTAGCAATGGCAATTCCGGATGCAAGCGGCGCTTCTCCAGCCCCTCAGCGCTGCTACACCACCTCGAAAGCGGAGCGTGCCAATCCGGAGTCACACGCAAGACACTAAACGCAGCAGTGCAACTAAACGATACTGCTGCAATAATCACCAATCCCAACCCGGGACTGAGCAGCATGCTCCTCGAAACCGCGAGCCAGACCAGCAGCAATTCGGGCGCCTACACGCCTACAACCAGCTCAAACGTCGGTGTCGAACTCACTCCCAGCAGCACAACACGCAGCCCTGCCTCCCCGGCCCTCCTAACTCCATGCTCCGACCACTCCACCGCCTCATCCCTCACCCTCTTTTCATTCGGGAAATGCCCCCTCTGCCCTCCCACCCGCGCCGCGTTCTCCACACCCGAATCGCTGCACCAGCACCTCTCCTCCCCGGCCCATGCTGCGCGCATATTTCACTGCCCGGCGTCGCTATTCACTCCCCTGCCTAGCGGGCGTGCAGTTGAGATCAAGTCATTCTCGACGTTGAGTGGGTTGGCGCAGCATGTGGAGAGTGGGACTTGTGGCGGGTCGGCGACATTGAGGAGGGTGGCTGAGTATCTTGAGGCAAAGTTGAAGGACTTGGGGATCGGGAAGGTGAAACTGTTAAACTGATGAAAATAAATTGACCAGTCGCGTAGATCTCTAGATCATGTGCGAGGTTGGATAGCGGCGTGGCTAACTCTATGAGTTAGGTAACGCAAGGGAGTATTGTGTTTATTGTGCCTGCATCCGCGTGCTAAATCTCCCTCGCTCTCTGTATCATGCAGCACTATTTTTGGGACTTCTTTAGACTGGTGACTGATGGTTTGTTATTTTTTTTTTCTGACTATTGGGAAGCTTACGAAATTGTCTGGAACAATGCTCTAGTTTGCGAAGCTTATCAAGTTTTTGTTTTCGAAGTAAATTCAGGTGGAAATCAGATATAACAAAACTATTTCGGGAGGAGTTTAGTCTTTTTAATTTTTGGAATGCTCAATTGTTTCTGCCTCACTTGGCGTTAGGGTTAGGTCAAGTTCTGGTTTATAGTAATACACCCAAACTACGCATAACTACATCTTGAACTCCAATGGCTTACTAACAGGGGGTCACTTCTTTAGCTCCTTGTTCTCCTACTGTCTAGTCCGCTAAGAGGTTTATCGTATTACGAACAGAATGGGCGTAGATTGGATTTTGTGTTTACATTGGCGAATCCAAAAATGATAGGATGTGAGCGAAAGACAGTTGGTTTAGAGTTCACATGCATTAGTGTACGCTTTTCAGCACCCTGATCATCATTGATCTTGATCTCGATCTCGATCTTCTCCTCATATCTCCTAGTTTTGCAGATCCCTTAACCTCTTCAATATGAAGATGTACTAGAAGGTGAGCAATTCTCTTTGTCATTGGCTGCGGATGTTAGTAAGTGTTGCTCTACATACAACATACCTGTAAAAGATGCAGCATTGAATGCTTGCAGTATAGCGTGGTCGTTGCTCCGGAATGGGAGTAATGCTATGAGATTGGCAGCTAAGAGAAGCCTCCAGGTTCCTCCGAAGAGCTGTGCAATGTCGAGGGCGGCGCGTATTCCGGTCTCGGTAATGCTCGGACTTTCCTTTACGTAGAGTACTTCTCGCAGGGCTATGACTTTATCTGCCCACGGCGTGTCCTTTGGTGACAACGGCTCGCTGAACTCAGGTCTTATCTTGAATAACCCATGGTCAATAACTGCCTGTGCCGAAACAATCTCGCACTTGTCTTCTATTTTCAACGCGCCCTGTGAGAGATACTCTCCAAAATAGTACGATCCTTTAAGTTCTCGGTGCCTCTTTGTTCGAAGACCTTTAAAATTTCGAAGATCAAGGTCGAATGAGCGGAAAATACGAATGAGGTCCATGTCTCGAACGAACACCCCCTTTAGAAAAGCAGCTGTGTCGACCATGCAAAGATAAATCGCGGCTATACTTGATCCGTCTTTCGAACTGTAGTGTCGGTAAAACATGTATTGCAGTGCAAATAGCAAAGAGCTGGTCCACGAAACCAGATTGTCCGGGTCTGAAGAAGTTCCCCGCCACCGGAGATGCCTGAAAAGCATTCTCGCAACTTCAGACTTATCTTATCTAGCAAAGACGTCACCCGTACTGTGTGGTCTGTTGTATCTAGCGTCTTTAGACTTCGTCCAAAGCGCATTAGTCGTGCCGTCAGATCGCGGTGTGGTAATGCGAAATAAGTAGCGAGGTATGTCGTCCAGACTTTATCTCAGCCACGCACAGTTATCTTTTGGTTCAAACAGCAGAAAGTCTGCCTCAGAAAGGCTGGGAGCCTCCGTCTCGTTCGTTAGGTTCGCAAGTGCCATCTTCGATGCCGCAGCGTAAGAGACTGGATTAGGAAAACTTAGCAGCGAAGGAATCCTGAAATAGAGGGATATTTTGGCAGGTTTAAGGTGGCTAAAGTCAAATTGTCCTCCACGCGTTGGGTTTGTCAGAACCTCTGCGGTGTGGAAGCGCATCGCTCGGTTCCCTCCATACCCCGCGTGCAGACATGAGACACCGGCGAACCCCTGCGGTTTGGCAAGTTAGAGCGGCCCGGGAGCCCCAACGCCTGCACCACGTGCGGGTGCCATGCGCCAACAGGAGTGAGCCATCCAACCAAAACATCCTCGGAACATCGAAAAGCTGGTCCGGGACACGGGCGATGTTAATGCATCAGCGAATGCGGGGTACGATTGCGAGAGGACCAAGCTCCCTTCGAGAGTTGCTATTACGAACTTACCCCGCAGTGGCTTGCGCTCCACCTTACGCATCGGGCAAAGCTTCGAATCTAATATAACTCGCGTTCAATCGCGCTACTCGAGAGATAATCTACTTGCTACACCTATCTCTTGTCAGAGCTGGTGACACTTTAAAAGTAGAGGGACACTGCGTTAATTGCTACCTATGAGAAGTGTCAGGGCTTAAAGGGTTGGTTGTAAACCGTGTTGTATTGATTGTTTGAGGTTACGAAAAGATAAATACAAGGGTTGAAAAGGGGAGTGGGGCTGACTCCGAGTTGAGGCGCAAGTCGGCGCCAAGGCACTAACGCCCCGGGTCGGCCCACAGAGCCGCATCACGTGATCTCCGATCACGTGTCATGATCGCAAATCGGATCGCGACTTGTGGCCATGACAAGAGGACACCTGTTAATCTAGATTGGCCATGCTGATCAGCGTAGAAGGATGGTCCGCTCCCAGCTTCTTCTTGCGAGTCTCCATTACTTGCACCTCCAGCTCTTCCGCTGCATCCCACCGCCCTTGATTCTGGTAAGTCGA